AGCATCCTGACGTGAAGCATGCAGACGTGACATGAAGCATGCTGACATGACAGTTCAGATGACCCTACAAATCGCAACATCTTAACCCCTCCTTATAGTGCAGACACTGTACTTCCCACCTCCAGGATTCTAAGACCTGCTTTCAGGTATACTCCATGTATAAATGTTACATTATTCAAGCTCCAACAATACATCAAATAAAAAACTACATATCTTCATTCACTTCTAACATGCTTACACAAGCCTGATGGATGTCCAAGCTCCTCACACACAAAACATATAGAAAGCTCCTGGTCATGCAGAACATTTTGTGCAGCCTTAAAATAAACTTATAATGAATAATTAATGTGGTTTACAAGAATTCTCTAGTTTACAATCTTTGATATTAGCTCAAACATTTTGGTTTATGATTGTGACTTTTTTTTTTGCAAATAAGTTGATTGTAATTTTTTTGTAAAACAATTTGTTATGTCGTTTGTAGCAGTTATTACAAATGTTGGTTGGTACAAACACAAATATTATTCAATAGTTTAGTATTACTGCACAGGACATACAATAATCTGAATAAGAATGTACTGTAGAATGTATGGCATCTAGGACAAAACTAAGACTATAATACATGTATACTTAAAACCCCATGGACTGGTGGCAAAAGCTCTCGCTTCACATGGCGAGGGTCCGGGTTCGATTCCCAGCGAGAGTAAAAACATTGGGTGTGTTTCCTTACACCAGTTGTCTATGTTAAATAAATACAAGTTACAGGTAAATTCATAAAAAATTACAAGAATGTATTCATACAGTACCAACAGGAATGTATGAGCATGTTAGATAGGAGTGAATGGATACAAGTAGTTTTTATGATTTGATGTGCTGTTAGAGTGCAAGCAAAGCAACATTTATATAAAGAAATGATTTAGGGAAACCAGTTAGCAAGACTCAAGTCCTGCAAGTGGGAAGTACAGTGCCTGAGCTCTGAAGGAGGGGTGATGATGCAGCCTGGAGGAGCATCAGAGCTGTAATATTAGTGTACCTTTGGCAAGACAGTAATGGAGTGATTGGTGGTGAAAGTGTTTGTTCTTTTTCACATCCCCCTACCTTGGTGGAAGATGACTTGCATTAAAAACAACATATAGTACTGTACCAAGAGGTGCTGTCTGTATTTGTGAGTGTGTCTATCCACTTCCAACATATAGCCAAGAAGGTCTCCAAAACAGTGGGCATCTTTTTCAAGATATGGTATTATGTACCCTAAATGGCACTATTTACACTATACCACTCTCTGATCTACCCTTACCTCACCTTTGATATTTGGGTTTGGGGATCTACTACGACCAATCACCTTAAACCATTAATAACCCAACAAAAAGCTGCTGTGTGGATTATCATCCATTCCTGCGCCAGACAACACACCCCTCCACTCTTCAAGAATTAGAACTTACTTAATATAGAAAATATGCACTCATATTACTGTGGCTATTATATATATAGAATGTTAAACTCCCATATAAATCCCTCCCTCAAACTGCTCCTTGATAGCTACACCAGAACACATAGGCACAACACAAGGCACAAAACTCTCTTCAACATCCCCCATGTCCACCTCACCTTATGTAGAAATACAATGCATATAAAGGGCCCCAAGATCTGGAATTCATTGCCTGAACTAGCAAAAACTCCCCTGTCTGCCAATCAATTTAGAGCTATAATTAATTATTACCTCATCTCCCAAACATAACTACACCTTCACTTTGCTATACCAAGCATATCCAACTCATCCAACTACCTCCTGTTTCTTCACCATCTCTTATAATCTGGCCATAGCCTGAAATCATAGAACCAGTTTGAAACTACTTAATAAATTCCAATTAACTTAACATCACTAAGTCATTTTAAAGTATTAATACACTCAAAATTGTACTATTGTACTTCATGCTACTAGTAGTATTTTGATACCTCTCTGTTGTAAATTGTGCTAATTGTAATATCTTTGCTGCCTCTCTTTTTATAATAATGCATAATTAAATTTTACCACTCAGTAACCTATGTCTAGTCTTAAGTAGTCTCTAAGCATTATTGTAAATTGTACTAACTAATTTTTTTTTTGCTACCTATCTTTTTGTAATAATACATAATTAAAATTTGCCACTCAGTAACCTATGTCTAATCTTAAGTAATCTGTAAGCATTAGGATAAGTCTGCCCAAAATGCACATGCATGCTAGTGGCTTTGTCCTTAACAGTATTTTTTTACATGTAAACTATTCTCTGTATTACACAAAGAAATAAAGTTGTTTTGTTTGTTTGTCTTCCAGGAGGACATGGATGTATTACACAAACAGTCCAATAACTGGTTATTATTAAAAATAGACTTCAGGGTAGACTTAAGGATGTACATGTTTATAGAGGGGCCACAGATATATCAGATCATTTTTTAGTTGTAACTACAGTAAGAGTAAAAGGTAGATGGGATACAAGGAAAATGGAAGCAGCAAGTAAGAGAGAAGTGAAGGTTTATAAACTAAAGAAGGAGGCAGTTAGGGTAAGATATAAACAACTGTTGGAGGAGAGATGGGCTAGTGAGAATACAGGCAATGGGATAGAAGATGTATGGGGTAAGTTTAAGAATACTGTATAGTGTTAGAATGTTCAGCAGAAGCGTGTGGTTACAGGAAAGTGGGTGTGGGAGGGAAGAAGAGTGATTGGTGGAATGATGACGTAAAGAGAGTAGTAAGAGAGAAAAAGTTAGCCTATGAGAGGTTTTTACAAAGTAGAAGTAATGCAAGGAGGGAGGAGTATATTGAGAGAAAAAGAGAGGTTAAAAAGAGTGGTGAAGCAGTGTAAGAAGAGAGCAAATGAGAGAGTGGGTGAGATGTTATCAACAAATTTTGTTGAAAATAAGAAAAAGTTTTGGAGTGACATTAATAAGTTGGGAAAGCCTAAGGAACAAATGGATTTGTTAGTTAAAAATAGAAGAGAGTTATTAAATGGAGAGGTAGAGGTATTGGGAAGATGGAGGGAATATTTTGAGGAATTGTTAAATGCTGATGAAGATAGGGACTCTGTGATTTCGTGTATAGGGCAAGGAGGAATAACATCTTACAGGAGTGAGGAAGAACCAGTTGTGAGTATGGGGGAAGTGTGTGGGGCAGTGAGTAGAATGAAAGGGGGTAAAGCAGATGGGATTGATGGGATAAAGAAGGTGGGGATATAGTTTTGGAGTGGTTAGTGTTTTTATTTAATAAATGTATGGAAGAGGGTAAGGTACCTAGGGATTGGCAGAGAGCATGCATAGTTCCTTTGTATAAAGGCAAAGGGGACAAAAGAGAGTGTAAAAATTATTGGGGAATAAGTCTGTTGAGTATACCTGGTAAAGTGCATGGTAGGGTTATTATTGATAGAATTATGAGTACAACAGAGAGCAGGATAGCAGATGAACAAGGAGGCTTTAGGAAAGGTAGTGGGTGTGTAGACCAAGTATTGGCAGTGAAACACATAGGCGAACAGTATTAAGATAAGGGTAAAGAGGTTTTTGTGGCATTTATGGATTTGGAAAAGGCACATGATAGGGTGGATAAGGGGGCAATGTGGCAGATGTTGCAAATGTATGGAATAGGAGGTAGGTTATTACAAGCAGTGAAAAGTTTTTACTTGGATAATGAGGCTCATGTTAAAGTATGTAGGCAAGAGGGGGATTATTTCCCAGTAAAAGTAGGCCTTAGACAGGGATGTGTGATGTCACCATGGTTGTTCAATAGATGGAGTAGTAAGAGAAGTGAATGCTCGGTTGTTGGCAAGAGGTGTGGGGTTAAAAGATGAAGAATCTAACACAAAATGGGAGTTATCACAGTTGCTCTTTGCTGATGAGACTGTGCTTTTGGGAGATTCTGAAGAGAAGTTGCAGAGGTTGGTTGATGAGTTTGGTAGGATATGCAAAAGAAGGAAGTTAAAAGTGAATATAGGAAAGAGTAAGGTGATGAGGATAACAAAAAAATTAGGCAACAGAAGATTGGATATCAGATTGAAGGGAGAGAGTATTGAGGAGGTGAATGTGTTCAGATATCTGGGAGTGGACATGTCAGCAGATGGGTCTATGAAGGATGAGGTGAATCATAGAATTGACAAGGGGAAAAAGGTGAGTGGTGCACTGAGGAGTCTGTGGAGACAAAGAACTTTATCCATGAAAGCAAAGAGGGGAATGTATAAGAGTATAGTTGTACCAGCACTCTTGTATGGGTGTGAGGCATGGGTTATGAATATTGCTACAAGGAGAAGGCTGGAGGGAGTGGAGATGTCCTGTCCGAGGGCAATGTGTGGCATGAATATAATGCAGAGAATCTGTAGTTTGAAGATTAGGAGGAGGTGTGGGATTACCAAAACTATTATCCAGAGGGCTGAGGAGGGGTTATTGAGATGGTTTGGACATGTAGAGAGGGTGGAACGAAATAGAATGACTTCCAGAGTATACAAATCTGTAATTGAGGGAAGGTGGGGTAGGGGTCAGCCTAGGAAAGTCTGGAGGGAGGGGGTAAAGGAGGTTTTGTGTGTAAGGGGCTTGGACTTCCAGCAAGAGTGCATCAGCATGTTAAACAGGAGCGAATGGAGACAAATGATTTTTAGGACTTGATGTGCTGTTGGAGTGTAAGCAAGGTAACATTTATGAAGGGATTCAGGGAAACTGGCAGGCAGACTTGAGTCTTTGAGATGGGAAGTGCAGTGTCTGCACTCTGAAGGAGGGGTGTTAATACCGCAGTTTTATAACTGTAGTGTAAGCATGCCTCTGGCAAGACAGTGATGGAGTGAATGATGGTGAAAGTTTTTCTTTTTCGGGCCACCCTGCCTTGGTGGGAAACAGCTGATGTGTTAATAAAAAAATAACTATTGAAAGTATTTAACTCACTATTTGAAAATGGTACAGGACAGTCCTAGTCATAATCAGGATTAATTCATTTCCAATTTTTGGGTTTGTTGTGATAAATGATACAGTGTTTGTTACATTTACAGAGGTGGGACCCATGACTGTCACTGCTGATCCAGAGGAGTTCCAAGAATCATTGAAGAAATCCTTTATCTTTGGCGGTGGTGATTGTCCTGAAATGGCTGTCAGAGCAATCAAGATGGCTTTGGAAGTTAGTCTGCCATCCTCCTACATCTATGTCTTCACTGATGCTCGGGCAAAAGACTTCTACCTGTTGGATGATGTATTGAGACTGATACAGAAAAAGCAGTCACAGGTCAGTACAGTTCAGGAGGGCCCCACTTTATAGCTCTTTCCTTTAGAGCATTTTGCTAATGCAGCAGTTTTCAATTATTACCATTCTTTATTTATTGAGACTTCCTACAATTAATATATTCACTACTCACTATAACCTAAGGAAGAAAATATTTTAAGGTAAGTAATGTGTGTACTGCATATGTATTTTTTAGGCCTAGCTCCATTGCTCACTTAATAGCATATGGTACTGTAAATATGTTACAGGCTTTTATATGCAATTGAAAGTGAAAAAAGACTATAACTCACTTTACAGCAGTAGCCCAGAACCTAACCTGCTGTATAAGTGGGGCCCTCCTGTACATTCATATGGTGGTATTTTAAGAATTAATACTTTAATCCTGTACTATGGTATCTTAAAAATAAATGTTTAACTTCTCTACATTATTTACCTCTCTTATAGGTTTAGCTTCTTTTTAAATCATTTGGCAATAGATGAGACATTTATTTACTTTTAGATAAATTATTTGTTAATGGGTTCTCTACATGAGTGAAATATGTTTAATTATTATATGCTACTTTCAACATATGGTTCCTCCATAAGACATGTATGTTGTAAGAGGTGAGTGAAATGCCGGGAACTAATGTTAGTAACCCCTTCTCCTGTATAAATTACTAAATATAAAAAGAGGAAGAACTTTAGTTTCATCTTTTTTGGGTCATCCTTCCTCAGTGGGAGACATCCAGTGTGCTAAAAGCAAAAATGTCAGTATACAGTAGTCACCCTGTATCCACAGGGTATATGTTCCAAGACCTACCATGGATACTTGAAACTGTGGATACAAATACAAATACAAAAATTTACTTCTTTGCAAAGGTTACAGTGTGTAATTACATTTTATAATTTGTTTGGTACACAGAAAGCCACTATTATACTGGAAAATTTTGAGCAGACTAATCCTAACACTTATAGACTGCTTAAGTCTAGACAGGTAAAGAGTGGTAAATTTTAATTATTTATTAGCGAACCCTGTATATAAGTTACTTTTTGTTTACATACATACCTGTGATAAAGTTTAATTGATAAATTAAGCAAAATAAGTCTAAAATTAGTACTTTTTCACTGATAGGAAGCATTTCATGGTTTCTCTTAGGCTTCGAAGAACTACCAATATCATTACTTTTATACTTTGTGGCCATTATCAAGCAAAATTAAGGGTTATTTTTGGGCCGCAGTGATCTGTGGATAACTGAAACCGCAGATACCGAATCTATGGATACTGGGGTCCTACTGTACAGTATTGTTTTTTGAAACATGAACTACAGACCGTATTTGTAACTGTAAGTACGTATTCCATTTTAGGTTGTGTTTGTGATGACAGGTGATTGTGGTAACCACACCCATCCAGGTTATCAAGCCTTTGAAACTATTGCTTCCACTTCCTCAGGACAGATTTTTCACCTAGATAAAAGTGATGTGAAAGAGGTTTGTGACTACTTGGTGGTAAACCTTGCTTGTAGTTTCTATTGATAATGTATTGATAAATGTTAATTATTACCTATAGATTGTTTATTATTTTAATTAATTTACCTAGTAGACCTCACAGTATTGATCATTTGGGTCCTATTTTTTCTAGGCTGTGATAAAAGTGTATATACAGTTGAACACTGTAGAGTACTATTTAATAAATATACACAGTATTTATAAGATAATGAAATATTTTTCATAGCAGTTTAGGTAGTAAGAACTTGTATTTTGTATATCAGATATAAACCTAATTTATAAAGTACTATATTTAGCACTTCATATTAAATGTTTTTTCTTATATTGGCAACCTCATTTATTCATGTACAATATTAAGATTAAAGAACAGCACTGTAACTCAAAAATTTCATATTTCATCCTATGTCTGTAAATATATGTACATACTGTATTAAAAGACATGCAGTATTATTGTGGCAGCATTTTGATCAGGAACTGTGTCAGAGCGTAATGACTTGACAAAGGGCTTGGAGAGTGAAACGTTGCCACAGTAAAATGTCATATGCAGTATGGATTCATAAATTGGCAGATTTAAAACTAATTATTTAAGTTTCACTGATACTCTATATAAAGTACTTAATACATGTACAGTGTTTATTTTTTAGCCTTTTTTTTTTTTGCCCTTTACATATCAGGTCTTGAACTTTGTGCGGTTGTCATTGGAGTCCCGGAAAGTGAACCTTTTGTCTATTGATCGTGAGAGTGAGGGCCCAGGTGAAGAAAACTTGCCACTCTTGGTAGATCGAACACTCAAGCATTTCACCATTTCTGTCTCTGGAGAGAAACCCAAGATTCAGGTGAAGCTGTAGTCTTGTGCTTATTAGATGTGAAAACAAGATATTACTTTGCAAAGTTTTTATTCTGTAACTCTTTTATATATACTGCAGTAATTTTTGAACTGAGAGCCAGACTTTCATTTAAATATTTTACAGCTTCACCTTAAGGCCAAATGGATGATTTTTGACCTCTTTATGACCTTAACAATAAACAAAAGATATAAAAAAATGACTTTTGAATGATTATTTAACATACTGTTACTGGTATGTCATACTGTATAAATCTCTTTCTAATACTGTACATATAGTAGTTGATAAATTGGATACATGTGCAACTCTTGGGTATCTTTATTGAGGAAATGTTTTGCCACACAGTGGCTTCATCAGTCCATACAAAGGAGGATGGTGAAGAACAAGAGGAGTTTGAGGTAATCAGTCCCTCTGCCTTAAGTCGATGTAGTCAGTCCATCAATCTTGAAAAGAATACAGCATATGTACAAAGAAGTGGCTTATATACTGTAGGCAGGGGAGGTGCAGCAGTCATAGGTGGTATCACATTTGACCAATGTGGAAGTAGGTCATGCCCAAAGGTTAGGCAAGTGAAGAATTCCCTGTATTAACATCCCAAGATGTTGCTGTGTCAGACAGGAATGTAGATGAACAGCAACATTTTGGGATCTTATTACAGGGAATTCTTCACTTGCCTAACCATTGGGCATGACCTACTTCCACATTGGTCAAATGTGATACCACCTACTACTGCTGCACCTCTCCTGCCTACAGTATAAAAGTCACTTCTTCGCACATATGCTGTATTCTTTTCAAGATTGATGGACTAACTACATCGACTCAAGGCAGAGGGACTGATTACCTCAAACTCCTCCTGTTCTTCATCATTCTCCTTTGTATGGACTGATGAAGCCACTGTCTGGCAAAACGTTTCCTCAATAAAGATACCCAAGTGTTGCACATGTGTCTAATTTATCAACTTGTTGGTTCTCTGAACCATTCATCTACACATATAGTAGTACCCTGCTTACACTCCAGGAGGGTAATATTTTGTGAAGGGATTCAGGGAAACAGATTAGCTGGATTTGAGTCCTGGAGGTGGGAAGTACAATGCCTGTACTTTAATGGAGGGATTTGGGATATTTACTGTTTGGAGTGATATCTGAGCTGTCATATCTGAGCACTTCTGCAAAGACAATGATTATGTGTGAATGATGGTGAAAGTATTGAATAATGGTGAAAGTGTTTCTTTTTTGGGTCATCCTGCCTCAGTGGGAGATGGCTAGCGTGTTAAAAAAATATATAGTACATATTAATACTAATGTTAGCTCATTTTTATTACATGGAGTGTGTGTTTGGTATCAAAAAGGTGGACATAATTCCTAAATTTCAAAATTTATGTAAAATCCATAAATATAGCATTTGCTTATCAGTGTCACAAATTTCTATAGAATATGTAGTTACCTTTGATAGAAATAAGTTAACTTTTGATAAATGTATTTTCCAAGAATTACTGATATATTACTATACCTACATTAAAGATACTTTTGCGTATACTAGTTGATTGGTTCATATTCAAGTAGGTTCCTAATTGAAATTTAATTTTTAAGAGTCTTGAATATGTTAAAGGAGGGTTGTGATGGATGTATTTTTTTTTTTTCAGATTTATGGTCCAGAAGGGGAGGATGTAAGCCAAGATAAAGGAGTAGAGAATCTTTTGGCTCTGGAGAATGTGAAAATTGTTGGGGTGAAGGAACCTTCACCTGGTGAGTTCTAGAACTGGCACTGTGATAAACCTCTGTTTTATCCAAGTACAGTGGACCCCCGGTTAACGAACTTTTTTCATTCCAGTAGTATGTTCAGGTGCCAGTACTGACCGAATTTGTTCCCATAAGGAATATTGTGAAGTAGATTAGTCCATTTCAGACCCCGAAACATACACGTACAAACGCACTTACATAAATACACTTACATAATTGGTTGCATTTGGAGGTGATCGTTAAGCGGGGGTCCACTGTAATTGTTTTTAATATACAAACAAACTCTCACCAAAGTAGGGTGATCATATAAGGAAATATTCACCATTTTCCATTTAACTGCCATTTTACCAGAAGTTCATAGACATTGCAATTGAAATGGCTCTCTGAACTGCAACATTCCCACTCCACCTTCACAGAGCAGACACTGTACTTACCACCTCCAGGACTTGAGTCTGGCTAACTGGTGTCCGTGAATTCCTCCATAAATGTTACCATGCTCACACTCCAACAGCACACCAATGAAAGTATGGTTGCCATAATACAGCTCTGAAATGTAAATAATGGTTAAATTTAATCCCTAGTTGCATTCACTGTGTGCAGCTCACAAATAATCAACACTTTTCATTGGAAATTTTACCCAAAGTATGGGTTATTTGTAAGTCCTTTATTTACTTTGTACCTTGTTACTAGTGCATCAGCAGCCCAATTTCTACCTAAACCCTGATACTACATAATAAATAAGTGGTCAAGTAAACAAAAGGAAACTTAAACTTATCTTTTCCTGTTGTACAGTAATGTACAGTATTTTAATTTTGGATGAAATAACTGTATTTTTTTACACTGTAAGGTTCTGATAATCATATTTTCTTGTATGCTCTGAATAAACATTATTCAGTTCCCAGTGAATGTGTTTTGAGTGAAAGACCACTTTGACAGGTCGGTATAACATCTCGGTGGGCAGTGAGAGCAAGTACACTGTACGAGCTACAGGACTTTCTTCTCTCACTTTTGAGCACGGGTTTTCTCTTGAACCCACTATTAATTTCAAGGAGACTTATCACAGACCTATGAAAGGTGAGATATTCATAAGTTTTTTAATAAATTTTGCATATTTTCTAACTTCAATAATGATGGCAGAGATTATGTATGTACAGTATACAGATAACCTTCACATAGGAGAACGTTTTGGTTCAACTTGCACCATTATCCAGTCACACACAGACTGGATAATGTGTAAATAGATAATGGTCCAAGCTGGACTGAAGCATCATTGTTAGTTTCAGTCCCCTATATGCAGGTTATTTGTGTATTGTTCCATTCACATTATTGTGCCTTTTTATTTCATTATGTGCAGTGTATTAGCAAAGTATTTGCTATTTGAGACTTTAATCTCTGCTATTTTTTGTATTTTATATGAAGAACTATAGTCGTTCAATGCAAGGAATGGTATAGTAAATTTTGTGAATTATGGAGCTTAGCTTGAAATATTGGATGATGAAGATTTTATTATAAACTTCAGAAAATTTTTGCAGTACAAAGTACTGCATCTCATTTTTTAAGTTTTTAACAGAATGGCAAGCAGTACTACTGCAGTATTTTTTAAGGTATATTTCATAGCACAGTTAATTTTGGTAATTGAATGGAAAAATGGTACAGTGGATCTTAGCACAAGAATCATTTATACTCTCTTGTAGGAAACATTAAGTAAAAAGACACCAGTGCAACTAACGTGACATTTTATTGTGTCAATGTTTCGCTCCTGGAGAGCAAAACGTTGCCACAATAAACTGTCACATTAGTTGTACTTGTGTCCTTTTACTTAACATATTGTTGGTAATTCTACCACTATTAATACAGGAAATATTAAGTCCATGTTTCGTTTTCGAGTCCACCACTACTTTCTTTATCAGGTGGATCATCGTATGTGATAGTTAGGCCAGTCGATGTGACAGAGTTTGGAGATTTATACCGCCTGCAGATGATATCGCTTGATGGTGTTATTCTTGAGGACTTGCCTCTTCATCGCTTACCGGGACCAGTACCAATCTACAATGGTACATCATTTCTGGCTCCAAATGAATCCTTCAACATTAAGGTTAGTAATACAAGACTGATTAATAATAATAATAATAAGCATAATAATAATAGGCAAAATACAATTGTATAAAAGTATTGAAGTTCCGCTGTGCAGGCAAAAATGTCTGAAAATAGTTTACAATTACTTCTTTTGTGCCTTCATCTTCTATGAACCCATAATATGCTAAAGTTAATGCAATACAGTACTGTATAGTGTTATTTCAATGATGACTATTTATTTAGGTATGTAGGTATTGTAATAAAGCACTGAGTTATTGTAAACAACTCAGTAACAAATTATTTGATGAGTATGACACATTTCCAACAGTTGCAATAATAAAGATACCCAACTGTTGCAAATGTGTCTTACTCATTTTTAATAAATTGCTTCTCAGGTTTAGTTGAAAATTCAGGTTTACTGAGGATGCAACTAAACATACACAAATAACCCGCACATAAAAGAGAGAAGCTTACGACGACGTTTCGGTCCGACTTGGACCATTGACTTTGTCAATGGTCCAAGTCAGACCGAAACGTCGTCGTAAGCTTCTGTCTTTTATGTGCGGGTTATTTGTGTATCGTTCCAGTCACGGTATTGTGCCTTTTTTTGTTATTTATTGATGCAACTAAAGTTAAAAATTACAGTTTTTTTGCAGTAAGTGTTGGGTATGATATTTGTAAGATATTATGATTTGATGAGAAGAACACTAAAGCAAAGCCTATTATATATCCAGTATTTAGGAGAAGTTATAAAAATACAAAGAATATTCAGAGCAGAGAGAATAATATTGTATTATGTATTAATACAGTATACTGGGCTGTACTTCAGCTAAGATAATACACGTTTAGGTAAGCTTATACAGGAAAATTGGTATTAACACCAAGGAAACTAATCCTAATAAATAATCTAGGAAGCTAGAATAAAGACACTCAAAAAAAATTAATAATAATAATAATAATATAATAATAATAATAATAATAATAATAATAATAATAATAATAATAATAATAATAATAATAATAATAATCTTTATTTCTACAAGCAAAAGGTGTACAGTCCTAGCTGACATAACTGACATACTACTAAATAAAAAGCCCCATGTTATGCAGAGCACTTTGGGCAAATAAGGTAAATTTTGTCCCCAGGATGCGACCCACACCAGTCAACTGACATCCAGGTACCTATTTTACTGATAGGTGAACATGGACAGCAGGTGTCTTAAGGAAACATGTTCTAATGTTTCCAGCCGTACCGGTGTTTGACCCCTGAAGCTCAGTGTGTGGGCTGAGTGCACTAGTGATCGAGCTATGGCACATCCATAATGATAATGACCCAGGATCAGATAGATCAATGAGTTGTCAACAATGCTATTTTCTTCAAAGCTTGAGCAGTATTTTTATTGTACTGTATTGTATTCTCTATTAATATTTAGCATACAAATATTTTCTTCTGAAGTGCTGTGAAATCTTCTGTATTTTTATTCTGTTCAAAGTTGCTTGGCTTGAGTAATGTTTTTATAATTTCAGATCTTTGGGCGTGATGAACATGGTTATCAGTTTGAAAGGATTTCTCCAACTGCAATAACATCCCAACTTCCTTGTGAGTTAAACAAGTAAAGAGCAGGAATGCCATTGTGTATTCTGATTTTACAATACAATATAAAATTCATTTCAGTAGAATTTTATTTTTTCTGCAGTATACAAAATGTAGTTTACATGTAATAAAACATTGTTAAGCACTAAAGAAAGCCACTGGCATACAGTGCATTTTGGACCTTAATTTTTGTTGTCTGAAAAATTTAATGGACAATATAAAGAAAATTACTCACAATCATATTGCATATTGTGATGAAAATGTTTACCAAATAAATGCTGACCTGAAATTCTAAAATGTTGTGAAATAATTTCTTTTTATTGCTATTGATTGCCTGCTTTCTTCTAGTTCCTCCAGAAGTGACATCTGTTGATCGAGTTAATGGATATTTTGATCAGCCTGCAGTGATTACTTGTCATGTTAAGACACTTGTACCATTTACACTCTCCTGGCAAAAAGACGGAATTGAACTTGATGGCCAGAAGAGCTTCCCGTAAGTTGCTTTGTGGTATTCTTATATGCGTTAATTTAAATGATAAGATTATCAGTTTAATCTGTCTATCTTTCTGTATACTAAGTAGTAAGCTGGTAGACATCAGCCATCCAGGGAGGTACTACTGTCCTGTTATATAGATGTGAAACTGAAGTTTAAATATTTTGCCAACAGACAGTCTGCAGAAGTGGAATATGTAGTTGAGTACCCCAACCGTGATGACGAGGGGCGTTACAGCTGTGTTGCTACTAATGTTGCTGGCAGTGCCTCCTCAAGCATTTTTCTTGACATGAAAGGTGAGACTTGGAGAGTAAATCTTCCTCAGTAGAATGTTACAATATTGTAGCTGGAACAATTATCAGTTAACCTACAAAATGGAAATGAAAATTAGGTGATATTTCCATCCACATTGCTCAAGGACAAAATGAGATATCATTTGACTTTCATTTATAGTTTGTGGGTTGTGTGAATTCTTCCTCAATAGCTTCTGTTGCTTGATTTCCCTTGTATCATTTTTTTTGTGTCAGTAACATTGACTTTTCTGACCTGAATTTTCCTACAGTAGTATATTTCAGCATACAGTGTAGTCTCCTAGTTGTAGTGTAATCTCATCTTTAGCATTTCAACATACTGTGTCCTTTTTACAATACAAGTCCATATTTAAATAAATTACTTCTTATCATTTTAATGTAGAAATATTACTAAATGTATCCACAAAACTGTACTATCTAACAAAACTGATGACAGCTCTTTAAAAATACCAGTTTAATTTTCACAACTTTGTTTAGTCATGCACATTTTTATTTCCCTCTCGTTTGCTTAAAGAAAGTTTTTGCGGGCTATTATCTTTTTGCTCTGTCTTGTTTTCCCTTTTTACTACAGCAACCCCTTCTTCCCCTTTCTTGAGTTAGCTGTCTTCCTACCCCAACGAACCCACCCCGCAGATTGCCGCTCCATCAATCCCACATTTCCCCCGCTCAGCTGCTTATTGTCCGTGAGTACCCCCATTTGGTACAACTTGACATGGTCCCGCTAGTTGTCCGGGGCGATCCAAGATTATTCGGAAGAAGGGAAACTAGTAGGTACCACCCAAACCCAAGGGGTTTTTCTTCATTCCCCTTTGTTACATGTACAAAGCAAAACTTTTTTTAAAAAAGCTACAGGGGACAAAAATGGTCCAAAAGAATAAGTGGTGTAAATTTTGAAGCTAAATGGAAACCCATGTTTTCAAGTTTTAAAGGGGGTTTGATTAAAATTTACTAAATTAGCGGGTTTTTTGTATGAAACAATTTTTTAATCAAGATTTTTTTTCATTTTTTATTAGAAAATTCCCGTTTTTGACTTGAAAGCTTTAAAAAATTTACATTTTTTTTTTGAAGTTTTAAATTTTCTGCTTCCCTTTAAAAAAAGTTTGAAGGCAGGAGGCTTTCAGGTAACCAGGAAAAAACAAATAACTTTTTAAAAATGTAAAGATATCACAGCGGGGATAAAAAATACATGTTCACTTTATACAAAAACATTTACCAGAACTTGGACTTGTTTTTGTTCTTTTCTGCAGTTGGGGGTTTTGTAAATGTTGAGACCCTAGAAGGCTCGGGGCCCTCAGCAACATGTCTTTGCCCCTGGAAGATGTGGACTGAAGGATGGGGGTTGGGTTCGGTGCACCTAAAAATAAAGGTTATATTTTCAAGAAAAAAAGTGTAATTTTTTGATTTAATTGTTTTGTTTGTTTTACTAGAATTAAACCCTTTGATGCGAAGGGGCCAAATCCTGAAGGGTTTTGGTGTCGCAAAATTCGAAAAAAAAAAAAAATTTTTTTCTTATGAAAAGATAGAGTTTTTTTCCCCATTGAAAGACCCAAAAAACGAAAAATTTGGGGAAAACTGAGGAATTCCTCTCGCGAAGTTAGGATTCGGCGTATTAAAAAAAGGGAATTTCGCCCATTTGAGCCCTATTTTCGGCTAATTCCGTTATTCCGTCACCAAACCATAATATTTCTTTTAGAACTCGATTTTTTCTATCGATTGAGTACAAGAAACTGCCCCTTTTTCCGATTTCAATACCCAATAACATGGTCAGAAATTTTCAATTTGGCCAATTTCACGAAAATTAAAAAAAACACAATTTTAAAATAAGGTCCAGAATGAACAATGCGACATTCCCGGCTTAAAATAACATTTTCTTTTTTCATCAGTCATGTCTCCCCCTGTGATATTACTCTTTCTTTTTATTTTTAAATTTTTTCAACAAAAAAAGAAGATTTACGTTTTGCGAAACCCGCAAAACTGTAATAATTTTTAAAAATTTTCATCAACCATTCATGACTGCGAAATTTGAATGGTGTTGGGGCATTTATTTGGGCAATGACATCATTTTTTACTTTTTAACACGCAAAAAACAAAAATTTCCTGTACTTTGTGCTCCCTTTCAGGGTTTTTTTTATAGTAAAATTAATCAAAATACCCCCATTTTTAAATTTGTTTCCTTTTTTTTCAAATGAACCAAGAAAAAGAGAAAACAACCCCAAATACATACGAAAAAGACACAAAACGGCTTTTTTAAATTAAAAAAAACGGTCGGAGTTTTTTTTTTCCATTATGCACTGCGTTCCAGGATTTTTTTTATGTGGTGCAACGACACACGACCCTTCTCTCACATGTGGGCCTACTAGTTTCCCTGCCCGATTTGAAGCGCTGATTTTTTGAGTATATAACGTCAAACACGGGACCTCCAAAAAGATATTACGGCCGCGACAGCAAAGGGTTAAGGTCTCTTAACAATACAGTGTGCAGTTTTTTGTATAAGTCCCATAAACACTGATCGTGAAAAGATAAATCCCAATGGGGTTTAAAATAAAAAAATTTTGGGAAAAGGGTTTGTTATTTTAGCCTCAGTCAGGGGCCCTCCTTTTGCGATATAGAGTCTCTGATGGGGCCCAAAATACTATACAGATTCATTCCATTTTTTTTAAATCAAGTGGGTTTACCTTTCACTGTTAAATTTTAGGCATGAAAAAAAACAAAAAAATTTTATGCTGAAATAAACTTTTAAAAAAATGTAAGGATTAGCTTTCTTTTATATATACATTTATGATTAGTCTTTCCTAATATAGACTAGGTCAAAAATATTACTTTTTTGACCCACTCATCCTGTTAAAATTTTGTAGTTATGTATTTGAATATTTTTTGTTGGGGAATTTTTTTTTTTTTTTTTTATAAAAAAATTTTCAATGATCTAAATCTCTCCAGGGCACTTATTAAAGTGTTGAATTTTGTAGATTTGGGGACACATGTAACATATGCAGTTGCAAGTTGTTTCTAACTTTTATGTTATTTTTTTAGGAAGGTGAAATTTTCCCGACCAAAAAAAATGTACAGAGAACTTTCACGGCGCGCTAAGGGGAAAAAACCTCAATTATGGGAGCGTTGGGGTTTCCCTAAACCTGTTTCCCTGGACGCAGGAGGGGAGATACATGATTTTACCCCTGGAAACCTAGAGGGCTAGTATCGAAATTGCAACGAAATCCCCACTACGAAAGCAAAAAGACTTGGCGCGTGCACCATCCCCCAATAAAAACAGGGGTGTCATAGCACGTTTAAGAGACCTACAATAAAATGTCAGGGGCCCTGGATGTTCAACTGCCCCCCCAGACCATAAGGGGGTTACCAACAGCCCCTGGCGTTTCAAAACTGGCAGGACAAGCACCTAAAGTCGTTCCGGATCGCCGGGGTGTGGCTCGTATGTTGGTTTGCGTGCGCCAGCAGCAACGCCTGGTTGATCAGGCTCTGATCCCCCGGAGGCCTGGTTCAGACCCGGGCCCCGGGGGCGTTGGGCCCCCCGGAAATTTCCCGGTAAAATCCAGGTAAGGTGTCTCAGGTTATAGTTTTGCATTTTTTTTTCTTTTTAAACATTGGTGGTTTTGGTGAGGTAATTGTGTTTACTACAAAAAAAACACTTAGTAATATATCTTCGTAATAATAAAGGTGGAAGACGGTCAGGGGAAATCATGTTTCAGTGATGGACCACCTGAGGTGTTTGTGCCTGAAGTGTGCCATTTCCGTAGGTGATAAATCACTGTTTCCTGCTTTGTCGGGGATTCCCCCAACCACCATTAAATGGTGGGGGTTTATACCCCTTTGATGGGGGGAGTGGAAGAATAGTCACTATGAGCTCAAAGCTGCATCTTTTTCTTTTAATTATAAGATCATGGGCCCCACACCTGTAGTGCCACAAAACTCGCAGGCATGGTGGTGTTACTTTATTTTGCATTTAAGGTAGTTGATGAAAAATATTTGCTTAAGCCAAGAAAAAAAAACCCCTGATAATGAAGTACAGATGAGACAAGATTTGAATCCATGTCCTTTGTAAACCACATAACCTCTTAATACAATATTTTTATGAGACCATTTTGGAAATAGCTTCGTTATTCGCTTTTTTTCCCTTTTGCCTTGTGTTTTTTTTTTCCATGATCTCTGAAGTGTTTTTGGTACTGACCCCCAAAAATTTTTGTTGGCATAGACCCCTGAATTTTTGCTTGATGCATGACCCTAAAAAGTTCCTTGAGCATGACCCTAAAATTTTTGCTTGGGCCTGACCCCCAAATTTTTTGCTTGGTGGAGACTCGAATTGTGGCTTAGTGCAGCACTAAATTTAAAAGTGGGAATGGATTTCTATCAAAATGTTTCTATTTTTCTTATGAGAAGAAAATGTGCAAGAATTTCTTGGTCATAGAACCTTTAAGCTAAGGTTTGCCAATATTCAAGAGATTAAAGTAATATATAAGGATACAGTATTGCCAAAAACCTTTAAATAATTTAGATTAAAGCAATATACGTATAAGGATATAGTATGGCCAAAAAGCTTCAAGTAATTTGGACATGCAACTTTCCTAATGTCCTCTTCTTTATGATTTGTGTCACAGAACATTCAGCAGTCATGGTTGGCTACCTGGAATGATAACTTGAGGAAAAGTGCATTGAGAGAGAGAGTGAATGAGAGTGAGTGAGAACGAGTGATTGTGAATGAGTATTTTTTTCAGTTTTATGCATTCATGGCTGTTTTATATACGTATTTTGTTTTACTAATATTGTAATCTAGACCCTGAAATTGCAAAATTATTAATATGCCAAAAAAATTTGTACAACCCATCAGAACAAATTAAAAAAAAATTTTGCCTTCATATTCTCTTCAAGAATTTTAGTGCACTATTGTAAATACCAATGTGAAATATTATATTCTTTGGTACAGCAAAGGCACAAGTGATGCTGAGCTTCATGAGCGCTCCACAGGTGACAGCGGTACAAGAGGATGTTCTGGTGGGCAGCGGTAATACGGTAACCACAGATAACCTTTGTAGGAAAACATTTAGACTGAAAAATTGAACACAGGTAAAAGAAAGTGTATATATTGCTCTTCATTGTAGATTCTTTTCAGAAAATCTCTTTCACCTGGGTTTAATTTTTTGTCTGAGTAGTTTCTTTCATTTTGTTGCTCACCTTGGGTGATACATTTGTCATTATGTCTGTGACCAGTGGAATGCAGTATATATTTATGAGCTCAGCAATGCCGTTGATGTACATAATTTAATGAAAATGAAGTGAAAATCTTTTTTTCATAATTAAGAAACATAATTTTATTATTATTATTATTATTATTATTATTATTATTATTATTATTATTATTATTATTTATTATTATTATTATTAGATTCATGTTGGGAGGACTAAATCTGTAGGGAGTCAAACAGTGCATAGGAAGTGGAAGACATTTAGACTCAATTCAAGGAACTGAAGCACAGGTCTGATTCCTTAGATCAAGAGGAACCTTCCTTGAGGGGATACACAGAAGTTACCCTAGATGGACTGCAGTTTGCCTGGTTATGGCTTTGATATAATTATGATACAGATACACTTTGATACAATTTCAGTTGTATTTATCAAAAGAAAGTTGCTTATTATGCAAATCATTTCAGGCAAACTAATCCTAAAACTTGCCTTCTCCTTAATTCTACTTGATTCTTAAAAAATTTGCACAGAAAATTATGCATTTGCAATTGTGGAATAATGTATAAAAACTAAGAAAGCAGTTTTAAATATTATTATTATAGAAGAGGAGTGAACTGAACAGTATTATTATTATTATTATTATTATTATAATCAAGGGGGAAGCGCTAAACCCGGAGGATTATACAGCGCCTGGGGGGGGGGGATGTGGAAGGCATTCAGGCTTAATTCGGGGAACTGGAGTACAGATCCAGTTCCCTAAATCAAGAGCCCCTCACCAACATCAAGGAAAACTGAACAGTAGAAAATAACAAGCCACTACTGTATGGGGTATAAGACATCAGGATGCGAGAGAGAAACATGGAGTGGATTAAATAATTTGTTACTGGAAATTACCCCTAGCAAAAGCAGTTATGAAGGTGGGAGATGTAAGAGTAACATCTGAGATGAAAAGTCACAAAAAATGATTACTGAAAAAACAGGAAATAGCCATTACTGAAGACTTGTTCTTGAAGCCTTTATAAACAAAATAACTTTAACAGCTCATGATAAACTAACAAATATAATCATGGACTTTATGCACCTAGATGAACAATCTGATTTAAAACTTGTTCAGAATGCATGTACTATTTGTTCATTAGCTACCTTGATTGTTATGCATATAATTGTATAAGACTGACGAACTGAACACATTGACTCCAGGCTGAGGGACTTATTACCTGAAACTCTTCATCTTCCACCTTTTTCTGCATTTGACTGAGGAAGCCACTGGCTGATGAAATGCTTCCAGAGTGAAGATACCTAAATGTTGCACAAGTTACAAGTGTCTCATTATCATATTTTCCTATGTTGCAGGTAGAGCTTTATTGCTCAGTACAAGGAACTCCTGCTCCAACTCTCAGATGGCTGAAGGATAGCTTTATAGAAGTCACCCCAATGTCTTTCATACAGGTATTCTATTTTTTAAAATCATGTTCATATAAGTAACTTCATGAAGTATTTCATACTAAATACATGCATGTACATATATGATCTATGCATCATGGGTGTATATTCTGGGTGTGGTAGGAGGTGAGTGCTGCACTCCCACCAATGATGGTAAATTTATTATAAATAGTATTAAGTTTGGGATATTGGCAGTTTGGAGGGATATGTTGTGTATCTTTATACGTATATGCTTCTAAACTGTTGTATTCTGAGCACCTCTGCAAAAGCAGTGATAATGTGTGAGTGTGGTGAAAGTGTTGAATGATGATGAAAGTATTTTCTTTTTTGGGGATTTTCTTTCTTTTTTGGGTCACCCTGCCTCGGTGGGAGACGGCCGACTTGTTGAAAAAAAAAAAAAAAAATTAAGTTCTCTCAGTAATATAATCATGGATCATAATTGGAAACTATGTAACTTTTTTGTCCCCTTTTATGAAATATTGTGACAGTTGTTCTGAGTAATACTTATACCAGAGTAGTAGGTTCAGCACAGTAACATAGTGCACACCCTGTGACAATAACCACCATATGTCACTGCTGTGCATATATTCCACCAGTTTCATGAGCCGTGCTCTAACCTGCTACTCCTGAAAAGCTATACTGAGTACTTACTTCAGGTAATCTTGTTTAAATTTATCACCATTTATATGTCTTATTCTCTTTAATTTACTTAAATATTTCATGTTGAGTAAATATTATTAATGCCCTGTTATCTTAAATTTATATTTCTGAGGAGAAAAAACATAAAAAATTTATTAGTATTCACTGCCGTATGTGACTTAAACTTTATAAATATTGTAGTTATTCATGGTAGTGGTTTATGTAAATGATTATATCACCTCTACAAGTTTATATTTTGAGTATTATGATGCAGATTGGAGAGGACCATCTGAGGATTTTGGGAGTGCAGGAGAGTGATGCTGGCAAGTACACATGTGTGGCTGCTAATGTGGCTGGCACTGCCGAGGCTCACATCACACTCAAGGTTGGCTCACCACCTGTAGTGATCCAGGCACCTGCAGGTAATTTCACACTTTTTTAATCACTTTCCTCTACAGTCATAATTCATTTTTATTCATCAACAATCAGAAATCATTTGAATATGATGTCCATGCCTGTCTAGAAAGACAGCTAGAGAGTGAGCTATGATAATGTCTTTTCTTTCCTTAGGTTACCTTGCCATCAGAGTCACAGTGCCCCGTGGCCTGGTGGCTAAAGCTCTCACTTCACATGGTGAAGGTCCAGGTTCGAATCCTGGCGAGGGTAGAAACATTGGGCATATTTATTTACACCAGTTGTCTATGGGTACCTTGGAGTTAGTTGACTGGTGTGGGCCACATCCTGGGACAAAACTGACCTGATTTGCCAGAAATGCTCTGCATAACAAGCGGCTTTCTGTATAGTAGTATGTCATTGATGTCAGCTAGGGCTGTATACCTTGTACATTTTTTTTCTTCTTTTTTCAACAAGACAGCCGTCTCCCACCTAGGCAGGGTGACCCAAAAAGAAGGAAGAATCCCCATCATCATTCAACACTTTCACCTCACTCATTCATAATCACTTTTTGGCTGAGGTACCCAGAAACAACAGTTCAGAAACTTATATAAAAGATACAATATAAAAAGTGACCTGAAATAATATAATAAACTCCATATAGAATATAATACATGTATCAGGGGGCCCCAAGTATATATATACCATCCTGTTGCACATCCCTCCAAACTGCCAATATCCCAAACCCCTCCTTTAAAGTGCAGGCATTGTACAGTACTTCCCATTTCCAGAACTCAAGTCTGGCTGTATAAAACTGACCGGTTTCCCTGAATCCCTTCACTAAATATTACCCTGCTCACACTCCAACAGTATGTACATGTACATCTGTTTGTAGAAATAAAAATATTATTATTATTATTATTATTATTATTTTTATTATTATTATTATTATTATTATTATTATTATACATGATACAATGTTTGTACAGAGATGGGTGATATATGGTTGTGTATACAAATAGCCCATGGCTATGCAAAGCATTGCAGCACTATATGACCCTTATGGGTTTAGCACTTAGTTATGATAATAATAATACCAATAATATGCAGAGCATTTCTGGCAAGCTTTAAGACTACAATGGTGGAAAATGGCCAAATTATAGGGTATATAAAACTCACCCATGAATATTTTTAGATATGATAGGGGCACTCTGTTGTATTGCTACCATGTTTTTTTCTGTACTAGTTTCCAGAAAATAATTTGAGAATATCTCTACACATTGATTTAAAACTGACTACAAACCACTTACGTGTTCTTATAAGGAATATTCCTATTGAAATTGGGCAGTGCAGCTCTCAGAAGTCTGTGTGTAAGTCAGTTTTTTGTTTTATCTTGGTCTTCATCTCTGCACACAGATCAACATAAAATAAGCATAGCAACAACAAACCTGTGGGAGCAAAGGGTCATAGCAGCAGAGCAGTAGGCTTGCGTAATGGAAAAGGAATTGGGCAGATTGAGAAAGGATGTTGAATAATGAAGGGAAATGATCGAGGAGGCAGAGACTAGAAAAAGGAGAAGAAGAAAAAGCTTTGTACTGTACACATGTTCTCAGAGATGATCACAAGCATTTTATTATGTGTAAACTACATTATTTTTGCGCCACATAAAAAAATAAAATAATCGAATTTGAATGATACGAGAGATTACGAGGCAATTTGAAAAGATAGTGAGAGGAAGAGAGATCCATTAGTGATTTATTTACAAAGCTGAATGGCCGAAAAAGAATAAAAGCACGTAAAGGATAGGCAAAATGAGGCTAAGCAAAATTAGGGAACATAGAAACACAGGGAAAAGGCAAAATAACAAATTATTTCTATAAGTTAATATTACGGAACTACTGCATACTGACTAAGCCTTTGTAATCAAGTTATGAGAGAATTTAGGACAAAGTGATGGTTGAAAAATAGATAACAAATGCTGATAGGAAGACCTAGGGAAACAGTATAAAAAAATTGACAGCAGTTGCCAGGGAATTTCTTCAATGGATGGTAAAGGTCATTCTTTCCAGGCCTGACAGACCATTTACCAGTGATAAAGGAAGACACCAAATCCCACCCGGTTGACTCGTACGTTGGTTTGCGTCAGCCCAGCGCGACCACCTGTTGTCAGGGTGATGCCACCAGAGCCTGCACAACCGGGCCGCGGGGCTTGACCCCGAAACTGTCTTCCAGTAAACTCCAGGTAATAATCATTAAGTTTTTGAAGATGCAAAATATTTGAAAAGCGTGAATATTGGCATCTGAAGAAACATGAAGAGTTAGGCACAAGTAAGGAAAATTCAAAATAAATGCAAAGAAGGAGAAAACTATTTGCTAACCAAAGCAGTTGAGCAGGAGAAAATAATCGACATTCTAGTGTACATTACATTTTAAAAACCAGCTGCTCTGAATGGCATCCTAACCTCTCTTGTAAACTCCTCATATTCTTAGTACTAGCTATTCATCATACAGTATGATCATTGTTAATTATCTGGTGCCCACGGAGAATGGTGCATCAAACTTTCAGTAACACTAGATGATCACAGAATTTTTTATGATTGTTTTGTTTTACAAATTCTTTTCCTTTTTTCCTTAATCACTTTAGATACAATCAGACTAGACTTTCGTGATATTAGTGCAAAGTCAACAAATCAGGTGTAAAACGCCAGATAATCAATGATCTACTGTATGTAGATTTGTAAATGACAGAATTTGCATTTATAAGTGTGTATACATATTTGAAGTCTGAGGAGTTTAATATCTCTCTGTAAAATCTCTATTAGACACCTCTGTGGAGATTGGCAGCACTGGTGCATTGTCGTGCTATGGAGTTGGTGTCCCCGAGCCCACAATAACCTGGAGTAAGACAGATGGCTCGCCTCTCTCCCCTAAGTTTTCACAAGATAGAGATGGTAACCTTATAGTCAAAGGTAAGACAATGCCATATGTGCCAGTGACAACTTTATTCATTGATGCTTCATTATGGAGTTTGAATATTATCGTTTTGGCTTCAAGTCACACTTTTATGGTGTTTGTTGTCAGAAAATTTAAATAGTATCAGTTGCCCTGTCAGATTCTGGAGAATGGTGTTGTGAGTGACACTGTGGTTATAAGTTCTAAGATTTCATAACATATTTTTTTTGCAGGTATGCAAATGGAAGATGAGGGTAACTATATGTGTACATTAGATAACCAGTATGGAAGAGAAAGACTACAAGCAACACTTTCTGTATCAGGATTATGTAAGTTATAGAATCTGATGAGATATCCTCCATAAAAGTACACTCATGGATTTATTTTTTATCTAAAAGATTAAACCTTGGAAAAATAAATTAGCTATAAATTTTATTAATTTTTACTATTCTGTGCTACTAAAAGAAAATCTTAAAATAATGTGTTGTACTTTAGGTAGATGTGTTAACTATTAATCCACAAATTGGAGATGAATAAGACAACACTTTGGTCCATCCTGGACTAGTGTCAAGCTCAGGACAGACTGAAACAATGTCTAATTTCATCTCCAATTTCTGGATTAGTTGTAAATTGTTCCAGCCACCATATTATTACTTGTATTTTTCTTAGATTTGTTTAGAGTCAGTGCTTTCTAATTTTCTGTTTTTGATAGTGGCACCACTGATTGCTGCACCACCTGATCCCAATCTGAAGGTTACTCTTGACTCACCAGTGACTCTCCCCTGCACAGTAGTTATAGCTAATCCTCCTCCACAGCTTGTCTGGCTCCACGAAGGCTCACCTATTGATCAAGAAAGAGGTCAGTAAGGTGAAATAAATAAATGTGTTTCTGAAGCTTTTTATCTGTTATTCTAAATTACATGTTAAATACAGTGGAGAGCCATAATTCACATTTTATTATAATGTAATGCAGTTGTGCATATCAGTATAGATATAAATAATGTGGAAATTTTAGGGTTGACTACTGCAGTGACATTAACCAATAATTCTTTTGATATATAGGAATGTTCTTGAAAACTGATGGTTCCTTAACCATACCCTCTGTACGACCATCAAATGAGGGCACATACCAGTGTGTTGCTACGAATGTTGCTGGCAATTCATCTCTCACCTTGCATCTCACGGTCCAAGGTAATGTGCATGCCTAGGATTATAGTATAGGTATTTAGATACTCATTTTCATATTGCAGGATGCCACTTATAATGTTGAAGATATTGTAATATGGTAGTTGTAAAAAAGCTATGCTTAGTATCCTCAGCAGGACAATAAGTCCTCAACTTACAAACACATTGGGAACCCCCTGAATTGTGTATAACATTCATAATATTTTTATGTTTTTGTGTTTTATAGTTTTATATTTTTATGTTTTATATTTATGTTTTTCTTTCTTGTGGGTCATGGCTGATGTGATAAAAAAAAAATATTATGGGGACTGACTGTATTGGGTATAATAATGATATTATACACCATAATGATATAATAATGATACTATACACAATACAGAACATTCTCAGCATGTTTGTAAGTTGAGGACTGACTGTATTCAAAAGATACTCATTGGTTTCTTTATGGAAAGTTTAAGAAGTGTTATTAATATCAGTTAAATCTTAGTGTATATGATAACATTTGAACCATTCCTCAGTAAGAATGTTAATCTCTTGAAAGAATGTTAGACTTAATTAGTACTTGGCAGTAAGAGATAACAATCATATTATTTTGCAATAACTGACAGTTCCACCACGAGCAAAGACAAACCGTTTGGAAGAAAAAGTTGTTGCCTTAGAGGGTGACTCGGTAAAACTAAAGTGTCCTGTTAGGGGTGAACCTCGGCCAACATTCTTCTGGCGTAAGGATGGCCATCCTCTCTCAGATGTGTCTCGCAGGTGAGAGGAAGTAAAATGCTTGTTGGGAAATGGAAGAGTTGAGCAATATACCATAGATGAAATTGTGTGCTTAGTGTTTACTTATTCCTCCTAATGTGCCTGACCATATTTTGTATTTCTTTCTCTCCCCTTTTTCTCCCTTGTTTATTTATATTAAGTATAGCTTGTATCTTTCTTCACACTATGTTACTCGGTTCAAACAAATACTGTAATGATTAATTTACTTACTTTATATTTTTGTGACTATATCAGCCATTGCCCACCAAGACAGAATGACCCAACGTAAAGAACTTATTTGTCCATCACTCACTCTAGTTGCCTTTCCATAAGGAAACATAATATGGTCAAATGTTGAACACTAAAGCAAGGAATAACTCTGTTTTTGTTTTTAATAAATATTATATGCAAGCTTGTGGCATCATCATCACATCCTCCTTTGTCACTGAGAGATGACTACATATGTTCATTACAGCATATTTGCTTCTTTGATGTTTTTTCTTGCTCATTCACTCATTATCTCACTCTTTCACTCACACTCACTCATGTATTCAAATTAGCCTTTCCTCACTTTACTCATCTTTTCACCTTCTCTTTTTTTACAAACGAGTTAAATTGTTGTTGGTACTATAGTGACATGTGTCACTTGTCACCTTTCCTAATCACATAATCTTCCCTCATCACTCTCTCATTCCCTCATGCCCTCTTACTCTTTATTCTGTTTCTTATCTGTTACCAGCAGAATAGGTGTTAGAATTGCCATATTGGGTACACTTATTACTGTTATAGGAATTTTATTTCATGAATTATGTGCACAAAATGTGCTCCGTGTAGAAAGCATCAACAAGATTTTAACAAATTTTGTGGTGCGGAGTAGCACATTCATGTAATATACCTGTTCTGTAACTGGTTATTTGTATGTTTAATCTAAAGTCTGCCTGAAATACAATGCATAACAATGGGCTTTTCCATGTGATTTGTTGAATATGAGCATATAATGTATTACTGTGTAATGGCATGGAAAATAAACTTGACTTTATTAGCATGCTAAATCCATGCTGAGACTGCTGCTCATTGTTATAAAAATAATTTACCCATAACATATAGAATAGAAGCGTCAGGAAAGAGAGAGGTGAAGGTTTATAAACTAAAAGAGGAGCAGTTAGGGCAAGATATAAACAGCTATTGGAGGATAGATGGGCTAATGAGAGCATAGGCAATGGGGTCGAAGAGGTATGGGGTAGGTTTAAAAATGTAGTGTTAGAGTGTTCAGCAAAGTTTGTGGTTACAGGAAAGTGGGTGCGGGAGGGAAGAGGAGCAATTGGTGGAATGATGATGTAAAGAGAGTAGTAAGGGAGAAAAAGTTAGCATATGAGAAGTTTTGCAAAGTAGAAGTGATGCAAGGAGGGAAGAGTATATGGAGAAAAAGAGAGAGGTTAAGAGAGTGGTGAAGCAATATAAAAAGAGAGCAAATGAGAGAGTGGGGTGAGATGTTATCAACAAATTTTGTTGAAAAAAAGAAAAAGTTTTGGAGTGAGATTAACAAGTTAAGGAAGCCTAGAGAACAAATGAATTTGTCAGTTAAAAATAGGAGAGGAGAGTTATTAAATGGAGAGTTAGAGGTATTGGGAAGATGGAGGGAATATTTTGAGGAATTGTTAAATGTTGATGAAGATAGGGAAGCTGTGATTTCGTGTATAGGACAAGGAGGAATAACATCTTGTAGGAGTGAGGAAGAGCCAGTTGTGAGTGTGGGGGAAGTTCGTGAGGCAGTAAGTAAAATGAAAGGGGGTAAGGCAGCCGGGATTGATGGGATAAAGATAGAAATGTTAAAAGCAGGTGGGGATATAGTTTTGGAGCGGTTGGTGCAATTATTTAATAAATGTATGGAAGAGGGTAAGGTACCTAGGGATTGGCAGAAATCATGCATAGTTCCTTTGTATAAAGGCAAAGGGGACAAAAGAGAGTGCAAAAATTATAGGGGGATAAGTCTGTTGAGTATACCTGGTAAAGTGTATGGTAGACTTATTATTGAAAGAATTAAGAGTAAGACGGAGAATAGGATAGCAGATGAACAAGGAGGCTTTAGGAAAGGTAGGGGGTGTGTGGACCAGGTGTTTACAGTGAAACATAAGTGAACAGTATTTAGATAAGGCTGAAGAGGTCTTTGTGGCATTTATGGATTTAGAAAAGGCGTATGACAGGGTGGATGGGGGGCAATGTGGCAGATGTTGCAGGTGTATGGTGTAGGAGGTAGGTTACTGAAAGCAGTGAAGAGTTTTTACGAGGATAGTGAGGCTCAAGTTAGAGTATGTAGGAAAGAGGGAAATTATTTCCCAGTAAAAGTAGGCCTTAGACAAGGATGTGTGATGTCACCGTGGTTGTTTAATATATTTATAGATGGGGTTGTAAGAGAAGTAATTATGAGGGTCTTGGCAAGAGGCGTGGAGTTAAAAGATAAAGAATCACACATAAAGTGGGAGTTGTCACAGTTGCTCTTTGCTGATGACACTGTGCTCTTGGGAGATTCTGAAGAGAAGTTGCAGAGATTGGTTGATGAATTTGGTAGGGTGTGCAAAAGAAGAAAATTAAAAGTGAATACAGGAAAGAGTAAGGTTATGAGGATAACAAAAAGATTAGATGATGAAAGATTTGATATCAGATTGGAGGGAGAGAGTATGGAGGAGGTGAATGTATTCAGATATTTGGGAGTGGACATGTCAGCGGATGGGTCTATGAAAGATGAGGTGAATCATAGAATTGATGAGGGGAAAAGGGTGAGTGGTGCACTTAGGAGTCTGTGGAGACAAAGAACTTTGTCCTTGGAGGCAAAGAGGGGAATGTATGAGAGTATAGTTTTACCAACGCTCTTATATGGGTGTGAAGCATGGGTGATGAATGTTGCAGCGAGGAGAAGGCTTGAGGCAGTGGAGATGTCATGTCTGAGGGCAATGTGTGGTGTGAATATTATGCAGAGAATTCGTAGTTTGGAATTTAGGAGGAGGTGCGGGATTACCAAAACTGTTGTCCAGAGGGCTGAGGAAGGGTTGTTGAGGTGGTTCGGACATGTAGAGAGAATGGAGCGAAACAGAGTGACTTCAAGAGTGTATCAGTCTGTAATGGAAGGAAGGCGGGGTAGGGGTCGGCCTAGGAAAGGTTGGAGGGAGGGGGGTAAAGGAGGTTTTGTGTGCGAGGGGCTTGGACTTCCAGCAGGCATGCGTGAGCGTGTTTGATAGGAGTGAATGGAGACAAATGGTTTTTAATACTTGACATGTTGTTGGAGTGTGAGCAAAGTAACATTTATGAAGGGATTCAGGGAAACCGGCAGGCTGGACTTGAGTCCTGGAGATGGGAAGTACAGTGCCTGCACTCTGAAGGAGGGGTGTTAATGTTGCAGTTTAAAAACTGTAGTGTAAAGCACCCTTCTGGCAAGACAGTGATGGAGTGAATGATGGTGAAAGTTTTTCTTTTTCGGGCCACCCTGCCTTGGTGGGAATCGGCCAGTGTGATAATAAAAATAAAAAAAATATATCTTAATTTGACTGGTAGTATGTATATATTTTTTAATGCATATAACCTTAGAATATTATAAGAATTCATGTTTTTAGAAGATGGCAATTTGAATAATGAGTGGATGATTTGGTTGTGGTCAGGATGCGCATACTGAAGAATGGGATTATTATGATAAAACAGTTGATGTCAGAGGATGCTGGCACTTATGTCTGTACTGCAGTCAATGAGGTCGGAGCTACCAGCATTCCTGTAGTTCTTGAAGTCCTTGGTGAGACATTATTTTTTATCTGTTTGATTTATATTCTGTATCAGTTAAATTATTTTTATCAGTGAAGGCTAATTGTAAAATCTAAGTATTTTTTATATAATGTGTAGTGTGTTTTACACTTGCATTTTAAGATGTTTTTAATGTAGTTACCATATTTTTAATTGGTTTTCATCAATAATAAATACTAATAAAAAAGTTATTTTGCTTACAACTATAGTACATAACTTGCAAAATTAATATAATTCTTCAGAACTACCACTGTTTGTGAAGTGCTTTCTCATTTCTTTTTAATTTACTGTTTTTTATAGATTGAATTGTGTGTGCATGTCCAGCCTGTCCTCCATTTTTCTTTCCTCACTATCATTTGTAATCCTCTAGTTCATGTTCATGTAATTTTATTATTGTTGGTTAATGATACGTAAATATAGGTTAATTTATGTTGTTCTTGCATAGATTTTGCAAGATTGAATACACTGTAATGCACTGGAAAAGTCGCTTGCTATTTGGAGGATGGGTTGATGTCTCTTTGTCTGTTGATGTCTCTTTGTCTCTATTTTTATGTTTTCCTTTCAGTTCCTCCAACAATTAAAGATGATTCTGACACATATACTGTGTCTGTGGGAAAGGTGGTAGACGTGCCATGTGTGACCAGTGGATACCCAACTCCCTCTCTCACTTGGGTGCGCTATGACCAAGCTCTTATGTTGGACAACACTCTTAAAGACGGCACACTCAGGTAGCATTTGCCACTCTTTTTTTTCTTGTCATTAACAGAGTTTTATATCTTTCTTCATTCAGCAGTTCACTCTAATTTTGTTTTAAGCTTTTAAGCTAACTTACTATTACCTGTATACGTATTTGAAATCCTGTTAAACGGACAAATATTTTTTGCTATAGCTCATATGTAGTTTTGTTATCATATGTGCAGCAGTTTGTGATGAATAAAATCACTCCATTAACTCAGCATTTCTAAGTAATTTGTTTTTAAGACTATTGTTCATAAGACAGAAGGGGAAACCCAATAATCCTATTAGATTGCAAAACTTTGAACAACTTTGTGTTTTATCAGTCATTTGACAGGATAAGAGCACAGTACTTCCCTGGACTGTTACTGTGTTCATGCTAATTTCTTCAGGTCACATGTCCTTCATTCTGTACACTTCATAACAGACTGGTGGGATCTGTGGAGAGCGAGGGTCGCTATGAGTGTTTGGTGACCAATGATGCTGGATCGGCTAGACGAGCAGTTGTTGTTATTTTGAGCAGTAAGTCTAATTCTTACAGTTTTTATTTCTGAAAAATATAATTTATTTATCTTGCTGTTCATGGTTATTCTTCCTGTTTGATGGATTGAAAAATAAATTAAAATGCAATTTCATTTAAAATACTAATTTAAATTAAAAATTCAGTGAATGGAGACAAATGGTATTTGGGACCTGACGAGCTGTTGGAGTGTGAGCAGGGTAATATTTAGTGAAAGGATTCAGGGAAACCGGTTATTTTATATAGCCAGACTTGAGTCCTGGAAATGGGAAGTACAGTGGACCCCCAACATTCGATGGCATCGACATTCAATAAATCCGGCATTCGATGCATTTTAACGCAAAAATTTTGCCTCGACATTCAATGGAAAACCCGACATTCGATACGATTCGTACGAGACATGTCCACGTGTGGCCTGAACTGCCCCGTGTGTGCCAGTGTTTACAAGCCAGCCAGTGTGCATGCATCTTAGGATACATTCGGTACATTCCATATTTTCCCTATTATCACTGTTTTTGGTGCTTGTTTCTGCAAAATAAGTCACCATGGGCCCCAAGAAAGCTAATAGTGCCAACCCTGTGGTAAAAAGGGTGAGAATTAGTATGGAAATTAAGAAAGATTTTGAAGGGTTTGGGGCTAACCCTGAGAAGCCTATGCCAGTTGTGGACTCCATTGTGCCTACTTCAAAAATTAAGGAAATGTGTGCAAAGTGGGTTGAACTGCAAACCTTTATGGATGAAAATCACCCTAACACAGCTATTGCAAGCCGTGCTGGTGACTATTACAGTGACAATGTTATGGCCCATTTTAGACAAGTCTTAAAGGAATGGCGACAGAGGTCCAGTGACTCTCAAGCTGGTCCTAGTGGCATTAAAAGAAGAAGGGAAGTAACCCTGGAAAAGGACTTGCTACCTCAAGTTCTAATGGAAGGGGATTCCCCTTCCAAACAGTAACAACTTCGACACTTTCCCCTCCTCCCATCCCATCAATCATCACCAGATCTTCATTTAAGGTAAGTGTCAATTATTCTATTGTTATTATTCTATTGTTATTGTTGTTATTGTAATTATTCTGTTGCATTAAACTTAATATTTCATGTGGTAAAATTTTTTTTTTCATACTTTTGGGTGTCTTGCATGGATTAATTTGATTTCCATTATTTCTTATCGGGAAATTAATTCGACTTTCAATATTTTCGACATTCGATAGCTCTCAGGAACGGATTAGTATCGAATGTCGAGAGTCCACTGTACAATGCCTGCACTCTAAAGGAGGGGTTTAGGATATTGGCAGTTTGGAGGGATATGTTGTGTATCTTTATACGTACATGCTTCTAAACTGTTGTATTCTGAGCACCTCTGCAAAAACAGTGATTATGTGTGAGTGAGGTGAAAGTGTTGAATGATGATGAAAGTATTTTCTTTTTGGGGATTTTCTTTCTTTTTGGGTCACCCTGCCTCGGTGGGAGACGGCTGACTTGTTAAAAAAAAAAAAAGGCTTAATGAAATAGGGATGACTCTTAATATTTATTGAATCATTTAAAGTTTTATATATAATTCTGTACTTAGTTTTCTGTACTTAGTTTTTCATCAATGTTTGTGACACCTACTATATATCAAAACAGATAATTTATATATGCAGGTATAGTATGATTATGCTTCTGTTAATACAAGTAATGTATGGTAATTTGTTTTCATTAGGGAGCCCAGAAATCTCCCCAGCCGGTGATGAGGTCTTGACAGTGCTGGCTGGGCAGGACCTCAAGTTACCTTGTGAGGTCATGGGACATCCATCACCCTCGGTGTTTTGGAAGAGAGATGGAAGAGAGCTAACTGCCACAGACTCTCTAAAGCAAGTGTTTTAGATCATTTATGAAAAAGCTAAATTTTACATGACTTAAAATACAATGGAATAATTTGGTAGCCTTATTATGTATACCATACCCATCCTGTAGGTGGTAGTCAAAAAGATTACAGGTAACAGAAGGGAAATTCAGTTTTCAATTCTTTTATTTTTTATAACATCACAGCAATATATGGCATGAAAATTGTTATATTAGCAAAGAACTGGACCAGGTATCATTGCATCATCACTCTAGCTGAAGAGGACATGTGATATAATGCAATGATACTGGACCTAATATTTTTTAAAAGTTGTTTTGCTGTCATGTTCTCTTTATTTATTTATTGCACACAGAAGAGTTGAATTTAGCTAAAATTTATTAATAAAGGGATGTGTTGGTTGAGCAGGCCTGCCCCAGGATACCTGCTAATGAGTGGTGTGACCCCTGACTTAGCCGGACTCTACACTTGCACTGCCACTAATTATGATGGGGAGGCCACTAAAACTTTTGCCATAAATGTCAACTGTGAGTATATATTGCAAGTCATTCAGTAAATTTGTACTAATAATGTCCAGTCATGTTATATAAAACTTTTAACTGCTAAGCTATGTACTAAATTTGATTCTCTCTCTTTTATATAGTGAAATATCACATTATTGTATAATGAAAAAAGACAGAATGTAAAGTGCAATTTTGTTGCCACACTGGATTCACAAAAATGCCAATACATACTATTGCTGATAACACTCTCTCCATCTTCTCTTAGCTCATCTTTGTGGTTCATTGAACCTTTCACTGAAAGTAGTTTATCATACTTCAGAATGTACTTGTACTAGGTAGTCAGTGTTTCAACTAAAATCCTTGTTTCTTGCATTTGTGGGCATTGTATCCTGCTTCACAATAGTCTGAAAAATGACTGTTGTAAGAGTAGAATTCTAAAGCATTAAAATTTAATGATGTTAATAGTCACCCTTGAACCTCATAAATTTTCAAATAATCTTAGATGAAACACTCCTGATAAGCAATATTTACAGAGTCAAAGCTTTTGCTGAGAAAGTAACTGCATATGAATGCTTTAATTTATACCATATTGTAGGGCTATTATTCTTTTCTGAATGTATATGTAAGTGATGGGTTATTCCCCAGTGTAGATGCACCTGTAGTGGAGGAAGAGCTGAATCTGTGGCCAGAAAGAAGTGTGGTGGAAGGTGGTCACCTCTCCCTCCCATGTAGTGCTAATGCTTATCCAGAGCCAACTCGAGATTGGACCAAGGATGGCTCCAGGCTTTTACCTGATAATGGTAAAATATTGAATAGTATATGCACACTAATTTAAATAACATTAAGCATGAGAAAAGTACTTAAGGACTTGAGATCTTTAAGTTATTTGTTATTTGGAGTGTGAGCAGGGTAATATTTAGTGAAGGGATTCAGGGAAACTGGTGATTTTAACCCTTTCAGGGTTTCGGTTGTACTAGTATGGCTTACACCCCAGGGTTTTTGACGTACTAGTACGCCCAAATTCTAACGCCCTCAAATCTAGTGAGAGAAAGCTGGTAGGCCTACATATGAAAGAATGGGTCTTTGTGGTCAGTGTGTGCAGTATAAAAAAAATCCTGCAGCACACAGTGCATAATGAGAAAAAAAAACTTTGACCGTGTTTTTGGATTAAAACAGCGACTTTGCACTGTATTTTCATATGGTATTTATTGTTGTATTCTAGTTTTTCTGGTCTCATTTTATAGAATGAAAGACATAATACAGAAATTCAGATGATTTTGACTGGTTTTACAATGAAAAGTACCTTGAAATTGAGCTCAAAGTAGCAGAAATGTTCGATTTTTACCAAAGTTCAAAAGTAAACAAATCATGCTAAGCATCCAATACATGTCAACTGGTGAGTTTAATATTCTTTCACAAGTGTGCTGATATTATTTATAACATTTCTACACTAATGCAGTAGTCTGCATAACAGTAAATCTTCTATTTTTTGTGAGAATTAAAACTCAAAGTGGAAAGCAAAAGAATGTAAGAGGGGCATGGGGACATGACTAATGAACAGAGGAAATGTTATTTTAGTGCCAGGAATGTCTTTTTTGTTTATTCTGGACCCTATTCGGAAATTGGCATCTTATGAAATTTGTGTGAAATTGGCAAAATTGCTAAATTCTGACCACTTTATTGGATAGTTGAAATCGGTAAATGGGTGGTTTCTTGTACTCATTCGATAGAAAAAATGGAGTTCTAGTGAAATAGTTATGATTTTTATCAACTAGTACACTGGAATTGGCCAAAAATAGGGCTCAAAGTGGGCAAAATTGCTGATGCATAAATATCGTCGAGACTGCTAACTTCGCGAGAGCATAATTCCCTAAGTTTTCCATCAAATTTCATACTTTTGGTGTCATTATGATGGGGAAAAGATTCTCTATCTTTTCATGAGAAAAAATGATTTTTTTTTTTTTTTTAAATTTGGCGACCCTGAGAGCAAGTCTCGGAGAGGGCCTGGCGACCCTGAAAGGGCTAATATATAGCTGGACTTGAGTACTGGAAATGAGAAGTACAGTGCCTGCACTTTGAAGGAGGGGTTTGGGATATTGGCAGTTTGAGGGGGATATGTTATATATCTTCATACGATATATGCTTCTAAACTGTTGTATCTGAGTGCCTCTGCAAAGACACTGATTACGTATGAGTGAGGTGAAAGTGTTGAATGATGATGAAAGTGTATTCTTTTTGTTGATCAAAATAATGAAAATTGTAATAATATAAAGCATTTTTTGCATTTTTTGACAGTGATTAAATGTGTGCATATATTGCAGATCTGACAATTTTGAGTAGTGGTACAGTGGAAGTAACTCGAGCATCTCCTAGCCACTCAGGCAGTTACAAGTGTACACTCACAAACCTGATTGGCCAAGCTCACATTGACTATGATGTTAAGGTTCTCAGTAAGTTGATGAATTCATCACAAGTCTACAATGAAGTATTCTTACTTGTTACAGTAATTCATTCATAGTTTTGTACTGTTTATTTTTCTTATTTTTTTTTTTATTTCTACTTAAGTTTCTCGATGATATTTTGTGAATAAATTTTGCCAATGACTTGTTCATGTGGATGTCATGAAACAAAGTTTGTAGTCCTTTCTTTTATGACTTTCTAGTGTCTTTATGTCTTTATTTACACATTTTTTTCTTTTACTTTGTATTTATCTTCTTGTTTTTATTGGATTTCTAAAACTAAATTTGATATTATTTCACCTTTGGATTTTGACACTATCATTATTTTTTCTAGCCAAGTTTTTTGTCTCCAGATTTAAATCCGTCTTTGCCATTTTGGTTGCTAATATCCTGTTTTTTTTTTTTTTGGTGTAAGTTCACATGTATTGTACATAGTGACATAATAATCATTTTGCTTTTCCTTTCTTTTATATGTCATTGCTATATCAAAGTAAATAGATTTTGTAGTTTAAATATAATGAGAGCTATGGTAAAAGAGGTATTAGACAGAATATGTAATGTAGACAGAATATGTTTGTAGACAGAATATGCATTATGGAAAGAATATGAAGTCACTTTTATTGAGCATTGTCTATTTCTGTAGAGGGATGTCACACTATGATGTCCACTTGGATGTTATCTCATACCAATTTGTTTGAGAATGTCATGTAAAATATTGTTGACAGAATAGTAAAGGATAATTAACAGAAAATAAGGGAAATCTTCAACTTGCGATTAATGCCTATTAATTTTCGACAGTTCCCCCGAAAGTAACATCTGAACACCGCTTGGAGAGTCCTGTTGTCGTTGAGGGTGACGGGGTGACCATCAACTGCCCAGTTGATGCTGTGCCTTTGCCAACCATCACCTGGTTCAAGGTATAATATGACCATAGGTCAAAATCAACTACAATATTTCATTACCCATCTGTTGTTACAAGAAGCAGAGCTATGCTTTTAGTGTCTTGGCTAAACTCTTTAGTTTGTAATATGATGTACATCCAGCAGCCATGTGTGAGCATGTTAGATAGGAGTGAGTGGAGGCAAATGGTTTTTGGGACCTGACGACCTGTTTGAGCGTGAGCAAAGTAACATTTTATGAAGGGATTCAGGGAAACTGGTTACCTGGACTTGAGCCCTGGATGTGGGAAGTACAGTGTCTGCACTCTGAAGGAGGGGTGGGGATATTTACTGTTTGGAGGGACATCTGACCTGTTATATCTGCGTGCCTCTGGCAAGACAGTGGTAGTGTGAATGATGGTGAAAGTGCTTGTTTTTTGGGTCACCCTACCTCAGTGGAGATGGTATGAAGTGTATTGTATAACTATGGGGTTTTCCATATAAGAAATAAAAACTGTCAGCCAACCTTTGTAACTATACTATATATTCTTGGAAAGTAAATATTGTATTGTACGATAGTGAAAACCTTCATTCAACAGACCTCCATTTATCAGACTTTGGTAGAAAGGGACAAATTCTGCTGGGTATGGAATTGTCTGTTTCTGTCACTATATTTTGCAATTGTCTTAAGGATGAGTTATAAATAGTTATAAATAGTATAATAGCATAAATTGTGGTATTACTAGTAACTTCCACAATCTTCAAGCTATTGTTCTCACCTCTTCCATATCCATCCTTCTAACTTGTCTTCCACAGGATGGTCTCTCCATTTTTTCAACAAAAGATCGAGCAGATATGACTCACATAATTATTGAAGATAATGGCCAAACTTTGCACATATTAGAAGCAACTGTTGATGACAAAGGTAATGCGATAAAAAGTATTTATTTTGTATTCATTATAATAATTTATAAAATAAGCTGATTGAAAAGCTAGTTAATATCATACATAAAATAGTTAGCTATATGCTGGCATTTTTCTTATTTAATCTTCAGTATTTATAACAGTATATTTGGACATATGACTAAGACTGCCACTGAAGATGTGCATTGAAACGTCTCACAAGGTTGAATTTTTATTGTTTGTTTGGGATGAGCTCTTATCATCAGTTAAAAGAAACATTAACCCTTTCAGGGTTTCTGACGTACTAGTACAGCTTACGCACCAGGGTTTTTGATGTACTAGTACGCCTAAATTCTAGCACCCTCAAATCTAGTGAGAGAAAGCTGGTAGGCTTACATATGAAAGAATGGGTCTATGTGGTCAGTGTGTGCAGTATAAAAAAAAACTTTGACAGTGTTTTTGGTTTAAAACAGTGACTTTGCACTGTATTTTTGTATGGTATTTATGATGGTATTCTAGTTTTCCTGGTCTCATTTTATAGAATGGTATACATATTACAGAAATTGAGATGATTTTGATTGGTTTTACAATGAAAAGTACCTTGAAATTGAGCTCAAATTAGCAGAAATCTTCGATTTTTGCCAAAGTTCAAAAGTAAACAAATCATGCTACACGTCCAGGACGTCCAATACACGTCAACTGGTGAGTCTAATATTCTTTCACAAGTGCGCTGATATTATTTATACCATTTCTACACTAATGCAGTAGTCTGCATAACAGTAAATCTTCTATTTTTTGTGAGAATAAAAATTCAAAATGGAAAGCAAAAGAATGTAAGAGGGGCATGGGGACATAACTAATGAACAGAAGAAATGTTATTTTAGTGCCAGGAATGTCTCTTGTTTATTCTGGACCCTATTTGGAAATTGGCATCTTTTGAAATTTGTGTGAAATTGGCAAAATTGCTAAATTCTGACCACTTTATTGGATACATGTAGTTGAAATCGGTTAATGGGTGGTTTCTTGTACTCTTTCGATAGAGAAAATGGAGTTCTAGCAAAATAGTTATGATTTTTGTCAACTAGTATACTGGAATTGGCCAAAAATAGGGCTCAAAGTGGGCAAAATCGCCGATGCGTAAACATCGTCGAGACCGCTAACTTCGAGAGAGCATAATTCCATAAGTTTTCCATCAAATTCCATACTTTTGGTGTCATTATGATCAGGATAAGATTCTCTTATCTTTTCATAAGAATTTTTTTTTTTTTTTTTTTTTTTTGAAAATATGTCGACCCTGAGAACAAGTCTGGGAGAGGGCCTGTCGACCCTGAAAGGGTTAATATATAAATATATTTAGCTTTCTTTGTCAGAATATTTTTTATTCATACTGTGTATTTTGATATTCAGTGTGTTCTCTGACATTTGGAATTATCTGCTAGTGAAGAATGCTCATTTCTGCAGGAATTGTGTTATTCTCAAAGCTTTGGAATATAATATTAGACTTCTGTCAGTTAAATATTTTTTATTGATTACATCTTGTGATGGTTGGCACCACAGGCATATATCAATGTGTTGCCAAGAATGATGCTGGGGAGACTGAACTGTTTTTTCCTCTGGAAGTGTTAGTGGCTCCCCAGTTCACTCAGTTCTTTCATAACCCTGAAGTGAAGCTGACAGTGGGTGAGGAGCTGTATTTGGATTGTGATGTCACCGGAGATCCAGACCCCCAGGCATGTTTCCTTTGCATTTGTAAATGCTTGTTCTTAAAATGTTATGTAGTAATCACAAATTTTTATTACTGTAATATTTAAAAAATTTATTCTCTTCCACCAGAAATTTAGAAATTACCATTTATATTAGAAACATCTACTTCAGTTTAATGTATCTTTGTATACTTGCATAGGTATTGTGGCATCATAATGGAGTACCATTGTACATACATGTGTTGCCCGGTGGCCGGAAAGTCTTCATTCCACACGTGAGAGTGAGAGATGGTGGTCTGTACACTTGTATTGCTACAAACACAGCAGGCGCTACTCACAGGAACTTCACCATCACAGTTCTAAGTTAGTCACTAAATACTGATGTATGTACACTGATGACTCCAAGCAAGGGATTTCATTATTATTAATATTTTCATACCCTCTATGGTTCATACAACATTACAGGGTATCAGTAATGAAATACACTGCAGGGTATTAATACAACAAGAATACATAATCATTAATATAGCTCCTAGGATGTTATATGGATAAATAGTATAAGGAAAACTTTCTGGGCATTTTAGAAATAATTTTCATATATCAGAAAATTAGCTAATTTTAATGGTGAGCACTAAGTTGAGTTCTTTTATGCACTAAACTTTTGAGAAAATAACTAATAAAAAGTACATTGGCTACACCCATAACCACCACCATCATCATCATCATTATTATTATTATTATTATTATTATTATTATTACTATTTTTATTATTATTATTATTATTATTATTATTATTATTATTATTATTATTATTATTATTATAGACTTTACATAAAATGCAAAGTATATTTGATTAAAAATATATACGTACTGTATATTTATTATATCTTAAGTGGCTTAAATGATGAAAAAAGGTACATGTGTATTATATCTTCAGTGGGTCCAAAGCTTGAGGGAGATGGCAGGGTTGGACGTGTGGTGGAAGCATTGGCTGGAAGTGACACTGACCTCAGATGTGATATAACAGGATCACCGACGCCGTCTGTCTTCTGGACTAAGGATGGCAAACCTCTAACTCACTCGTCAGTATATTGCAACTCTTATAATTTGCAGTGGTTTTAAATTGCTATTATTAATAGATAAACCATGTATTAATAGATATTGATTCAGATTTGAGCATATAAGTCATTTAAGAGACATTTTCCTGTGTTGATCAGAATTTCATGTGGGATATTTGCTAATCATAGTATGCATGTACTACCACCTCATGTAATACATGAAATTACATATGGTGGTGGGTGTGGTGGAGAGAGAGAGAGGTAGTGGACTCTGTGGTGACCCTGAAGCTGCACCCCATCATTGGCTCTGCCACTTAGTAAGGGGAGTACCAAAGTATCGGTATTAGTAGGTATCAGCTAATTTTGATGTTGTCAGTATTGGTAACAGTCTAAACTTGAGTATTAGTATTGACAAAAAACTTTGATATCTCCCATCCCTACCATTTAGGGATTATTCAGAATAGCTGTTATGTCTGTCTTCAGCTTAAAAATGTATTTAAGGTTAATTTTGGTATCTCTCAAAATCTCATCTTCACTGTCTTTGTCCTCCTCACAGGACATGAGCATCTTCTCAAATTCCATATTTACCATTGCATCATCATGAGCTTCAGTCAGTTTCTTCATGTCTTTTACTGCAATGCCATCTTTACTTCCTTATCAACACTGGGAAAAAAAGTTGACTTTATTAACAGCAAACTTTGATGATGAACTCGTTGATTTAGTCATTTGCCTCCTTGATGTTTTACAATCCACAGTTGTGTGGTCCTTCTAAAATATAACAAAATCTTTTAAAAATTTATATGGATATACTGGCAAGACAGTGAATGGGTTTCCTTCTTTAGGTCACCCTGCCTTGGCAGGGACGTTAACTTAAACCATGGTCCTGTTATATAGCAGGCCCAATGGTTTGAGTTCCCATTCCAGTTGCTCATTATGACATATCTTGAGTTTATTGGCTATGTAGCTTTGAGGAGTGTGAGAAGAGAAGAACCATGAAAGCTTCTGGGGCTGTGGGATGAGACAGTATGGTCACAGTTAGTGCCACTGATGGAGACACTCAAGATATACAGTGGACCCCCGCATAACGATGGCATCACATAGCGATTATTTCGCATACCGCTTACTTTAATTGCAAAAATTTTGCCTCACATACCGCTTAAAAACCCGCTTACCGATTTTCGTCCGAGACGCGCTCACATGTTCCGCCGGTGGCATTGTTTACCAGCCAGCCTCCGCGGTAACATCCAAGCATACAATCGGAATATTTCGTATTATTACAGTGTTTTCGGTGCTTTTTCTGGAAAATAAGTGACCATGGGCCCCAAGAAAGCTTCTAGTGCCAACCCTACAGCAATAAGGGTGAGAATTACAATAGAGATGAAGAAAAAGATCATTGATAAGTATGAAAGTGGAGTGCATGTCTCCGAGCTGGCCAGGTTGTATAATAAACCCCAATCAACCATCGCTACTATTGGTGGTACAGCTGCTGCTGCTGCTGCACTGTCAGCTGCTGCTGCTGCTGCACTGTCAGCTGCTGCTGCTGCTGTAGCACCGTTGTTGGTGTGGCTTATTGAGAATACCAAGAAACAATTAACCCCAGAGGATTTGGCACCCAGGATAACCCAAAAAAGTCAGTGTCATCGAAGACTGTCTAACTTATTTCCATTGGGGTCCTTAATCTTGTCTCCCAGGATGCAACCCACACAAGTCGACTAACACCCAGGTGAACAGGGAAAAATGCCTGGAACTAGTGCTCATATTGGTGAATTTAAAGCCAGCAAAGGTTGGTTTGAGAGATTTAAGAATCGTAGTGGCATACACAGTGTGATAAGGCCTGTTCTGGAAGAAAATGCCAAACAGGACCTACAGTACTCAGGAGGAAAAGGCACTCCCAGGACACAGTGTCTCATCAGTCATTGCTGCATCTTCAATAAAGGTAAGTGTCATTTATTCTTCATTTAGAAGACTAGTACATGCACAATATATACTGTGCATGTACTACTCTACTATTGTGCATGTATCCTTCTCTTTGTGTGTGGGAAAATGTATATTTCATGTGGTAAAATTTTTTTTTTCATACTTTTGGGTGTCTTGCACGGATTAATTTGAATTCCATTATTTCTTATGGGGAAAATTCATTCACATAGCGATTATTTCGCATAACAATTACCCCTCTTGCACGGATTAAAATCGTTAACCGGGGGTCCACTGTATACGTATATATATATGTATGGGAACTTAGCCCCCCAGTATCAGTGTGTGCCTATAGGATTAGGACCCTTGGCTTATGGGTATTGCATTCATTTTGAATTATAGTGGTGTACACTAAAGCAGCCCAGAATAAACGTTATTATTCCATTGCAGAGCTGGACTAGAATACACAGCATCAGAGGCTAATCAAGTCTTAATGCTGCATAGTGTAGTTCCTGCTGCTTCAGGCTTATATATCTGTAATGCCTCTAACACTGTTGGAACTGCCCATAGGGAGTACAACCTTACTGTCATGGGTATGCGAAACTTTGTCATGTTACGCAATTGTTCCATTCAAGATTAATCCCAATTAGAGTTTCTTAATTTTAAATTTGTATGAGTTACAAAAATTAGAAAATTATGCATATCACAATTTTGTGTGTTATTGAAATAACAATTGCCATAATACAGTTTCAAATAGGAATAAAATTACCTTCAATGTTTCATGAAGATATGTTTGACATTAATAATAACAGGGTTTCAATAAAAATATTTATGTTCTCAGTTGCTCCATCAGTAAGACAAGTTGATGGTGGTAATGATGATGGTGCTGATGTTGTTGAGAAAGTACAAGTGGTGATTGGGAAGGACACTATCTTGTACTGTAGTGTGGATGGTACTCCTGCACCCACCATTACTTGGATGCATGCTGGTCAAATGCTCACGATTTCTTCACGCATTCACCTGATAGCCCCTGACCAGTTGTTATTAACAAATGCCCAAGACATGGATTCTGGAGACTACTCTTGTCTTGCTGTAAATCGTGCAGGAACTGCTGAGAAGCAGTTTGATGTGCAAGTAATTGGTAAGAACACTCATTTGTTTTTATAGATTTAATAATAATACTAGGTACTTGTTCTATTAATTATTTCTGTCCACATTTGGAAATTGTAGGAAAATTTAATATCAACTATTTTCCATGAAATTTTGAGATCAGTTCATATCTAGGAAAAATTTTAAGTAATTTTTATTAACTTACAAATTGCAAGGTATTTTATATCATGGTAAAGTTCTTCATCTACTTAACCCTCTAACTGTCCAAACGTAGATCTACATTTGCACGCGTAGCACTCCGCTCTTGATTTTCCCCATTAGAAAGAATGTAAAAAAAAATGTAGATCTACGTTTGGAAGACTACGCGAGCAAATGTAGATCTACGTTTGGACAGTTTAAGGGTTAATGAAATTAGCTTTTTAATATATTTAAGTGTTCTCAAGTAACCCACATTTTGGAGTTGAAACTTACCATCAGACTTTATTTATGTACTACATTAATCAAGATACTATAATATCAGTCTCCAGAAATTATTATGACATTACAATTTTATTCTTTTTTAATGCAGTACAATGCCTCTAAAGAGGCTTATCCATTGAATATTACTTTGTAACAGTACCTGCCAAGATTACAGCAGCAAGTGACTCCAGTGATGTCTCAGATAGTCAACCTCATCAAGAGGTGTTGCTGGATATGCCTTTCTCACTCTTCTGCTCTGCCTTTGGTTCACCTCCTCTCCACATTACTTGGACAAAGGTGCAGTTCATCAAGATTGCATTTTCTACTAAAATGACTAATATCTGCATGCCTCTGGCAAGACAGGGATAGTGTTAATAATAGTGAAAGTGTTCTTTTTTTTTTAGGGGGGGGGGTCACCCTGCTTTGGTGGGAGACAACCAGTGTGTTAACAAAAAAAAAAAAAAATTCTTGGGGAGTGCTAAAATGCTAGAGTGCTAAGAGTGCTGGGAGGCTAACAGGTTTGATCTGTGGAAGGTGAGAGGTAACTTCAGTCTCTAGTAAAAAGAATGAATTCTGCTTTTGAAGTTGTACCAATATCATTGATTCATACGCTTCTCAATACAGTATATGTAAACAAAAAATTATGGGAAACAGGATTTAATATTCTGTGGTATACAGTATATAATTTTTCAGACAGTGTATTGTAATATATATGGTGTTTTTGATATGCCTGTTGTAGTTTTGAGTTCTCTTTAAAAGACATAGTTCAAGTCTCTTAAGGTTGTATGTGACTAAATGAAATTAAGTTAATTCATATCTATTTTTTCAGCAAAATATTTATGCATACGAAATAGAGATCAGGCAATGGACAATACATTTTTTGTTTCAATCATATTTTTCAGGATGATGCTCCACTAGTAGGCCTTTTGGGCACAGGTCTTGATGGGCGTCTCAATCTTGGTGATAATGGCCGTCGCCTCTTAGTGTCTGGGGCAATTGTTGCTGACTCCGGCACTTATACTTGCACAGCTGAGAATGAAGGAGGCAGAGATTCTGCATCTTTTTATGTTGATGTTCTAGGTTAGATGCATGTAATGTTGATACACAATCTTAGTATATAAATTAGCATATTTGATTTTGTAAGCATACTGCCCCTATGTATTTTGGGGAGTGGATGAATATAACTGCTGCTCCCTAATTCACTCCACAAAGGAGACAAACCCTTCAGTCATAAATTTTTTTTTCAGTTCCTCCCATGATTGTTCAAGACACTGACACCTTTTATTCAACTGTTGAGGGTGAGGAGGTGGTTCTTCATTGTGAGGTAGTGGGTGATCCTCCACCAATGTTAGTTTGGTTACACCATGGTGTACCATTACAGGACTTGGACTTCCCAGGTGTTGTTATTCAAGATGCCTTTACAAGAACAACTCATAATGTGACGAACTCTAATGTATGTTTTAAGTTTCTGTTTTCTCTTTGGCACACTGTTAGAGGGTATTGTATAAAGATAATTGTCTATGCTTATATTGTTGGCTTTAGCAGTATTAAAAATTTTGTTATTTAGAGTAACCTCAAACTAGAATAATATGTCATGAAAGTTTAATTCAACTATTCATTCTTACTGTAAATCAATGTTTTAATCATGAACCACTCACTAAATTTCAATACTACAACATTTCACAGTCAGTTGTAAGGATCTCCTCGGTGAGTGAGGTTCATTCTGGATCTTACACATGCATAGCCAGCAGTGTGGCGGGAACTGATGAGTTGTCTTACATTGTGCGAGTTGCCACAGTTCCTCGTCCAGAGGATGACATAACCAACACACATCTGACTGTTCGTGTTAATCGTCCTGCAACACTCACCTGCCAAGTACAAGCCACTCCTGAGCCACAATTCTTCTGGTTCAAGGTACTAGAATTATTTTATTTTATTAAAGTTAAAGACTTTCCTTACACAAACTTAATTTAGTAACAGAGATAAGTTTTATTGGAAGCTTTATTAATTGTAATTGATGCACTGTATTGTGCTCTGGTATTATGAGCCTTTATTACTTACACAAGTTTATAAAATATTTCCTCAGAAGGGATTGAACCCTTTCAGGGTCCAGAGGCCAAATTTCAAAGTACACACCATTGTCCAAGAATTTTCAAAAAATAATTTTATTTTTTCTCATGAAATGGTAGAGAATCTTTTTCTGAAGGTAATAAAGCAAAAAGTACAAAATTTGATAGAAAATTGACGAAATTATGCTCTTGCGAATTTTGATGTGTCAGCGATATTGACGCATCGGCGATTTTGCAGAATTTGACTCCCATTTTAGGCCAATTACCTTATTCCAGTCAACCAAATTCTTAGCTATTTCACTAGTATTACTTCTATTCTATCAATTGAGCACAAGAAATTGCCAACTCAACTGTTTCAACTACAAAATAAAGTGAGTGGAATTTGGTAATTTGGCCAATTTAATGCAAAGTTCAAAATATTCCAATTTCAAAATAGGGTCCAGAATAAACAATGCAGGCATTCCTGGCACTAAACTAACATTTCCTCTGTTCATTAGTTATGTTTTCAGGCTTTACCAATGAATTCCATTTTGATTTTTAATTCACATAATTAATTTTTATTCAAACCAAAAAATAGAAGATTTACTGTCATGCAATATTGTAATAATTGTTTAAATAATATCAGCACATTTGTGAATGTATATTAGATCCACCAGCTGGCGTATATTAGACGTGTGAGGTCATTTGTTTACTTTTGAATATCGGCCAAAATTTAAAATTTCCGCTACTTTGAGCTCAGTTTCAATCCATTTTCAGTACTAAAACCAATCAAAATCATCTCTATTTTTAATATATCTTCCATTCTATCAAATGAGACCAAGAAATCGCAAATACAAATATAATAAACATACAAAAAAACACTGCAAAGTTGCTGGTTTAATTAAAAATTATGGTCTCAATTTTTTTCTCTCATTATGCACTGTGTGCTGCAGGATTTGTTTTATGTAGTGCACACATACCACATAGATGTATTCTCTCATATCTAGGCCCAAATTTACCACTCACAGCTTATCAGAGTGAGCTGAGCTTATGGCGTAGATCTACGGTTTGGACCCTCAACGTAAAGCCATAGATTTATGGCACGCACCCTGAAAGGGTTAAGGAAACTTGTTAGCTGGACTTGAGATTAGAGGTGGAACTCAATGTGCCTGCAATATGAAGGATGGGTGGGACTGTTGCAGTTGTTGCATCATTTTAATTGTAATGTTTGTAAACCTGTGAAGAGACAGCTTGAAAATGAGTGATGGTGAATGTGTTTCTTTCTTTAAGTCACCCTACATGAATGTTATTGCCTTATTAAGTTAGTTTTAAGTTTGCCAAAATGCTTTGCATATAAAGGGGCTTTTGGCATGTACACCCAAGTATGTATTATATTCCTTTGTACAAACATTTTTTTTTTTTTTTTAACAAGTCGGCCGTCTCCCACTGAGGCAGGGTGACCCAAAAAGAAAGAAAATCCCCAAAAAGAAAATACTTTCATCATCATTCAACACTTTCGCCTCACTCACACATAATCACTGTTTTTGCAGAGGTGCTCGGAACACAACAGTTTAGAAGTATACATATACGTATAAAGATACACAACATATCCCTCCAAACTCTAATATCCCGAACCCCTCCTTTAGAGTGCAGGCATTGTACTTCCCATTTCCAGGACTCAAGTCCGGCTATATAAAAATAACTGGTTTCCCTGAATCCCTTCACTAAATATTACCCTGCTCACACTCCAACGGATTGTCAGGTCCCAAATACCATTCGTCTCCATTCACTCCTATCGAACGCGCTCATGCATGCCTGCTGGAAGTCCAAGCCACTCGCCCACAAAACCTCCCTTACCCCTTCCTTCCAACCTTTTCGAGGACGACCCCTACCCCTCCTTCCTTCCCCTACAGATTGATACACTTTCCATGTCATTCTACTTTGATCCATTCTCTCTAAATGGCCAAACCACCTCAACAACCCCTCTTCAGCCCTCTAATACTTTTATTAACTCCACACCCTCTCCTAATTTCCACACTCCGAATTTTCTGCATAATATTTCCACCACACATTGCCCTTAGACAGGACATCTCCACTGCCTCCAACCACCTCCTAGCTGCTGCATTCACAACCCAAGCTTCACACCCATATAAGAGTGTTGGTACTACTATACTTTCATACATTCCCTTCTTTGCCTCCATAGATAACATTTTTTGTCTCCACATATACCTCAGTGCACCACCTCAATGCACCACTCACCTTTTTTCCCTCATCAATTCTATGATTAACCTCATCCTTCATAAATCCATCCGCTGACACGTCAACTCCCAAATATCTGAAAACATTCACTTCTTCCATACTCCTCCTCCCCAATTTGATATCCACTCTCCCAAACTCATCCACTAACCTTTGCAATTTTTCTTTAGAATCTCCCATAAGTGCAGTATCATCAGCAAAAAGCAACTGTGTCAATTCCCATTTTGTATATAATTCCCCATAATTTAATCCCACCCCTCTCCTGAAAACCCTAGCATTTACTTCTTTTACAAACCCATCTATAAATATATTAAACAATCATGGTGACATTACACATCCCTGTCTAAGACCTACTTTTACTGGGAAGTAGTCTCCCTCTCTTCTACACACCCTAACCTGAGCCTCACTATCCTCATAAATACTCTTTACAGCATTTAGTAACTTACCACCTATTCCATATACTTGTAACATCTGCCACATTGCTCCCTTATCCACTCTATCATATGCCTTTTCTAAATCCATAAATGCAATAAAAACTTCCCTACCTTTATCTAAATACTGTTCACATATATGCTTCAATGTAAACACTTGATCTACACATCCCCTACCCACTCTCAAACCTCCTTGCTCATCCGCAATCCTACATTCTGTCTTACCTCTAATTCTTTCAATTATAACCCTACCGTACACTTTTCCTGGTATACTCAGTAAACTTATTCCTCTATAATTTTTACAATCTCTTTTGTCCTCCTTCCCTTTATATAAAGGGACTATGCATGCTCTCTCCCAATCCCTAGGTACCTTCCCCTCTTTCATACATTTATTAAACAAAAATACCAACCTCTCCAACACTATATATCCCCCTGCTTTTAACGTTTCTGTCATGATCCCGTATCATGTATCATGCTGAAATAAAATATTATTATTATGTGAAATGGCCTGTGTATAATTTTTTTTAAAAGATATTGAAGTGAAGGATGGCATGTACTTCTTATGATTAAGCAGCTTAAGTTTCAGCATCAGAAATACATAATGAAACCCAGCAGATGATTGATAAAGCTAAACCATGTCCAATAATTTGTATGATAGATGTATGCAGTACTGTTCACGTGGCAGTTGCTGATAATGAAACTTGGTAGTTAAAACTTTGTCACCCTTAGAAATCATATAATTTTTAAGAACAGTGCAATACTGTATATTATTGTTCCATTTATTCATTCTAGTTTTCTTTGATATGTTTAGAACTCAAGTCCACTAGAAGAAGGTACTCCAAATGTACACATAAGTGCACATGGAAGAGAACTGAAGTTGTTGCAAGTAACAGAAAATGATACAGCCAATTTCTCATGTTTAGCAGTCAATGAGGCAGGTGAAATCCTTCTCAACTTTACCCTGGAAGTTCAAGGTATAAATAAAATTTGTTATGATTTTGAGTCATATGAATTTTAAGTCGTGTTTTTGTATTGAATATATAATAAATAGATATAGAAATATAGATAAATATCTAAATTTATAAATACCCTTCCTGATTAGCATTGGACTGTCAGAGATGACCTTGTGATGAAGAGAAGGGTACACACCTCTTAAAAACAAAACTTTTCATTATAGTGAAAGACCTTAAATATTCTAAATAAATCTTAATGCATTTGTGGACTACTTGAAGTAAATGTTAATGGAGTAATGCTACTTGTTTGTCTGGTAATTATGAATATAGTTAATAAAGCTTACAATCAGGCTCATGCTGATTGCACTTCAAGGTTTTATACTACTTCTCTTAAGAAAGTTTATGAAATATCTTTATTATTGTTTCCTCTATCAAACTTGCACCAGCTTGCTCACATGAAATAATGTTGTGTACTGTATCTCATGTGTTAATGCAAGATGTGTTTTTTATTTTTATTATTCAAACTGCATACTTAAACTTTTTTTATAAATTATATAAAAGTAAAAGGAAATACATAATGGTAAAATTACTGACAGAATGTTAGGTAACAGGACACAGATGTCACATTGGTTGCATCTCTGTCCATTTACCTAACATGAGTGAAAGAATTAAGTAAAAAATAAGCTAAATCCCATTTTGTTTAGTCCCACCACGTCTGACAGAAGAGGTGAATGAGGCATTACATGTAGCTTCAGGTGAAGATGCAGAATTCTTCTGTCCAGTTCATGCCACACCAACACCATCAATTCTTTGGATGAAGGATGCCAGTATCATGCAACAAACTTTTACTGCAGTGTAAGTTATGTGCAAATTTTATGCTGAACATTTGCTGTGATATGAATCTAGAACATATCATAGCTTTGATTTGATTCTGACATAGCATCAATTTGTAATATGTTAATTTAGTTAGTCATTTGCATGCACTTATAATTTTTTTTAAATATACAGTTCTAAGCAATATACAGTACTTACCTATAGGTAATCACCTATGTGGTTGCAGGGGTTGAGTCTTAGCTAGTGACCTTTCCTCTCAACTTGCCAGATTTACTTTTTCCTAGCCTTGTGGACCTTGTCATACCTGTTCTTAAAACTATGTATGGAGTCTGCCTTCACTAGTTCCCTGAGACTGAAGAAATACTTTCTGATATTCCTGTGATTCATCTGTGTGTTAAACCTCTAGCTGTGCTCCCAAGTACCTGTTTCTGACCTCTCAAACAGCCTGTCCCTGAGTATTTTGTATGTTGTAATCATGAAGAAGGGGTGGAGATACTTTGCAGTTTTGAACTGTAGTATCGGCATGCGTCTGGCAAAACACTGATGGAGTGAGTGATAATGAAAGTGTTTCTTTTTTTTTTTTGGAGGGGGGGGGTCACCATGTTTCAGTGGGAAACAGCCAACGTGTTAATAAAAAAATGTATATGTATACATATATATATGTACATTTATATACACACACATATATGCATACATAAGTGCAGAGGTTTGCCACAAGACTGGTTCAGAACAGTGGGGTGTCGTATGAGGAGAGGTTAAAGGACCTCAATCTGATGGCAGTGAAGGCCTAGGAGAGGATATGATAATGATATACAAAATGCTGAGAGGGAGGAATTAACAAGGTGAACAGGGACAGAATGTTTCGATGAGGGAAATAGCAACAAGAAGATATAACAGGAAGTTGAAAACTCAGATGAGTCATAGGGATGTTAGGAAGTAATTCTTCAGCCATAGAGTTTTCAGGAAGTGGAAGAATCTGGAGAGTGAAGTGGTAGAGGTGGGATCTATACATAACTTTAAGAAGAGGCATGACAAGGCTCTTGAAGCCAGGAGAGTGTATACCTACTAGTGGCCAGTGAAGAGGTTGAGCCAGGAGCTGTGACAGCCCCTGCAACTACGTATAGGTGAGTACATACATAAATAGATATACTTTTTGCTGGTTTTCACAGGGACCCCCGAAGGCTGTTACTGAAAAATATTAACAAGGAAGATGATGGACGCTACACATGTCTGGCCACCAATGAGGCTGGCACTGTTGAACAGGATTTTACACTTCATGTCATAGGTCAGTATTAACTTCCCAGAGATGGGCATTTCTTCATTGTGTAATACCCCTGTTGAAGCATCTTGCAAATTTTGTTGTATATCTAAACTAATTTAGAACCTCAAGGCATTTTAGAGAATTATATTAGTAAGTGAGCAGATATAAGGAATTCGCAGAATCCACTAGAGAAGTCATTTTCTTTCTCTTCGTACATTACTGTAGCTGCGATTCTGTTCCCAGAACACAGGCAATGCAGCATTTACTCCACGTATATTACGTTATATTCTCACCTATTTTAAGGTGATATTTACAGTATATACACAGCAATGATGATAGACATATGATAAATTATGTTTTACGACAGTCCCACCACGGTTGTTGGATTTGGACACTCCTGTTCTGGAAAAGTCAGTGGTAGTTAATCGACAAATTAGCATTACGTGCTTCATTGTTGCTGACCCTCCTCCATCAATCTCTTGGCTGAAGGCAAGTATTTCCATTCTTCTACCAGTGTCACATGTAGTGTAATTTTTCAACTTTCTGTGGGTTGAGTCGAGCTATGTGTCTAGCTGATGAATAATGCTGTCTGTTATATTTGTGTAGGTGATTATATATCTCTAGTTATAGGAACTGATCTATGCTCATGATGTCCAATCTTCAGTGTTTACTTTGTTATGCAATGTCATTTGTTGAGTTTTCAGTGATTGTGGTACTTACTATCTCCTACTGGATCCCATTCCACCAGTCCACCAGTATTTGTAAAAAAGTTCTAGTGTAATTTTGGCACTGCATATTTCGTGAATAAAAATTTGTGGCCCACTGACCTCCTTATTGATGGTGCTAAAAATTATATTTATATAATTCCTCATATCTATTTATGATCTTAAATGTGATTATGATATGTTCTCTTTACTTTATATTTACCAGTGAGGGACTTTTAAGTAGTTTTTGTAATTTATAGTTCTTAATTCTGGCCTTTGATGCATAGAAGATGAAATGCTAAGGAAAATTTTTCTCAGCATATGTTAGAAAGAAACAGAATATACATAGAAACTATAGTGTCCACATCAAAATCAGTTTGTAGATAAAATAAAAAAACTCGAACGGCATGGTACAACTTGGCTTCAGGAGCTTAGAAATATGAGTTGTGAATGATGGGTAAAAACAGTGAAAATTCTCTTGCTGGTTGTTACAAGGGAAAGAAAAGACATGATAACCACATATTAAATAAGAGAATAATTTTTTTTTTAACACGTTGGCCGTTTCCCATTTAGGCAGGGTGACCCAAAAAGAAAGAAAACCCCAAAAAAGAAAGAAAAATAATAAAAAAAAAAAGAAAAAACTTCCATCAACATTCAACACTTTTACCATCAGTGGTATAAGAAAAATAAAAAATCTTTTTAACAGAGAGGCCACAACTGTAGAATACTAAAACATATTTCTTCATACACATACCAGAAGACTGCTGAAATATAATTCAGTAGATGGTAGTAGCTGCCAGAGCCAGTCAAAAAAATATTTTAAACCAACAACATAGATCTGTTCATGTAACTACAAAAAAAGAGGAGATCAAACACATTTTTTTTTTCCAGATTTTGTCTTTAATTCTTTTCTATTTAACCCTTAAACTGTCCAAATGTAGACCTACATTTGCGTGCATAGCTCTCCAACCTTGATTTTCTCCATAAGAAAAATGTAAAAAAACGTTGATCTATGTTCGGAGCACTTCGCGAGCGAATGTAGATCTATGTTTGGACACTTTAAGGGTTAAAACCTTATTTATTTATTTTCTTTCACTACTGTGTAAGTAAATAAGTAATGTTGGGGTAATAATTTTAGTTGTAAATTTTAAGGTTACAGTTTCATGAATTTAACATATGCTATACATAGTACAAGTACGTACAGTAAACCTCAATTTAATGAACTTACAGTTGGGAGCATGTGGGTAGTAATGATGATTGTGGTGGAGATGTAATGTTAGTGGTAGAATTTCCAACAAAATGTTAGGTAAATGGACACAAAGTTACAGAATTGTTCATTGTTATTACTATCACAGCAAAATGATATTACATCTGTTACATAAATACAGATGCAACTAATGTGACATTTATTGTGGCTTGAGAAAGCTCCTGGAGAGCAGAACATTGCCACAATAAAATGTCACATTAGTTGCATCTGTGTCTATTTATGTAACAGATGTAATATTGTTTTGCTGTGATAGTAACTACAATGTACAATTCTGTAACTTTGTCATGTGTTTCCACATCAATTGACTCATGATTTTGTCCCCTGTTTTTGAAGTCCATTAAATTGAGACCCATTAAATAGAGGGTTTACTAATTATCATTTGCAATTACAATATAACATTTACCTTAAATTTTTATTTCTTTTTTAATGATTTAGGATGGGGAGCCACTGTCCTCTCTTATATCTGACATTAGCATTGACAATCAAGATCGCCATTTGACCATCTTACAAGCCCAGCCTGTGGACAGTGGCAACTATACTTGTCAAGCAACCAATGCTGCAGGCACCACCAACCTCACTACTCTACTGTCTGTTCTCACTCCACCATCGTGGAACACTGTATGTATAGCCCCCATCACACAGTATGGAATATATTAAGCATTCTTATGTACAGGTGTCCCTCGCTGTATGCAATAGAGGCAGTCCTGGCTGATGACATAAAAAGTGAGATCTCATAAAGTGAACCCAATATAGAATGTAAAATATAGAGATTTAAATTCTTTATTTCCAGTCACTGCATTTACAAAATATAGTCAGAAAGCCTATAGGATGTACAGCATTTTGGGCACAACTTATCTAGTTTTAAGAACTTCATAAATTTCACATTTCTTGACAGATGTTTACCAAAAATAACTGAGTTATTCATACTTATCAGGCCATCTGTCAGGACATATTGGTTCCTGAAATTGTCTTCAGGTAAATACTATTTGATTATATGCAAACTGAAATGAATTTGATTCAGAAATCACAGAAAAATCAAATAAAAAATTAGTCACAATTCCTGTACAATTAACACAGCCAGAATCAGGGAAAAAATTCCTCATCAACATTTTTAAACAAAAAATTCTGAGCATACTTCATAGGCACTGAACAGTCATATATGAAAAAGAAATAAATTTAATCCCAAAACAAAGAAATTTGATCTGAAACTAAATTAGAGAAAATCCAAAATTAAATAATGGTCAGGTGCTGACTTTAGGTGCCTGTCTGGCTTCCTCTTGAAGACAGCCAGGGGTCAGTCTCCACATTCTCCAGCTCCACAAAGTCTTGTGTCATTCTGTCTGTGTTTTCCTCTTTCATACTTCTGTGTGCTTACTCAAGGCATTAATCATTCTGTTCACATGTTTGTTTCTTAAGGAAAGCCTGTGACAGATGTTTCAAGTCTGTAATAGCTAAACAAACATGTATTAGTCTTGCCTTAGTGTGCCTTCAACAGTCTGTAAGTCATCAAGGCATTGTAAGACTGCTCATATCCCTTAAGGAAGAAAAAATATAGATTAAAGGCTGTGTTTTTTATCTGTGTAAATGTGTGGAATGAGTGCATGAGGATTCACAAAATGTTGAAATAAGACAAGTGTCTTTAACTTCTGTTTGTCTTATTATAATATCTAACATTTCGTTGTAGGATTCTGACTTTGAAAAGGAAGTTGTGGGCATATCAAAATTTAGTGTTGACTTGTACTGTGACGTGACAGCCACTCCTGCTCCCTCAGTGCTCTGGCTCAAGGATGGACAGATGTTAACTTTAACACCTGGAAAATCTCAACTTGCACAGGATGACAAGTAAGTGGCACAAATAACACATTGCAAATTATTTTAGGCTTTCAACTGTCACATATAACATACCCCCTAAGTTATTTTTAGTCAAGAGTGAGACCTACATGGTATGACTGAATAAATTGTAAGTTCAAATAAAGTCACAACATATAATCAAATTCCCTTTAGTCATTCATATTAACCATTGGGAAGTGGAACAGAATTCTTCCTCCCTAAGCCATGCGTGTCATAAGAGGCGACTAAAATGCCAGGAGCATGGGGCTAGTAATCCCTTTTCCTGTGTATATTACTAAATTTAAAAGGAGAAACTTTTGTTTTTCCTTTTGGACCACCCTGCCTCGGTGGGATACAGTCAATTTGTTGAAAAAAAGTTTTTTTTTTTTTTTTAACAAGTCGGCCGTCTCCCACTGAGGCAGGGTGACCCAAAAAAGAAAGAAAATCCCCAAAAATAAAATACGTACTTTCATCACCATTCAACACTTTCACCTCACTCACACATAATCACTGTTTTTGCAGAGGTGCCCAGAACACAACAGTTTAGAAGCATATACCTATAAAGATACACAACATATCCCTTTTAGCATTTTTGGATCAAATGTGGTACAGGCATACCTATTTTATGTACAGTACTACATATTTTTGCAAAGTCTTTTTGTATCTAGCACTTTCAAAAGAGTTGTTAGATTTAAGCTGTTAATTGTATTATGGTACTTATCAAATGAGATATTCATTACTGTTTTCATCTCCTGTTTTGTATTCAATTCGTGTATCAGAGCCTGTTGACATATCATTAGGTTGTGGCAAGCCATTTGTGAAAGGAATGATGATTGTTTTTTATTCAAATATTTTAGAAAATGAGGCTGTAAAAGCAAAACTAAAATGTTGAGAAAAATATAAATGTTCTTTTCATGATGGAGTATTATTATTATTATTATTGTTATTATTATTATTGTACAGCATGTGGATATATGGCTGTAAACTGATAAATGGTGGTGCTTAAATACACTTGTAACAAAAAAAGTACTGTACAGTACCTTATATTTTTATGACATTTCACCCACCCAATGAAGACCTGAAGTGGAAAAAAAAACAATGTCTTATACTATGATTATTTTTACGTTTATGGAGAAGTTCTAAACGAATAGGGGTCAAAACAGTGACTGGAAAATGGTAGATAATCAGGTTTGATCTGAGGAAGGAGAGAACAGGTTCAGTTCCTTGGATGAAGAATGCCTGATTCCTTCCAGGGGTTAAAACATGAAAGAAGTATTTGAATCATTAAAGAATTATAGATTTTAGTTTGGGTATCATACTAGAAGCAGGTATCAATTTTTTTTTTTTTTTTTTTTTTTCAACAAGTCGGTCGTCTCCCACCGAGGCAGGGTGACCCAAAAAAGAAAGAAAATCCCCAAAAAGAAAATACTTTCATCATCATTCAACACTTTCACCACACTCGCACATTATCACTGTTTTTGCAGAGGTGCTCAGAATACAACAGTCTAGAAGCATACACATATGAAGATACACAACATATCCCTCCAAACTGCCAATATTGGCAGGTATCAATACTTGCACTAAAACAGGAGTGTGCAAGCACAAGTGCTTGTATATGTGCTTGCTGAGAATATGTATGTGAAGAAAATGGAACAGGTTCATAAGTGGCACTTCAGTGCAGTCTCTGAAGAAAAAAAACTTTTATAAGGTTTTCCCATTTCACTTTCTTGTAAGAGTAAGTCCTTGATCAAAGATCAGCCATTCTAGTATCTGTAATACAAGTAAAGATCTTCTTTCAACACACCGGTTGCATCCCACCAAGGCAGGGTGGCCCAAAAAGAAAAAGAAAAAAGTTTCTCTTTTTTAACTTTAGAAGGGATTACTAGCCTCTTGTTACCAGCATGTTAGATGCCTCTTATGACATGCATGAACATGTAAAGATGCATGCATTAAATTTAAACTAGACATCCTAACTTGTAGCAAGATATGATCTGTTAGAAAGAGATGGTTGGGACCTTTGCTTCTTATATTTTTACTCTTTTAACTCTTAGTATCTTAATGGTAGATTACTGCAGCTGGTTTCATTGGAAGGCAGTGAGAGTGGGCGCTATACATGTGTTGCCAGCAATGCTGCAGGTACTGCAGAATATGACTTTGAGTTAACTGTATTAGCACCACCAACTCTTATTTATCAACCACAGACCAAACACACAGGTACAGTATACCTGTTATTTAGTATTATTGTGATTCTCTGCATTCTATGGGCTTTCTGCATGCACATCCAAATGTCACCCAGCTCTGTTTATTGTATTATATGGAAATAAATCTTTTTTTTTGTCATTGTCTTTGAATGCTAACATTTTAAGCTTATATTGTCAAATGCATTCAAGAATTATAAAATATTGTTGGTGAAAAATGTATTTTATCCTGTACATAACATGAAAATATTATGTACAATATTTTGTCATTTTCTCAGAAGAACTTTCTCCTTATAGTGTTGGCAAATCGTGCTCTATCACTGGAGTGTCCTGTAGAGGGAGTGCCAGAGCCACATATTGAGTGGATAGTGGATGAACAGCCTGTCACATCCTCTAGTCAGTTTATTAGTTTATCTGCAACTAAAACTCAGCTTTATTTGTTCAGGTATGACCTTTAAAAAACAAATTTTTGGATATAAGGAACCCCTCTAAATTTTAGGGATGACTGTGCTTGACTTAGCTCATATACAAATATTATAATAATTCATTTTGAAGAGTAAGAGTTATAATACCATGGCTGGAATAATTGACAGTAATCCACACTTTGGAATGTATAGTTTAATTGACATTTTTGGCCCATCCTGGACCATTGTCAAGTTACTTGATAATGATCTAAGGTGGCTCAAAACTGTTTAATGTTTCTTCTCCAAAGTGTTGGTTATTTGTGAACACTGTATTTAATTATGCAATTCTGAAAATATTTGTGTTGTGTATTCCAGAGTGCAGAGCACAGCCAGTGAACAAGTTTCATGTATAGCAAGTAATGCAGTGGGTGAACTGATAACTAACTACACCATCAATGTACTGTCTCCTCCATCCATCATTGCCACCCCTGCCAGTCGTCGTGTGAAGGTGCAAGAAGGGAATGTCCTCATGCTGTCCTGTAAGGCACATGGGCAGCCAACTCCACAGGTACATTAATAATATTACTGTGAATGAAATTATTTATTTAATTAGAATATTTTAAATTGTGTTATGATTGAGAAAACAAAAATCAAGTACTACAGTTAATACAAGAGAAGTGGTCTAGGGAGTATGTGTGATGTAAGGATGAAGGATACAACAAGAAGTGATGGCAGAATGAAAAAATGTGGTACAGTATATGAAGGTCTTTGTGAAGTAAGATTTTGGAGTGCATTTGGATGGTGCTGCATGTGTTTTTTTTCCTTAATGATGATGATAACCTCATAAATTCACTTTTCCCTGTGTAGCATAGGCCATCTTATGAGATGGTAATTCCTATTTGAGAATAACTCAAGCTTTACTGGAACAAAACCTATAATTAAAGGTGCTGTAGTTACTAAATCTATGGTGGAATGTTTAACAACATGCTCATTGCCTAATTGCAGTCTCCCAGATCAAGCTGATACTTTTTATTGCCTTGTGAATGAAGCTCATCATGTGGGATGGAATATGACAGGGAATATAGCTAGTTCTTGCTCCCAGAGTGTAACTATCACCTTGTATGCAGCAGCCACACATGGCTGGTGTACTAAATTTTAAGCAGCGTTTTAATTGTGGTGGGAAGGAAGGGGGGAAGGGTAGATGCTCCAGTAATATAGCAGGCTGCATCAGTAAGCTGTGTCAACAAGTGCCTTTGAGCTATTTGTGTGGCCTCCCTTTATACATTGGCTGCTAGCAAGAAACCTGAAGAGTTGACATGATCTTAGGTTCCTAGGACTGGTTGTCACCTTTTTCCAATGGAAATAAATCATATTTGTCTTTGTTGGGTTATCCAAGTTTATATCATCAACAGTTGACACTGATATATGCCTATAATAATTTTGTATATGACAAAACACTGATTTGCCAGAGGGCACTGATTCTTGAGAAACTCTACTGATTATTTTTTATCTGCTCAACAGCTTCTCTTGGTATGTTTCTCTGCCTTCTGTTTATCAGGTACTCCTTCATTTTCTAAAATATCTTTTGTAGGGCCCCACACTTGTCTTTCCTTCATCATCTAGATCTCTTTGGCCATTGCAATACCTATACTCTTTGGGTGGTTTTATGTCTGTTTTCTTATCTCCTGTATCTACTCAAGATTTTATCTTCTTCCTCCTTAGAATACTTAATTTTTTTTTAGAGCCCTTTGCATACATCATTGTTATTTTTCAGAAGCAGATCATTTACTCTGAAGTTCAATGTCTTTTACTGTTACTGATATTTTTCTTCATCAGTGACTATAGAATAATTTAGGATGGCCATTTTCTTTTGTGGCTGTATCATTTTCAAATTTCCATTCTGCTTCTCTCCTGCTTCTGATTTATTTGTACCTAGACTTCTGCTCAGCTTTCTATTTTTTTGCAGTTTCTCTTGTTATATGTGTTGTTCTCATTCATGTATCTAGCCTTTCCTTCCTTACACATCTGTTTCATTAAGGCTGTTCTTGTATCTCTCTTTCATATTTTATACTAGAAGGTTTGATGCCCTCACAGGTATGTGTGAGGTTGTCTGTCATGTCAGGTGCTGAATTCATTACTGATGTAATTCTTTATGTAATAGCAATAACTTAAACTTTTGATCAGGTAGCATGGGTGACAGCAGGAGGTAAGGTGCTGAATGACAGTGAGCTGCTTGCCTCAGGACTTGAGATACAGGATGAGGGCCAATCACTTGTATTATTGGAAGTTAATGGTGAGCATGAAGGGCACTACACTTGTATTGCCTCCAATTCTGCTGGCTCAGCTGAAGAAACCTTCTTTGTCCAGGTCTTGTGTAAGTTTATGACATTTTTTCTTGACAGAAAGATTTGTATTCATTGTGAGCATTCTGATCACCTTTATATAAAGTCCTTGCAATTATAATACAGTTCATTGCAATATTCATTGGCAGCTACTGTTAAAAAGCTCCTCCTTGCCTTAATGTGATCAGATAACTGACAGAATTAAGCAAAAATAAAAAGATGACCTTCAGAAAATATGATTTGCTGCAATTGCTATTATTATATTGACAATTATCTGTAAATTAGTTAGTAGCAGACTGAACTAAAAATGCATTTGTATGCACATAAAGCAGTCTGTAAACTAAACTTCACTTGTTTCATACTGTTCACTAGTCTTCTCCGTGAAGGAAATATATATTTATTGTTCATTTTTTTCAAAATATAGAGCTATTTTCTTTTCCTCAGTGCCTCCTATGATAGAAATACCAGATCAAGGGACAGAACTAGAAGTAGTCCAGAGTTCTTCCATTACTTTACCTTGTGTGGTGGATGCTCAGCCTCCAGCATCTATATCCTGGTTGAAAGTCTGTATACTTGTTTTATTTTACTTCATATTGCTTAAGAAATATTTTGGCTTGAAGGATAACCACAGTGAAAACACAGTCAAAGGGTCCCCTCTTAAATACTCTCATTTAGTTGGTCGAAAGATAATTGGAGGATCTTTTGTTTGTTTTCACTGTGGTTATTCTGAGCACATGTTGTCACATGAATAATGATTATTCTGCCGATTGGGTTTATGTCATGGTAACTGAGTTAGAATGAATATTATAACTAAATAGGAAGAGACATATTGTACTGAAATTGAATGATAAGACAGGCATATATTTAATGAGACTTCTGCCTATGGCAGTTTTTTCATGTAAATTGTCAGCACAATAGGCTCCCTCACACTCACTGTAGTCTGGTAGTTGTTATATTGTGATACTAAAGACCTGAAGCATTGTTAATGGCACTCTGTCTTTAGTTGGAGACCTGTATTGTTAGTGTACTGAAATAATTGCCACTTTGGTGGAATCAGAATGGCAAGGCATTGGAGACAGGAGGAGACCCCTTTCTACACGTGATGGGCAGTGGGGAGAGGCTGAGCTTCCTACGGGTCCTCCCACACCATGCAGCCAATTACACTTGTGTGGCAACCAGTGCAGCTGGGGAAGACCTCCTCACTTATAATATGCGTGTCATGGGTAAGAGCATACGTTTACTTTTTTATCATTTAATTATACATCATGATTTATGTCTGTATTCATTTATCTGTTTATCTTTTTATCTGTTTGTCTGCTAATATGCTTCTATATATCTGTCTGTCTCAACATATATCACTTTGTCACTCACTGTTATGCACATCTGATATCTCTATAGAAGCTTCTACTGTAGCAGCAATTATCATCCTTTGTACTCACCACTATGTTTAACTAGAAAAAGAAGAAAAAGGTTTTTATGTGCAGGACATACGTGTACTACAATCTGCAGGTGTTAAAAAATGTCTTGATATTATGACTTTAATTTAAAATAATGTGTAGATGATTTTTGTCCTATATTGTGCTGAAATTCGAAATAGAATTTATAAACTGCACATTTCTTTACAGTTCCTCCAGTGATTATTGAGGATGTAGTGGAGAACATCATAGGGGAGGGAATTGGCAGAGAAACTGTTGGTGTGGTTGGTGGGGAGATAAATTTGGAATGTTACACACTTGGGATGCCTGCACCCACACTTAGTTGGGCTAAGGATGATGAGGTGAGTGGAAAATCTACTATTTCTTTTACATGTTTCAAAATATATCTGCTTGAGGACGTTCATGTACAGTACCTTGTCAGCATGGCTGCAGATACATTTTTTTTTTAACACATCAGCTGTTTTCCACTGAGGAAGGGTGACCCAAAAAGAAAGAAAAAATCAAAGTGAAAGAAATAACTTTCATCATCATTCAACACTTTCACCGTCACTCATACATAATCACTGTCTTTGCAGATGAACTCAGATACGACAGTATAAATAAAGTGCAGTATAAATAAAGTGCATATAAATAAAGTGCAGTATAAATAAAGTGCAGGCATTATACTTCCTATTTCCAGGACTCAAGTCTGGCTAGCCAGTTTCCCTGAATCCCTTTCGCAAAATATTACCCTGCTCACACTCCAACAGCTTGTGAAGTCCCAAAATTCATTTGTCTCCATTTACTCCTATCTAACATGCTCACATAGTAATGCATTTAATAATTGGTATAAAGATATTAAAGATACCATATATAGATCAATAAATCATCAAATTTTAATAAGATTAAGATAAATATTCTTTATTTCAGCATGATATAATGTTTGTACAGAAGTGAATGACATTTAAGTGTGCATGCAGAAAGCCCCTTAATATTAATAAGGCAATGAGTATTGAGTGCTTATATATACAATCTATTAGGTGGTTGTAAAAATAAAATTAGAAGTTACAATGAATATAAGAAAATTAATATACTAGGCAGTCTACATTACCTGGATCATATCTTGCAACATCATTCTCAGAGTGTGACACTCAGTGAACGGTTGTCAGTATATGAGGATGGACAGGTGCTAAAGATTCAAGATGCCCAGACAGACGACTCTGGACGCTACACATGCACAGCCACTTCTCCCTCTGGTGTGGCCTCCAGGGACTTTGTAGTCATCATTCACAGTCAGTACCATTTTTTAACTGATCACTCTTACTACTGCTTAAGATATAACCTTTGTAATTACCATTCATTAAAGAAAACTATGATGGTGAACACAAATGAGATTTTTCTGTTTATTCTTTGTAAAAAAAAATTATTTCACATTCGTTTCGAGTACTATACAAAAATATTGTAGGGTGTCTTTATTATTACAATGATTTTATTGTTGTTGTTGTTATTATTATTATTGATATTATTATTATTATGATTATAATTATTTTTATTATTATTTTTTATTATTATTATTACTATTATTATTATTATATAATATTTATGCTAGATACATTGTACAGTAATGCATTTTCCATTTTTGTGAACTTAAGATGGTTTGTTGATGTAAGAAAACTATTTCAAAAGAAGTTTAAGGCTTAACGAATGAAAATGTGTAAGGTGAGATGACTTAAGGAAGCTTCAAGGTTAGATAAAAGAACTCTGAGAAATATGTGTTGTGAGAGAGGAGGAAACATCAAGATGTTCAAGATTATGCATACATAGAATTTACAGTTAGAATTTGAAATATTCATTAGTAATGTAATATAAAGATGTATATATGGGCTTGAGAAAGCTACGGTAAACAGTTTTAGTTTGTCAGGTGCCTATATAATGCACTTTTTGGGTAAGCCTACAGGAGGCAAATAATTTAAACAATGCAGAATATATATACATTAAGTTCTTCTGCTTGTCTGTATATGTTGTATCATGTACTTGTAGAAATAAAGATTGTTATTATTTTTATTATTATTATTATTATTATTATTATTATTATTATTATTATTACTTATTATTATTATTATTATTATTATTATTATTATTATTATTATTATTATTATTATTATTATTATTATTATTATTACTGTATTAAAAGGAAATGTATAAATCAATAAGTTGAAATCTCATTGGCAGAGCTCTTTATTTCATCATTTTCACGTGATTTTTACCCCAGCAGGTGCTACTCTAGCCAATCTGTGACACATTACCAATACTATATTATGCAGGTCCACCTCGCATTATACCTCCCCCAGAGAAGAGCCTTGATGTAGTATTAAATCAACCGCTAGTATTGACTTGTGAAGCTGAGAGTTCATTAACACCAGCTGCCTCGTGGATTAGGCATGGAAGACCAATTACACCATTCACTAACCCTAACTATCAGGTGAGAGTTATTAATATGTATGGTATTCATGGAAAGCACTAAACCTGCAAGGGTCATTCAGCACTGTATCAAATCAGTAAATTAAATACATTTTAACTAAATACAATATTGTGCAATTTAATTAGATATGTACTGTTGGAGTGTGAGCAAAGTAACATTTATGAAGGGATTCAGGGAAACCAGTTAAACGGACTTGAGTTCTGGAGATGGAAAGTCGGATGCCTGCACTCTGAAGGAGGGGTGAGGATATGTTGCAGTTTTTTAACTGTAGTGTAGGCATGCCTCTGGCAACACAGTGATGGAATGAATGATAATAAAAGTTTCTTCTTTTGTCGGTCATCCTGCCTGGATTGGAGACGGCCGATGTGTTAATAAATAATGAAAAAACATTATAATCATAAATGAGTGAATCAGAAAATAAGGCCATGTATTTTTCTCAGAAAATTTATGCATCACTATTAAATACAGTAAACAGCTATTTTTTGCCTTAATTTTTATAGCCATTAATGTCATTTTTAATACCAGTTTATTAGTGCATGTCTCAGAATGGTAGAAATCCTTGTTCATTTTATACATCTGTAGTTTCACAATGTCCATTTCTTCTATTCTCAAAATGTCGTTTGTGTATTGTACGTTCCAGGCAACAGAGACTTGTAGTTGTGCCAGGTCAGTGCCATGTGGAAGATAGGGAAGCGTAGTGATAGAAGAAAGAAAAAAGAAACAAACAACTTTATTTCTTTCTGCATTATACAAAATGTAGTTTACATGTAGTAATAAAATATTGTTAAACACAAAATAAAGCTACCAACATGGTGTGTATTTCAGGCAGACTTCATGAGGAAACTAGACCAGTCCCAGTTTTATGTCTTCGTAGCTTTTTAAAGACCAGTGCAATAATAAAATTTCCATGTAACTTGTGCATTTTTGTCTATTATAGACAGAAAGTGTCAGATCAGCCAGGTTGTGATGATACCACCAGCATCAGCTTGGTTGACCACATATAGTGGAGCCAAAACTGAGTGTAAGGTACAAGCACAAGGATAGGTTTTTACAAGGAATGTAATAAAAACAAGAGGGGTTGGTTAGAAAGTACAATATGCACAAAAATGTGGTACAGTGGAACCTCAAAAATTGAACTTAATCCGTTCCAGGAGCTAGTTCTAAATTCGAAAAGTCTGAAATTCGAAGCAATATTTCCCACAAGAAATAATGGAAATATAATTAATCCGTTCCAGAAACCCAAAAATATTCACACAAAAAATACATTTTATAGAGATTAATTACAGTTTTACATCCAACAAATACTATAGTTTTTAATTATGTATAGTAATGCATATAAAATAACATTTTTACTTACCTTTATTGAAGATTGGTGATGGCATCTGGAAGATAGGGAGGAGGAGAGAGGGAGTTGGGGTTAGTGTTTGGAAGGAGAATCCCCCTCCATGAGGACTTCAGGTAAAGCCCTCTCTGGGGTTACTTCTCTTCTCTGTCTTTTAATGCCACTAGGACCAGCTTGAGAGTCACTGGACCCCTGTCTCACAAAATAACTGTCCACAGTCCTCTGTTTCTGGCGCCTCTTTAACATTTTCCTAAAATGGGACATGGTTCTGTCACTGAACTTGTTGCAAAGATGGCTTGTCCACTTGTTCAGGTTTGAATTCTTCACTGTCTATGTACCCCTTAAACTCCTGTACAAACTTCTCAGCCGCCCGTTTGTCTGAACTGGCTGCCTCACCATGTCTTACAACATTGTGTATGCCACTACGCTTCTTAAATCTGTCAAACCAGCCTCTGCTGGCCTTAAATTCACTATCAGCACTGGTTCCAGAAGTTTTCTGTACCAGATTGGCACGCAACTTCCTAGCCTTTTCACAAATATTCGTCTCTGAAACACTATCACCTGCAATCTCTTTATCCTTGATCCACACCAGCAACAACTTCTCAACCTCTTCAACTATTTGTGGTCTTTTTTTGGTTAGCACATTAACAGGAAAGAGGGAAATTATTTCCCAGTAAAATTAGGCCTTCGACAAGGATGTGTGATGTCACCGTGGTTGTTTAATATATTTATAGATGGGGTTGTAAGAGAAGTAAATGCAAGGGTCTTGGCAAGAGGTGTGGAGTTAAAAGATAAAGAATCACACATAAAGTGGGAGTTGTCACAGTTGCTCTTTGCTGATGACACTGTGCTCTTGGGAGATTCTGAAGAGAAGTTGCAGAGATTGGTGGATGAATTTGGTAGGGTGTGCAAAAGAAGAAAATTAAAAGTGAATACAGGAAAGAGTAAGGTTATGAGGATAACAAAAAGATTAGGTGATGAAAGATTGGATATCAGATTGGAGGGAGAGACTATGGAGGAGGTGAATGTATTCAGATATTTGGGAGTGGACGTGTCAGCTGATGGGTCTATGGAAGATGAGGTGAATCATAGAATTGATGAGGGAAAAGGGTGAGTGGTGCACTTAGGAGTCTGTGGAGACAAAGAACTTTGTCCTTGGAGGCAAAGAGGGGAATGTATGAGAGTATAGTTTTACCAATGCTCTTATATGGGTGTGAAGCATGGGTGATGAATGTTGCAGCGAGGAGAAGGCTGGAGGCAGTGGAGATGTCATGTCTGAGGGCAATGTGTGGTGTGAATATAATGCAGAGAATTCGTAGTTTGGAAGTTAGGAGGAGGTGCGGGATTACCAAAACTGTTGTCCAGAGGGCTGAGGAAGGGTTGTTGAGGCGGTTCGGACATGTAGAGAGAATGGAGCGAAACAGAGTGACTTCAAGAGTGTATCAGTCTGTAGTGGAAGGAAGGCGGGGTAGGGGTCGGCCTAGGAAAGGTTGGAGGGAGGGAGTAAAGGAGGTTTTGTGTGTGAGGGGTTTGGACTTCCAGCAGGCATGCGTGAGCGTGTTTGATAGGAGTGAATTGAGACAAATGGTTTTTAATACTTGACGTGCTGTTGGAGCGTGAGCAAAGTAACATTTATGAAGGGGTTCAGGGAAACCGGAAGGCCGGACTTGAGTCCTGGAGATGGGAAGTACAGTGCCTGCACTCTGAAGGAGGGGTGTTAATGTTGCAGTGTAAAAACTGTAGTGTAAAGCACCCTTCTGGCAAGACAGTGATGGAGTGAATGATGGTGAAAGTTTTTCTTTTTCGGGCCACCCTGCCTTGGTGGGAATCGGCCAGTGTGATAATAAAAAAAAAATAAAAAATAATTAACACCTTTCACAACATCAGCTTCCTTGATTTGTTCTTTCTTTGACAGGATAGAGCTGATCGTCGACTTGTTTTTCCCATACATCCTGGCAAGCTCAACAAGTCTCACATCACTCTCATACTTCTGTATTATTTCCTTCTTCACATCTATAGTGTTTCTCACTTTCTTTACCACAGGGGTACCACTAGCAAGTTTCTTTGGGCCCATGGCAGTTTATTTCACAGTCCCTCAAGCACTAAACACAACGAAATAATCATAAAATGTGTGAATGAGAGCGCAGGTTAGTGTTCACTCAAGCATAAACAAAGCTAGACTGCTCACGGCGCCTGCACGGGGACGTGGACAGGGCGGGCCCGCAGACATGTCCCGTATCCGGTGGTCCAAAAATAGGGGCGCGTTCGATAATAGGGACACAGTTTGTCCGAAAAAATGGTCCTATTTTCGGAACGTTCGATATGTGATACGTTCAATTTTTGAGGTTCCACTGTACAGAGATATCAGAAAATATTTTTCCTTATAAGAGAAGCAAAGAGGTGAAGTGAACTGAGCAGTGAGACAATATATACAAACTCCATGCATGTACACGTAACCATTATTTCTCATCAGACGGTCGAAAACAAAGAGTCGTGACTAAATAGGTAAAGAGAAAAATTGAAAGGTTAGATAGTTAATACTGTGACAGTCAGAAGTGAAAACATATATGAAGGCAGACATGGAAACAGTATAGATAATGGCTGCAAGTTTGAGTAATTCATAGAACTTGGCACTAAAGATTTTGGCAGACTGAGACCTTGAAAATCATTGGCAAAGACATGCATATCCCTATCGTGCACAGCATCTAGTACATCAAAAATGGTCTAAATGGCCAGTCTTTACTGCGAAGTACCCCTTGTGGCATGGGGAGCTCATCAATACACCCATGGTATCTATGGTTCTATTTTCCTCATAAGTCCTGTCACCACTAAGGAAAGGGGAAAGCAGCTAAAAGTGGGCTTAAATGTTTGCTTAGATGTTTAATGCTGTAGAGTAGCAGAAGATTTTTTTTACTTCAATGGCCGTCTCCCACCAGGGCAAGGTGACCCAGATTAAGAAACACATAGTTAAATATAATTAATAATAAATAATATAATAAATAATCCATAAAATCACCATTAAATACTGCTTGTTCAATCAAAACTTATATACTGTACTACTAAATCTCATTACTTCAGATTATAATAAAATTTTATGCAATGCAAATATGACTTGTTTTGTATAAGGCTGTTTCAGATGAACCTTACAAATTAAACTACTTTAAATGTGTAAGCTACAGTGTAATAATGATGAAGCCTCTTGCTTATTATATTGTTTATATTATACTGTATATATACTGTGCCAGGTGAGATCTGGAGGCCATGAGCTACATTTGCGTCGTGTTCGCAAAGGTGATGGTGGCCCCTTCACCTGTATTGTTGTAAATGCTGCTGGACAGGACACCCTCACCTACACCCTCACTGTTCAAGGTCTTCACAGAAAAATTGATATTTTTTTACTTCTTACTAACACAAGATTTGATATTGGTTACATAATGTTTTGTACATCATTTTAGCTCTTACTTGCTTTTTCTAGGGAAATTTTGTTGCTCATTAGTGCATGTGTGCATGGTGTGTGTGTGCATGTGTGTGTGTGTGCGCACGCCTGCATGCATGTATGCATATGCATGGTGTATGTACGTATGTATGTGCATGTCTTATCTAATTGTTTTCAGGAAAAGTACTGTGTATGATGCTTGGTGTAATATGTAATATGGTAATATCTTGAAATAACATATTTGCTGTGTCAGGAATAGGGCTGTGCTTGTTAAGTCCAATCTCTTATAATTTATTTATGGTATATATATTTTTTAATTTTTAGTGATTGCAGAATACACTACTTTCTTTTGTTACTTTTCTGGCATGTATGTGTGTACACTGTGTAATACACTATAAAGATAAATAATTATGGATGCTTTGAAAAAATTATATGCCAGTAAACTTGAACTAGGCAAGTTAAGATACAACCATTTAATATTTGCAATTACAGTACCAGCCAAGATAGAGCGAGCTAATGTTCAGCAACGTCTGGTGGGGGTGTTAGGAAAGAGTGCTGAGCTGATGTGTGAAGTATCTGGTAACCCAACACCCAGCATTGCCTGGACCCACGACAGCACACTCATTACCTCGGACCATCCTCACTATCAGGTTGTACCCTGTGGTTAATATAGCGTATTAGTTCCTGATTTTACTCCATTCACTGTTCTCATACAGAGAATTAAATTTGTTTGTTGTTGAATAACAAATATGCATAAACATATGTATATGAGCACAACAAGATCACAGTTAACAGGTGATATCACAGTGTGTAAAACAACCACTTTGAAAAAATAGTGAACATCCAAGCACTTTTGTGTTTTCTCACATTATCGAGGATGTGTGATAATTTGAGAAATCATGAAAGGGCTTGGAAGTTCATTATTTTTTAAGTGTTTGTTTTGCATATATATAGGAGTCATTCCAGGAAGGGATGAGAGCTGTGGCTTAAGCTTAAACAGGTGTGTGTGATTGCTTTATATCAAAATGAATGAAGACAAGTGATTTTTTATAATTTGACATGCTGTTGGAATGTAAGCAAGGTAATATATGTGAAGGGATTCAGGGAAACCAGTTAGCCAGACTTGAGTCCTGGAGGTGAGAATACAGTGTCTGCACTCTCAAGGAAGAGTGAGTATGTTGCAGGTCAGAGAACCTCTGAACTGTGATGGTAGCACATTTCTGACAATACAGCAGCTGAATGAATGATAGTGAATCTTTTTTCTTCCCTGTTATGGGTCACTCTGCTTTGGTGTGAGATAACTAGTGTGTTAAAACATACGTGTGTGTGTGTGTGTATATATATATTCTTTCTTTCTTTCAACACACCGGCCGTATCCCACCGAGGCAGGGTGGCCCAAAAGAAAAAACCAAAGTTTCTCCTTTCAAATTTAGTAATATATACAGGAGAAGGGGTTACTAGCCCCTTGCTCCCGGCATTTTAGTCGCCTCTTACAACACGCATGGCTTACGGAGGAAGAATTCTGTTCCACTTCCCCATGGAGATAAGAGGAAATAAACAAGAACAAGAACTAGAAAGAAAATCGAAGAAAACCCAGAGGGGTATGTATATATACGCTTGTACATGTATGTGTAGTGTGACCTGAGTGTAAGTAGAAGTAGCAAGACGTACCTGAAATTTTGCATGTTCATGAGACAGAAAAAAGGACACCAGCAATCCTACCATCATGTAAAACAATTACAGGCTTTCGTGTTACACTCACTTGGCAGGACGGTAGTACCTCCCTGGGCGGTTGCTGTCTACCAACCTACTACCTAGGGTGAAACAGAAACCTGTAACTGTTTTACATGATGGTAGGATTGCTGGTTTTCTTTTTCTGTCTCATAAACACGCTAAGATAACAGGGATATCTTGCTACTCCTACTTACACTTTGGTCACACTTCACAGACACGCACATGCATATATATATATATACATACATCTAGGTTTTTCTCCTTTTTCTAAATAGCTCTTGTTCTTTTTTATTTCTTCTATTGTCCATGGGGAAGTGGAAAAGAATCTTTCCTCCGTAAGCCATGCGTGTCGTATGAGGCGACTAAAATGCCGGGAGCAATGGGCTAGTAACCCCTTCTCCTGTATACATTTACTAAAAAAGAGAAGAAGAAAAACTTTATAAAACTGGGTTGCTTAAATGTGCGTGGATGTAGTGCGGATGACAAGAAACAGATGATTGCTGATGTTATGAATGAAAAGAAGTTGGATGTCCTGGCCCTAAGCGAAACAAAGCTGAAGGGGGTAGGAGAGTTTCAGTGGGGGGAAATAAATGGGATTAAATCTGGAGTATCTGAGAGAGTTAGAGCAAAGGAAGGGGTAGCAGTAATGTTAAATGATCAGTTATGGAAGGAGAAAAGAGAATATGAATGTGTAAATTCAAGGATTATGTGGATAAAAGTAAAGATTGGATGTGAAAAGTGGGTTATAGTAAGCGTGTATGCACCTGGAGAAGAGAGAAATGTAGAGGAGAGAGAGAGTTTTGGGAAAGATGTTGTGAATGTATAGGAGCTTTGAACAATGGAGAGTAATTGTGGTTGGGGACTTCAGTGCTAAAGTAGGGAAACCATTTAGAGAGGGTAGTGGTAGGTAAGTTTTGGGGTGCCAGGGTAAATGAAATGGGGAGCCCTTTATTGAACTTTGTTAGAAAGATTTAGTAATAAGGTAATACATATTTTAAGAAAAAGAGGATAAATAAGTATACAAGTATGATGTAGGGCGTAATGACAGTAGTTTGTTAGATTATGTATTGGTAGGATAAAAGGATGTTGGTAGACTTCCAGGATGTACATGTTATAGAGGGGCACTGATATATCAGATCACTTTTAGTTGTAGCTACAGAGAGTAAAAGGTAGATGGGAAAAGGGAGAATGGGAACAACAAGGAAGAGAGAGGTGAAGGTGTATAAACTAAAGGAGGAGGAAGTTAGGGTAAGATAAAAACAGCTATTGGCAGGATAGATGGGCTAGTGCAAGATAGAGTATGGGGGGTCGAAGAGGGTTAATGTTTTAAAAATGCAGTGTTAGAAGTGTTGCACAAGTTTGTGGTTATAGGAGTGGGTGCAGGAGGAAGAGGAGGATTGGTGGAATGATGAAGTAAAGAGAGTGATAAGAGAGAAAAAGTAGCTATGAGAAGGTTTTTACAAAGTAGAAGTGTAAGGAAGAGCAAGAGATATGGAGAAAAAGAGAGAAGTTAAGAGAGTGGTGAAGAAGTGTAAAAAGAGAGCAATGAAGAGTGGGTGAGATGTCAAGAAATTTTATTTGAAAATAAGAAAAATTTTGGAGTGAGTTAAACAAGTTAAGAAAGCCTAGGAAAATGGATTTGTCCATTAAAAAAGAGTAGGAGAGTTAGTAATGGGAGGTAGAGGTATTGGTAGATGGAGGGAATATTTTGAGGAATTTTAAATGTTGATGAAGATAGGGAAGTGGTAATTTCATGTACTAGGAAAGGAGGAATAACATCTTTAGGAGTGAGGAAGAGCAGAATGTAAGTGTGGGGGGAAGTTCGTGAGGCAGTAGTAAAATGAAAGGGGGTAAAGGCAGCTGGAACTGATGGGAATCATGATAGAAATGTTAAAAGCAGGTGGGGATATAGTGTTGGAGTGGTTGGTGCAATTTTTAATAAATGTATGAAGAGGGAAGGTACCTAGGGATTGGCGAGAGCATGTATAGTCCCTTTTATAAAGGGAAAGGGGACAAAAGAGATTGCAAAAATTATAGGGGGATAAGTTTTGAGTGTACCTGGAAAGTGTATACGGTAGGGTTATAATTGAAAGAATTAAGAGTAAGACGAGAATTAGAATTGGATAAACAAGGAGGCTTCAGGTGGTAGGGGTGTGTGGACCCAGTGTTTACATTGAACATATATGTGAACAGTATTTAGATAAGGCTAGGAGGTCTTTGATGGCATTTATGGATTTGAGAAAAGGCGTATGATAGAGTGGATAGAGGGGGCAATGTGGCAGATGTTGCAAGTTTATGGAATAGGTGGTAGTTACTAAATGCGTGAAGAACTTTTATGAGGATAGTGAGGCTCAGGTTAGAGTGTGTAGAAAGAGGGAAATTTTCCCGGAAAAAGGTAGGTCTTAGACAGGATGTGTGATGTCACCATGGTTGTTTAATATATTTATAGATGGGGTTGTAAAGAAGTAAATGCTAGGGTGTTGGGAGAGGGGTAGGAAAGTTATGGGTAAAAAATTCAAAATTAATTGGAGTTTTCTGCTGCTGATTACTGGATTACAGGTGATTCTAGGAGAATTGAAGAGGTTAGTGCAGAGTTTGGTAGAATGTTTGGTAGGTGTGTAAAGAAAGAAATTACATGAAAAGAGTAAGGTAAGGTATCTATGATTTAGATAAAGAAAAATTGGTATGAAAGATGAATAGTGGAGGAAGTGAATGTATTAGAGTATAAGTATTTGATTTGGGGGATGTTTGAAGGATGGGTTAAAGTATGAATGATGAGGGTGACAAAAAAGAAGAAAATCAGAAATGAAAACTTAGGATCTGTGAACAAACTTTGTCCTTGAGCAAAGTCAATGTTTTGAGAGTAGTATACCAACAGTTTAAGGTGAAGCGTGGGTGATGATGTTCAGAGGAAAGGGACAGTAGATTCCCCAATACTAGGCAATATCCAAACCTGTCAGAAGTTCATAGTTTAGGAAATTATCGGAAGCGTCAGTTTTACCAAAAATATGAAATCAGAGATGATGAAGGTGATGCTCCAGAACATGTAAAAGAACTGGACACGAAAATTTAAGTTATGTAATAGAATAAGTGGAAAACAGATAGACAAAGAATAGATAGAATAGAATATTTGGGCAGTTACCTTTAATGAAGATGGGTTTTGATGGTGAGAGGGGGAGTTCAGGCATGTTGAGGGGAATTCCTATAGGACGTGATGGTAGCAATGCTTTTTGGTACTTCCTTCTTTTGCCATGTGAGCATAGAGTAACTGATTTTGCAGGACTTCGGCATAGAGGCCGACTCTGGTCCTTTATGGACTTGAAGTAAAGTGCTTCAACTGAGAGGTGTTAATGTTCAGGTTTGAAAATTGGGGTTAAGGATCTCTTCTGCAAACAGTTTGGTGTAATCATGTGCAAATTTTCTTAATTTTCGAGGCACATTGTTGCACCAGCTTCTGAGTTAAAACCAAACCTTTATATAATATTATTAATGTATACTAATTTCACCTTTTTACTACAGGTTGGAGGGAATTTCTTGGAGCCTATGTACTTATTTTGCAAAACTAAGCACCAAAAACAGTGATAATATGGATAATATGGAATGTACCGAATGTATCCTTAGATGCGCGCATACTGACTGGCTTGTAAGCACTGGCACACACGGGGCAGTTCAGGCCACACGTGGACACGTCTTGTACTAATCGTATCGCATACCAGGTTTTGTAACGGGAACCGAGGCAAATTTTTTGCATCGGATACCGGATTTGTTGGATACCGATAGTATCGCGAACTGGGGATCCACTGTATATATATATTTTGATCTTTTATATTTATTCTCAATTATTTTTTAGGGAGCTTCATGTAAAGAGTATTCAGTGATCATTGTACTACACATAACCTTGTATCATCACTTGCAATCTCCATGTGATTTTATGGACAATTTGCTAACATTTTATTAGTAAAGAAAAAATTTTGAAACTTTAAAGATAACTAAGATGAGCTTATATATAAAAAAAATGCAATATATGTAGAGGAGTATATAATAGTAGAATAAAAGAAATTCTGAACTTTATTTGTTGAAATAATTGCTCATATAATTCAAATTCAAACATTTATGTCTACATGACACATTCTTTAATGCTGTACATATTTAGACAAGGACTCATGAAGTATTTTATCAGTAACAGAATATAAAGATTTCATTGTATAACTCCAACAGATCCTTGATAAAGGTTCACGCCTGCGACTGCTTGAGCTGAAGCAAGAGGATGAGGGTGTGGTCACTTGCACTGCTACCAACCCTGCTGGCCATGATGTTCTCAACTTCACTTTACAAGTCTTAGGTACACATAATAAATGGCAAACTTATGTTAATTTAATTCTATGTAACATAAATACCTTATCATAAAGAAGAGTGTTTTAATGCTAACATTTATCTCTGGTAGTCCCGCCCCATGTACCAGATGATGCGGTGACAGACATTACAGTGAAAGAGGATGAGAGTGTTGTTCTTGTCTGCCCAGTTACCGCCACTCCTGGTAAGTACATATATACAATGTATATATTTTACTCTAATTTATTCATTAAAGTTCCCTTTGTACTCTTTAATATTAGAAATTTTCCATTTTGGTAAATTTTCATTTAGTATCTGATTTTCATGTGACAAAACAGTAGCATTTCTAAATATTTATGTTAAATGGTAAAGAAGACATTATTATTTTTTTGCATGTCTAAAATAAATTTAAAGAAATGTATAAAATAATTTTGCTGAAGCTTTGGTTATGGTTAATGAAGAAATTCTAATTTGGAGCAAGCAGTCAGAGTTCAACTCTATGATCTACATAATTATATTAGGGCTGATCTGTACCTGTTTGAATGATAGGTGTGCATACTACCATTTGTGCTCTTGTTTTGAATACTGTTCTGGGCTTTCATCTTCATCTTACATCTTTTAATATTAAGTATACTGTTATGGGATACATGTTCCTCTTAATAACCTTTGTATTATTTAGTTCATGCTCATGTTCAACAGAGTTGGTTCTACTCAGTATTTTTGAAAATACATTACCTTAAATAACTGAGACTGGCTTCATCACTTTAGCCTTTACTCTTTGGACAACTCCTGATTAATATTGACCTCAAGCTGTTAATCTGCAGCATCTAAGATGCAGTAATGATATTAGGAACTTCCTCTCAGTTCAGATCTCAAACATCAAAGCTTATTACATATACAGTACATTTCAATCATGGCTACCCATTAATATTTCAAGTAATCTGCTAAAGGCTGGAACATTTTATCAAGAGTGTACAGACAAAATTTTTAAATTCTATGGTGATATTTCTTAAGGATGTTGATATGGTATTTCTTGAATTTAACATTAACATCAATTACATAATCCATCTTACTGCATCCCTTCACTACTTTGCATACCTGCATACCTTCACTCCTGAATACTATCACTTAACCATTGATTGATGCCTTCTGAGTCTAATAGATTTTACCATATTTATATGTGAACTCAAATATGGAGTTAGCCTTCATTTCCTCCTTTTCCTGTGCCTCTTAGAGTGTGATGGTATCCTTTGGTATCAGATAGCAAATTGTCTGTCTGTTAGCTTCTGTTTCTACATTGATAAAAGTAGTGTCTTAGGTATGCCATACAGTATATGATAATGTTGAAGTTATATCTACAAAAACATCTTTAACTTCAAACAAAATATGGCAAGGATGTACTGTGTGAGCTGTCAGTATTGTATGTCATTAAGTTAAAGAAGTTTTGGTTTGCTAGTGCTGTGATGAGCATTATCTTTATGCAGCACCATCAGTGGTGTGGTCAAGGGATGGGACCATTGTGGGTGTGAGTGGGCGTGGCAATGTAGATGTGGGTAGTGATGGACACACTCTGAGGATGGTACGGGCTGGCAGCCACAACTCTGGAGTCTATACCTGTACTGCATCTAATGCTGCAGGAGTCCTAGACATCCCTCTCACACTTAGTGTTCTTGGTAAGCTGTGCATATGTTCTCATATCATTTATAGTGGTCTTCTGCAAGGTCATTCAAATGTTATATACAGTATATAAATTTATTATAAATAATGTTTTTAATATATACATTGAACATTTTAATATGGTCAGAATGCCCATTTTAGGCACTCTTGGGTGCCATCAATACTTATAAGACAGTGTGATTGAGATTTACTTCTTTTCTGAATAACTTGTGAACTTGATTGTTTCTTATGCCTTTGATCCTGACTGATGTCTTGAATCTCTGGTTTTTGACTGGCATCCAAAATCATTGGATGTCTAGTTCAAGTTATGACAATTCTAATGCATGCCTCAAAGACCAGATCTAATCCTAATTGTTCCAATATTGTACAGTACCTCCACAGATTGCTGGCACAAGGGCTGGTGCCCACCACCGGCAGGGAGAGGAAGAGTTAGTGACAGTTATGGAGGGTGGTCATGCATCTCTGGAGTGCCACTTGCTGAAGGGTTCACCAGCACCCACCAGGCACTGGTTTCTTGGCCATGACCTTCGTCAGCCTCAACACACAGTGAGTCTGTGTGCTGAAAATGAAAATAAGGGAATTACAAAGAAATTGATCCAACTGTGTTTATCATTCTAATTAGGTGTTGATGCATTTTCTTTAAGTAACTGGCTCCCTTACCTCCATGTGTTAGTGTGACTAGTTAATGGTCCAAGTCAGACCGAAATGTTGTTATAAAGTTTGTTTCTCCTTTGTGCGGGTTATTTGTGTATTGTTCTTGTCATGGTATTGTGCCTTTTGTGTTCTTTTAAGTAACTATCTTTAATATTTTAGCTGCTTCAGGAAATACTCAGACCCTGAAGTTTATGAAAATCAGAAGGAATAAGAACATAAGACTGGAGGAACACTGCAGTAGGCCTACTGGAGTATGCTAGGCAGGTTGTTAGCTCCAATGACTACTTGATTAGCTCCAATGACTACTTGATTAGCTCCAATGACTACTTGGCAGATTGTTAATTATCTACAAATCTGTTGCTAAAAAAGTGCTCTACAACTCTATTGCTAAAAAAAGTACTTTCCTAAATCCTTTCTAAGTCTGATGGGAAAACAAAACTGTGGCCCCTGTGTTTGGTTTAAGATAATGACCTTGAGGTGTTTTCCCAGATGGATTTTATGGTTTCATTGGCTGTTTCTTGATATCATTTCATAAATTGGAAAACATACTGTTGAAATAGAGATGATTTTGATTGACTTCAGAACAGGATGTAGCTTGAAATAGGGCTCAAAGTAGCTGAAATATTTTATTTTTTATGATTTTACCTGAGGACAGGTAAGGGGTCCCCTACAACCCCTGGTCTGTTTTTTTTTTTTTTTTTCAACAAGTCGGCCATCTCCCACCGAGGCAGGGTGACCCAAAAGAAAGAAAATCCCCAAAAAGAAAATACTTTCATCATCATTCATCACTTTCACCTCACTCACACATAATCACTGTTTTTGCAGAGGTGCCCAGAATACAACAATTTAGAAGTATATACGTATAAAAATACACAAATATCCCTCCAAACTGGTCTGTTTTATAGGTTTTTAATAGGACTGATTCAGTTATTGGGATGCTGAAAACCATGACCAGTCATTTCTGATTATATTTTATAATATGTGAAATAGGGTAAATCTTCAATTTTCTTGTATGATTATGAATTCAAAATGGAAGGCAAGTGTAATATAGGAGAGGCCTGGGGATGTGATTATTGAACATAGGAAATGTTGAGTGTCTGGAATGTCTACATTATTTATTTTGGACTCCATTTTTAAATTGGCATCTTTTATTTTGTTTAAACTTGGCCAAATTATCAGTTTCTGTGCACTAATAGAAATATTAATTTCTGGGGTCTGGACTGTGGAAGGGTTAATATATATATATATTTTATTTTTTCTCTCATTGTGACCTTATTAGGAATTATTGTATATAACTTCATAATAAATAAAATATAATGAGTTTCAACATTTATGTTTTAAATGACTTTAAACTCACATAATAAAGAAGTGCTAGGTAGGTGGACATAGCTGCAACTAATGTGACATTTTATTTTGGCAACATTTTGCTGTTACAGTGGTTTAACAAAGCTCCTGGAGAGTGAAATGTTGCCACAATAAAATGTCACATTAGTTGCATCTGTGTTCATTTACCTAACATTTTGTCAGTAATTCTACCATTATTACTCATAAAGAAATGATCACTGAGCTACTTAAAGAGAACAGCAATACCAGACTGGTGATTTTCCACAAGGTTGTTGGTGATGGGGAGAAGTTGGTGATCACTGGAGCCCAAGTAGATGACTCTGGGGTGTATCACTGTGTGGCAGAGAATGCTGCCGGCAAGGACACCAAGGTGGTGCGTGTGGGAGTGCAGGCACCACCCAGGGTTAACATTACAGCTCTTCCAGGCCTTGCCACTGTTCTAACTCCAGGTCAGTTGTTAACAAATTGTAGGCCTGCTAAGCTTCACATTCCATTGTAAACATCTAGACAAAATTAGAATAGCTTAAGTTTGCATAGGCACCCTACTAGTAATTAAACAAGGGAATGAAAATTGTTGAGTACTAATAGAATCCTAACATGGTCACTCATTTCTCGTAAGTAATATGAGGAGACATGAGCCTTACAACCTTGAGTCTATGAGGTATCATTGGAGAGTGAGAGTATGAAGACCTCTCATTCTATTCTTAAACCTTAAATTGGGGACAACATATTTACACTGTCTCAAAAGTAGCTAGGCATGATGCATATGCATGAATTTACTGTATTGTACACCAAAGTAGGTTAAAATTAAATGTTACATGACATCATGTATATATCTGGCAAATCTCACAAGTCTTATAAGCTCACTTTATATTCAGCAAAAAATTATGTTTTTTTAGTGCTTCACAAATTAGGTTGTTTAGTAACAAACTTAAAGTCATGTGTCTTTAAGTCACAGAACACTAATCACAAACCTGTCCAGTGGTTGCCATGCACCTTCAGCATATGGTATTTAACCCTTAAACTGTCCAAACGTAGATCTACGTTTTTTTCAACATTTGAAAGTATTTATTTTTACATTTGAAAACGTGTAAAAAAACTTTGATCTACTTTTTTTTTTTGTCATATTTGAAAATATGTAAAAAAAACGTAGATCTACTTTTTGAGCACTACGCATGTGAATGTAGATCTGCTTGGACAGTTTAAGGGTTAAAGTACAGAAATGGGTGGGCCTATGTGGCTCTGTGACCTCTGATTGGCTATAGTAGCAAGATATACATCATTCTACATGGAGTAAATTCCCATGAGTACTGGTGCCATGTGATGTCTATAAAAGTGATTTTCCTATACCAAACCTTGCAGGTGAAGTATTATATTATATAAGACCCTCCAGGTTCAAGACCTGTGGTCACATCCTGCAATAAATACTATCTTAATCTTTCTCTTCTGTTTTTCTCCTCTTCCTCCTCTCTTATTTCTAAACTCATGTGACCTGGGCTTAGGCTTTCTAATACTCTAACAGTTATGAGAAAGTTGTTATTATATTTAGGTGGAAACAGTAAATCCATAGGGGTCATACAGAGTGTGGGAAATGGAAGGCAATCAGGTTCAATTTAAGAAAGGGGAAGGCAAGTCTAATTCCTGGGATCAACAGTTCCTCACCAGCATACTGTGCAAAATTAGCCATTACTATGTTATCATATTTAATAAGAGTTAATGTGATAGCTCTTTGTAATATATTTAGTGCTATAACATTATATTGCACCACAATGCAGGTGGAGGTGAAGCAACACTATTGCCTGCTAATGGTCGGCCACGCAACTCCTCGGTGAAAACTACCTTCACTACCACACAAGACCAGACTGTCACCCTTCCCTGCCCTGTTACTGGTTAGTTAATATCAAGAAGTATAAACTTCAAGCTTCTTATAAGATATCAAAGCATAAATTGGTGCTTTTCTTTATACCAGCACAGTTTATTATATATTCTGATTTAAAACCCTGAATTAATGGAAGAATTTCATATACGTATCCATTTATCTTCAATTTATTAGAAGTCCTTAGTGTACCTTATGTCTCCAAGTGCTTAGCTAACCAAGGGTGAAACCATTAGGATCAGTCGTCACTTCATATGATTTACAAATTACTATCGTGTTCAATAACAGCCAATTCTGAACAATCATTAAAAAAAATTAAATTAAAATTTTTTATTTCCTTGTAAAGCTTACAATGTTTGGTTTGCATGTTGTTAAATTGTTAATTACAAGGCATTTTGGGCAGATTAATACTAATTCTTACTCTATATTGATATAGATCATGGAACAGTACATTTGAACATACATTTGACATTTGAACATTTGAGCAGTACATTTGAACATACATTATTAAATAAATACATAATTAGATACATACCTAGCTAGGCACATACATAATTAGATTTACAATATTGAGGTAGTACGAATCATGTAATAATACAGTAGACTGTTGTCTAACACGGTTTTATCTTGCACGTTTTGGTTATAGCACGATTGAAGAATTGCTGCATATTTTTGTTTAAGACTTCGTAAAATTAGTTTAACACGGTTGTGGGAGGGGAAAAAATTTTGAGCGCACGGTCGCTTGTGGGGCAGGATGGTCTGTGGGTTACACCATTGAGTCAATGGGGCGACCCACTTCCATCCTCTGCCACAAGTAAATAAAACTGAAAACTTGTTGCTTAAGTGGATCAAACAAAAGACAAAGAAAGGTGCACCACTTAATTTTCTCTTAATTAGGGAAAAGGCCTTACAGTTGTTTAAACCAGTGTGTGATAAGGCTGGTTCTACAACTTTAAGTTGCATAATAAGTTACATAATATTAAGTTTTTCGGTGAAAGTGCTTCAGCTGATCATACAGCAGCAAGTAATTTCCCTGATGAATTGCAGGAAATTATTTCTGAGGATGGCTATGAGCCACATCAAGTGTTTAATGCTGACGAGACAAGTGTTTTTTGGAAAAAATGCCAACACGAACTTATATCAGTTAGCAAGAGGAGAGTGCACCGGGTTTCAAAGCAACAAAGGATCGCTTCACCTTGCTCCTTTGTGGTAATGCATCAGGTGATTTCAAGTGTAAGACCATGGTTATTTACTGCTCTAAGAATCCTCATGCTTTGAAAGGTGTAGATAAAAACACCTTACCAGTAATTTGGAGGTCAAACCAGTCAGCATGGATGACAGAGATAATATTTATTGACTGGTTTAAGCATCACTTTATTCCTGAAGTCAAGTTTTACCTGCACAGCAAGAACCTTGCATTCAAGGCTCTCTTCATTCTTGATAATTCCCGTACTCATCCACAAGCTTTGCTGGATCTGACCCCACATGTAAAAGTTGAATTTTTACCTCCAAATACAACATCTCTAATACAACCACTGGATTGGGGAGTTATTAAGTTATTTAAGTATAGCTACACAAAAAAGTTATGAAAAAACTAATTGCATCAATGGACTCTGACTCCAACCTGGCAGTACCAAGCTTCTGGAATAAATTTAACATTGCAGATACCATCAACTGTGCTAGATGTGCATGGAATGAAGTGCTCCAATCAACATTAAATGCAGGCTGGGAAAGTTATGGACTTCTGTAGTTAATTCTTTCACTGGTTTTTACTTGCTTGAGAGTCAGGTTCAGGAAATTGTTCAGCTGGCAAGGAGATTACCAGGTGATGGGTTTGAAGATATGAATGAAGATGATGTGAATGAGCTCTTAGAAGATGATGATGATGATAATGAAGACAGGAGTCCAGAGGAAATGTTGGCAGAGCTTATGCATAGATAGAAGGGAGCCAGATAACAGAAGAAGATGAAGAAGAACTTGAAGAAAAACAATTAACATTGCAGCAGTTACATGAGAAGTTCCTTGCCATCAGCTGTATAATGTACTGCAGGGTAAAAGAGCCCAGAGATCCATTACAGAATTTATGCGCACTCCAATACAACCATCGACTTCAGTACCAGAACCTCTACCGTCCACTTCTGCTAACAACCATCTACCTCAGCCCAGTAGGGCCACATCATCCATATTCACTCTCTTCACAATCATCCACAAAAACCACTTCCCACAATTTAAGGTAAGAAATACGTACTATTATTTCTATTGCAATTGTAGTCTTAAGCAGTAATATATCACAACAATGCACTACAATTACATATTCACTTTTATTTTGTAAGATCTGAAGGTCTAAAAAAAGTTGTTTGGCTTTTTGGGGGCTCCCAGGAATGTAACCCTATTTTTCCCATAAAAGTAACTACTGTGCTAAACAACAGTCTACTATATTACAAATGGTAAATTTAGTAATGGGATTGGATTTGTCTGTTTCTATTAAAACTAATTATGGGTGGGTGTAAGTGTAAATTAGGGGAATTATAGAAAATGAGAAGAGGACTATATATATTGTTTTGGTTGTGTTCATTGGTAATGGTTATGTGTATAAGCAGAAAGGATAAAAAAATTCCACATTAATTATTGTGGATAGAATTATGCAATAGGATATTTTGCCATTATATCCAGATTGGTAGTGTTCCTAAGTATCAGTATTGATGGTATCAGCTAATTTTGAGAGTATCAGCATTGAACTAAAATTGAGTATTAGTATTAGCAGAAATTTTTTGGTGTCACCTCATCTCTAATCCAAATAACTGTTGATACTGTATATTTATTCAAAGTGAAAAAAATCACCACTTATGTTTTAATGGCTTACTATAATAATAATACTATAATTTCTATTTCTACACATACATGATGCAACTGATACAGACCTAGTTGACATCACTGGCATACTATACAGAAAACCCATTACGTATTATTAGAGCATTTAGGCCAACTTAGGCTAATCTTGTCCCCCAGAATGTGACCCACAACAATTGGCTAATACCCAGGTACAGTGTAACCCAAAATTTTGAACTGCTCCCAATTCGACCAATTATGTAAGTGTATTATTGTAAGTGCTTTTGTAAGTGTATTTTTGGGTGTCTGAAATGGACTAATCTACTTTACATTATTCCTTATGGAAATAAATTAATTTGTAACAGCACTCAAACAGCTTTCTGGAACGAAGAAAGTTCGAACTGGGGGTTCCACTGTACCTACATACTGCTAGGTGAACAGGGGCAACAGGTGTAAGGAAACTTGTCCAGTGTTTCACTGGTGCTGGGGATTAATCCCGGACCTTCAGTGTGTGAGCTGAGGACTTTACCAACCAAGCCATGGGTACTAGGTAGCTTATCTGTCTCACACCTGTCAAACAGGGAATCAAGTTCCCACCTATCCATAAGCTGTATAACCTGTATGAGCTTAGCTCATGTAGAAATAATATTTTTTAATTTCCTTAGTATAAGTACAGTACCTACTGATATTTACACTAAATTTCAGTAATGAGAGGTGTTATCATTAAGTACTATAAACACTTTTAGTATTTTTTCTAAGCCCACCCTCCTGTTCCTGGTAGGGTCACCCACCCCACGACGACTTTGGTATCGTGGGTCCCAGGCCCTAGTGTCTTCCCCAAGACTAGTGGTTGGCGTAGGTGGGCGGGATATCACCATTGTGGGTGTGAGCCCAAGAGATGCGGGGGCGTATGTGTGTGTGGCTGTCAACCCTGCAGGCGAGGCACAGCTCACTACCACTCTCATCGTTATTGGTGAGAACTGTCACCTCTTGTGCGCTCTTCATGTAGTGTGATTATAACACTTCAGTAGGACAAAGTTAACAGATCACCTAGAAGCTCTTTTAAACTTGTGTGGAATTTGATAATGGATGTTTTCTAAGCATGTATATATTGTATTAGTACAATAATTGTTTAAGGAACAATTCTTCACTGTGCATACATTTGTATATGAATAATTTATAGTTAGTTTAATTTGAAAGATTACCTTTGATGAATCATTTCATTACTTAAATCATTATACACAGACTAAAATGTGTAAGTGGAATCGAGTATATATCATCTTAGGTCGTCCTGAGCTGGAAGGTGAACCTGAAGAGGAAGTAACAGTATTGGAAGGTCATAGAGTTATTCTCGAATGTAGAGTCAAAGTTCCTTCCGTTGAATCACAGCGAGGCCCTCACAGACGTGCACACTACAACATCACTTGGATAAAAGTAAGTGTTCATCTTAAGGTTATCACAATGAGATTAAATCAGATTTAACATAAAATATTGAATAATAAGTAAAGTTTTCCGGGGAATCAACTGTGTCTGTGAGAACCATCTTTAACCAATAATCAGACTACTGTACAGAATGGAATACATTGAACTTGTTATGGTATGATGCATTAGCATAAGCTATTTATTACAGCTGTTTTCATTCACAAATAAAAATATCCTAAAAATTGTTATGATATAAATTAAGCTTTATTTTTATTTTACACATTGTATTATACACAACTGTAATAAACACTGGTCAGTGGTACTAATAAACCAATATGAAGAGCATGAAACAAAAGTTGAGAAAAATATCATATGTTTTGTCCTACTAATAATAGTGTGCTTAAGATGGCCTCAGTAGTAGGCCTCACTTTACTTATAGTAGTACTCTTATCTTCTGCTTTATTTTCTCCATGTTGGTTCATCTGTGTCATATACAATTCTGTGTAATTATAATATCCAATATACTGTAGTAGGTTAATTATGTGGTTACAGGGTGGATAACTTCTTGAAACACAATATTCCATCATTGCAGAATAACCCAGGCACATCTTTAATGGGCAGTCGGGCAGACATAGATGACTATAATTATTTGGATTATACCAATTTTGACACTGAGTTTGGTCATGATCCTCTGTTCAACATGACATCAAGAAGCAATACTGACATTGACTGGCAGAAATGGAAAAGGCAGAATGTAACATTTTCCTATGGGATTTCCAATGATGGTACACAGTTAACTCTGCCAAAAGTAATGAAAGATGATGAGGGGCTGTACACATGTGAAGTTACTAATGAAGCTGGAGTCACTAAGAGAACCTTCAGAGTTGATGCATTAGGTTAGTACCACTTTCTTAACTTATAGCTCAAGCTGCTTTCATAGAATCAGTTTCATATCTTGTGATCATTTAAAATATATAAAATTATCAGAAATTTAACAGATGTAAGAAAAAAAACAATTGTTAATGTTATGAGTAAAAGAAATCTAAAAGGGTTGCAGAGTTTGGATAGAAAGACATAAATGCAACTAAATAAGGTGTATCTGAGATAACATGAGTTAAAGACTTTGTCTAAAGAGTGTGCAGTAGGGAATTTTTTTTTTTAATCATTCTCTGGTGAGAAATAGAGTGTGTGCTAAATGAAAAATTGTTTGCTACACTGCAATATCAAGATGCAGTATTTTAATCTAATTTGTTACATTTTAAATGTAAATAATATGAAACCTTAAGGAAAAAGATGTACGTACATTTCATTCATTGATTTTAATGCCATATTTTATTGCCATTATTAATTATTATGATTTTTTCTCTTTTTTTTTTTTTTTTTTTTTTAATCTGGGTACGATACAGTTCCACCAGATATAGACACTGAACAAGAAGTGAAATTTTACCAGGCAGCTGTTGGGGAACCAGTAGTGTTAGAATGTGATGCTACTGGAGATCCAATCCCAGAGGTATGTAGTTTCATAAGCATCATATTGCGCCATTTATTCTCTATTTCACCATCCTAATTCATCTAAATTTTCCTAATTTTTAAGCTTTGTGATAATGAGGGGATTAAATACAGACAGGTTGGCATAATTTTCAATCAGGGTGCTAAAAGGGATGATATAGTTTTAAGTCACAAGCCAAAGTCAGTTTTATGTAGTCTTCAGAAGTTGCAGCCATTATGAGGACAAGAAACACCTGGCATTACCAGATATTGTAGTCTCAGTCTATTGTAGTCTCATTCTTTTAGCTCTTTGTCATGGACAAAGAGCTAAAAGAATGAAGCTTTTGTTTGGAAACCAGTAAAAGATGTGAAATACCTGTATTAGTCTTCATCAATCTTTGGATTAAGTAATTTATTTTAATACATGAAGGGATATAAGGAAACTGATTAGATGGACATGAATCCTGTATGGAAGAGGGTAAGGTACCTAGGGATTGGCAGAGAGCATGCATAGTTCCTTTGTATAAAGGCAAAGGGGATAAAAGAGAGTGCAAAAATTATAGGGGGATAAGTCTGTTGAGTATACCTGGCAAAGTGTATGGTAGAGTTATTATTGAAAGAATTAAGAGTAAGACGGAGAATAGGATAGCAGATGAACAAGGAGGCTTTAGGAAAGGTAGGGGGTGTGTGGACCAGGTGTTTACAGTGAAACATATAAGTGAACAGTATTTAGATAAGGCTAAAGAGGTCTTTGTGGCATTTATGGATTTGGAAAAGGCGTATGACAGGGTGGATAGGGGGGCAATGTGGCAGATGTTGCAGGTGTATGATGTAGGAGGTAGGTTACTGAAAGCGGTGAAGAGTTTTTACGAGGATAGTGAGGCTCAAGTTAGAGTATGTAGGAAAGAGGGAAATTTTTTCCCAGTAAAAGTAGGCCTTAGACAAGGATGTGTGATGTCACCGTGGTTGTTTAATATATTTATAGATGGGGTTGTAAGAGAAGTAAATGCGAGGGTCTTGGCAAGAGGCGTGGAGTTAAAAGATAAAGAATCACACATAAAGTGGGAGTTGTCACAGTTGCTCTTTGCTGATGACACTGTGCTCTTGGGAGATTCTGAAGAGAAGTTGCAGAGATTGGTGGATGAATTTGGTAGGGTGTGCAAAAGAAGAAAATTGAAAGTGAATACAGGAAAGAGTAAGGTTATGAGGATAACAAAAAGATTAGGTGATGAAAGATTGGATATCAGATTGGAGGGAGAGAGTATGGAGGAGGTGAATGTATTCAGATATTTGGGAGTGGACGTGTCAGCGGATGGGTCTATGAAAGATGAGGTGAATCATAGAATTGATGAGGGGAAAAGGGTGAGTGGTGCACTTAGGAGTCAGTGGAGACAAAGAACTTTGTCCTTGGAGGCAAAGAGGGGAATGTATGAGAGTATAGTTTTACCAACGCTCTTATATGGGTGTGAAGCATGGGTGATGAATGTTGCAGCGAGGAGAAGGCTGGAGGCAGTGGAGATGTCATGTCTGAGAGCAATGTGTGGTGTGAATATAATGCAGAGAATTCGTAGTTTGGAAGTTAGGAGGAGGTGCGGGATTACCAAAACTGTTGTCCAGAGGGCTGAGGAAGGGTTGTTGAGGTGGTTCGGACATGTGGAGAGAATGGAGCGAAACAGAATAACTTCAAGAGTGTATCAGTCTGTAGTGGAAGGAAGGCGGGGTAGGGGTCGGCCTAGGAAAGGTTGGAGGGAGGGGGTAAAGGAGGTTTTGTGTGCGAGGGGCTTGGACTTCCAGCAGGCATGCGTGAGCGTGTTTGATAGGAGTGAATGGAGACAAATGGTTTTTAATACTTGACGTGCTGTTGGAGTGTGAGCAAAGTAACATTTATGAAGGGGTTCAGGGAAACCGGCAGGCCGGACTTGAGTCCTGGAGATGGGAAGTACAGTGCCTGCACTCTGAAGGAGGGGTGTTAATGTTGCAGTTTAAAAACTGTAGTGTAAAGCACCCTTCTGGCAAGACAGTGATGGAGTGAATGATGGTGAAAGTTTTTCTTTTTCGGGCCACCCTGCCTTGGTGGGAATTGGCCAGTGTGATAATAATAAAAAAAAAAGAATCCTGGAGGTGGGAAGTACAGTGCTGGACATGAGCCCTGGAGGTAGGAAGTACAGTGCTGGACATGAGTCCTGGAGGTGGGAAGTATAGTGCTGGACATGAGTCCTGGAGGTGGGAAGTACAGTGCTGGACATGAGTGCTGGAGGTGGGAAGTACGTACAGTGCTGGACATGAGTGTTGGAGGTGGGAAGTATAGTGCTAGACACGAGTCCTGGAGGTGGGAAGTACAGTGCTGGACATGAGCCCTGGAGGTGGGAAGTACAGTGCTGGACATGAGTCCTGGAGGTGAGAAGTACAGTGCTAGACATGAGTCCTGGAGGTGGGAAGTGCAGTGCTGGACATGAGCCCTGGAGGTGGGAAGTACAGTGCTGGACATGAGTCCTGGAGGTGGGAAGTACAGTGCTGGACATGAGCCCTGGAGGTGGGAAGTACAGTGCTGGACATGAGTCCTGGAGGTGGGAAGTATAGTGCTGGACATGAGTGCTGGAGGTGGGAAGTACAGTGCTGGACATGAGTGCTGGAGGTGGGAAGTACAGTGCTGGACATGAGTGCTGGAGGTGGGAAGTACAGTGCTGGACATGAGTCCTGGAGGTAGGAAGTACAGTGCTGGACATGAGTCCAGGAGGTAGGAAGTACAGTGTTGGACGTGAGTCCTGGAGGTAGGAAGTACAGTGCTAGCACCTTGAAAAAGGGATACAGATGTTGAATTTTTCTGTTCATTTCCTTTAACACATGACATAGAGAGATTTTTTTTTTTCAATACACGGGCCGTCTCCCACCAAAGCAGATACCCAAAAAGAGAAAGAAACACTTTTACTGTCATTTAACGCTTTCACCATCATTCAGACATAATCACTGCACAGATATGACAGTTCAGATGTCACTCCAACCAGCAAATATCCCAAACCCCCTCCTTTAACCCTTTCAGGGTTTCCGACGTACTAGTACGGCTTACACACCAGGGTTATTGACGTACTAGAATGCCTAAATTCTAGAGCCTTCAAATCTAGTGAGAGAAAGCTGATAGGCCTGCATATGAAAGAATGGGTCTCTGTAGTCAGTGTGCACAGTATAAAAAGAATCCTGCAGCTCACAGTGCATAATGAGAGAAAAAAAACTCCGACTGTGTTTTTGGTTTAAAATAGCGACTTTGCAGTGTATTTTCGTATGGTATTCATGGTTGTATTCTAGTTTTCTTGGTCTCATTTTACAGAATGGAAGACATATTACAGAAATTGAGATGATTTTTATTGGTTTCATAATGAAAAGTACCTTGAAATTGAGCTCAAAGTAACAGAAATGTTCGATTTTTACCAAATTTCAAAAGCAAACAAATCTTACCAAGCATCCAATACACGTCAACTGGTGAGTCTAATATTCTTTCATAAGTGTACTGATATTATTTATACCATTTCTACACTAATGCAGTAGTCTGCATAACAATAAATCTTCTATTTTTTGTGAGAATAAAAATTCAAAGTGGAAAGCAAAAGAGATGTAAGAGGGGCCTGGGGACATGACTAATGAACAGAGAAAATGTTATTTTAGTGCCAGGAATCTGTCTTGCTTATTCTGGACCCTATTTGGAAATTGGCATCTTCTGAAATTTGTGTGAAATTGGCAAAATTGCCAATTTCTGACCACTTTATTGGATACTTGAAATAGGTAAATGGATGGTTTCTTGTACTCATTCGATAGAAAAAATGGAGTTCTAGCAAAATAGATATGATTTTTGTCGACTAGTACACTGAAATTGGCCGAAAATAGGGCTCAAAGTGGGCGAAATTGCTGATGCGTAAACATCATCAAGACCGCTAACTTCACGAGAGCATAATTTCGTAAGTTTTCCATCAGATTTCATACTTTTGGTGTCATTATGATCGGGAAAAGATTCTCTATAATTCATAAGATTTTTTTTTTTTTTTTTTTTTTTTTCCTTCAAAAAAATTTTCGACCCTAAGAACAAGTTTAGGAGAGGGCCTCTCGACCCTGAAAGGGTTAAAATGCAGGCACTGTACTTTCCACCTCCTGGACTCAAGTCTGGCAAGCCAGTTTCCCTGAATCCCTTCGTGAAATATTACCCTGCTCATACCCCAACAGCTCATTAAGTCCCAAAATCCATTCGTATCCACTCTTATCTAACACACTCACATGTGCCTGCTGTATGTCCAAGCCCCTCATACACAAAACTTCTTTTACCCCCTCCCTCCATCCTTTCCTAGGACAACCCCTACCCTCCTTCCCTCCACTGCAGATTTATACCCTCTCCAAGTCATCATGTCATCCTATTTTGCTCCATGCTCTTTAAATGACCAAACCACCTCAACAACTCTACCTCAGCCCTCTAAATAATACTAATTCTGTGCTAGTAAAATGAAGATAAATACAGCTGGCTCGCCTATGTAAACTTAACTGGACAAAGTTGATAATTCCTGTATCCAGTGTCTTTACAAATATATATTTTCAAACATCTACAGTACAGTAATTACAATATTACAGAGGATAGAGAATCTTTATTACAAACAACCCTTTAATTCAGGTGACCTGGTTCCGAAATTCCAACCCAGTGAAATCCAGCTCTCATATTCAGCTTCTCAAGAATAATCGTGTCTTCATCATTACTGCAGCACAGGTTTGGCTAATGTCTTGTAATGCTCGATATTTATATTTAATCACCATATTCCTAAAAATATTGAAAAATATGACCGTAGTAAAAAGGTTAAAAGTAGATAATATGCAGCATCATAATTTTGTTTTGTTCTGGTGTTAGACTGTTATTTTTGTAGCTACTACTTTAAATGGGTAATGTGCATGGACAATATAGTATAAAACATTTATAAATATATTGAGAATGAGACTCTAGCATATATGGATACATGAGTTACACAAACACATACCAAATCCAGCCCAGCCAACCTTATGGCAGTTACTTCCTATTGAACCATTATGGTCAGTGCCACTTGGGAATTCTAATGCTGGGAGGTGACACTTGCAAAAGAGACAGACCTAACAGTTTTTAACTGCATGTGCAGTTTTACTGTATTATAGGTCCTTCTTAATATTTAGCTCTCTTACATAATATTGTATTATGTTTTGTATACTGTAATATAATACAGTGCATGATTAGGAAGGTGATGATGGGGACTATGTGTGCTTGGCAAGCAACCTGGCAGGCATCACAGAGGAGACCTTCCATCTGCAGGTGTTGGGTATGTTATATATAATGTGTGCACGACTTGCTTCCTCTTCTCAGATAATATTAAAAATTAGGTTCTTTTTTGCTTGGTCTATAATTTTTTTAAATATGAAAAGGACTGAAATAATAGCACCAGTGCTTTTCACGTATTAGATTCATCACCTTTTTATTCTCTTTACCATTAATTGTGATTTTTGAGAGATTGCTCTAGTATGTAAGTGTTTCACTAACAGCTCAGGCTTGACTCATGAAATCGTAATGACATGATTGCAAACAAACCATATCACAGACGGGGATAGAACCCGCGATCAGAGTTTTGAGACTCTCTGATCGCGGGTTCTATCCCCGTCCGTGGTATGGTTTGTTTAGCTCAGACTTATATGTTTACATACTTTTTTTTTTTTTAGAAAATTTGTATCTTTTTGGTAGAAATATCTTTGGTCTCTGACATACAGAAAATTCAACCTATAATCCTCTGACTTTGCCTAATTTAATAAAAAGAATTTATTGTTATAAATTCATTGAACTTCTTTTTTACTATAAATATTGACCCTTGAAAAATCTCTTAATGCAGTTTGTTTTCATATTGACACATTGTTTTTGGCATTTTCTTTATCAGGCTCCATGGTGTTGTTTTGTGAACTGATTTATACTTCATTTTATGATTTCTTTACACAGTGCCACCAAAAGTGTCTGGACCAGAGGAGCTGACCATTGCAGTGGTGAGTGGGCAACCAGTCAGTTTAGAGTGTGAGGTAAGCGGGTATCCTCAGCCTGACATTACTTGGACCTACGAAAATCAAGAATTGATTCCAGATGACAATGTTCTTATAAATAATAACAAACTCAGTATAGAGAGGTAAGAGTTCCCTGTTATTCCAGGAGTACAGCTAAACTTGTGGTGTCCTGTGTTTAGTATTTAATCTGTCGTAAAGCTTTTTCACTACTCATTGGCGTAAAAAGTCTTACAGTCTCTGCAGTAAAGGGAAAAGGAATTTAATATAGGTATTCATCTTTTTTGTTTTCTCCTCTAAAGACTATGTACCTCTGCCCCAATGCACCACTGTAAATCCACAAAGTTTGCACTGTAAGTTATTAGAAATAAAAAATTCTTGTTAACATCAGCTCTGTGTCTCTGTTCCCAGTGGTCAGCTGCTGACTTGCCTCGAGCACTGACTGGTGTCTTGTCATTTTTTTTTTATCCTGTTGTTGTTGTGGGTTTGAAGCAGTATTGTGGTACTCTCTTTATCCTTTGTTTTTTATTAGTGATTCTTTATAGTAAATGTTTAATTTCTGAAATGGAAAGAGGTAGACAGCTTTTCAGTAAAATGATGAATTCAGATCAATAATTATATGATGGTGGTGCATTGTATATTATACTATTAAAATACAGTTTTTTTTCCTTTCCCTTTCACCAGAATGCTTATGCAGTAATAATTTAACCCGTAAACGGTCCAAGCAGATCTGCGTTCACATGTGTAATGCTCCAAAAGTAGATCTACGTGTTTTTTACATATTTTCAAATAGTATAACAAAAAAAAAGTAGATCAAAGTTTTTTACACATTTTCAAATGTAAAAAAAAAAAAAGATCTACTTTTTTTACATACTTTCAAATGTTGAAAAAACGTATATATACGTTTGGACCGTTTACGGGTTAACAGTGAGGCAATAAATACAAATTAGTTAATGGTATAATAGAGCTTGTAGATTGTATCATGAAGCTTATGTCATATTTATTATGTTCAGTACATATAAACTGAATGAAAAATAATGTTTCACTGAAAAATAATGAAGCAGTATTAAAATTTTGACTTATTGTTCCATCAAGAGTAACATAGCACTAAAGTAGCTTTTGTGTGTGGTGTGTACATTTGGCAGTGTGGTAGTGGATCTGGCTGGGAAGTATCAGTGCCAAGTTGTTAACTCAGTGGGTCAAGCTGTTAAACGCTTCACACTCCAGGTGACAGGTATGACACTTACACATTTTCACTTAATTTTATACTGAGTCTTACTTTCGTGTAAAGAATTATTTTCATGCAGTGAAAACCTGTTATTATCTGTTTTTTGTAAATTACTGTATTCAAATTCAAATTCAAAGTTTATTCTCTATAAGGATTACAGTGCTGAGTTTACAGAATTTGGTTATTGTGTGGTTTACATGTAGTAAAATACTAATTACAGAGGGGGCCACTAGAACACCTAGCATGGCTAGGCATTTCGGGCAGACTTAGATTAATTCTTAACTTTAAAATATTACAAATTATGAGGTAAGTTGGTATTATGGCTAAGTGACTAAATACTAGTTTGTGAGTTTAGCAATGTGAATGCTTTTGTTTTGGCACAATACATAGTTTCAGCATTTATGGGGGTAGCATTACATCTGCTCCTGGGGAATGGGAGATAATGCAGTTTGATCCAATAAAAAGGAGGATAGCTCTAATATCTTAAATCAAGAACCCTTCACTGTTTTTCTCCAAAAGATTCTTTGCAGTGTATGATAAAATTAATAATATTAAACTACTTTTACAATAAAGAAAGACAACTGCTAACTATTCACCTTGTTCTGATCAGTGTATGAGCAGTATGATTCCATGTTTTATTTTTTCTTCCCTGATAGAAGCTCCATTCATCACTGGCAGTGGAGATGAAGAGACAGTAACTGTCATAGAAGGAGACTCTGCATCTCTGCACTGTGTTGCATCTGGCCAGCCTCCCCCTATTATCTCTTGGTCCAAGGTATGTTATGACTGACAGATTTTTAAGACCTATTTATTGCTGCATGATAATTTTTGGGTTGTGATAACATTGCTCACATCTTTTGTAATCTATATCAACTTGGATGTCACTCTGACTACTCTGACTAGGAAGGTGTTGGTATACGTGTAGATGACAACATGGGTGTATCGTGGGGTGGAAGGACCCTACTTATTCAGTATGTAAGTCAGGAAGATGGTGGTCGTTATACTTGTCTGGCTTCAAATCCTGCTGGTAACCACTCTCGGGACTTTCGCATCCAAGTTCTTCGTAAGTAAACCATATGTAGCATTGCATTCACAGAGATCTAATGTTGTCTTATTTCCATCACACTTGATATCATTCTGTGCAGGATAAAATAAAATAAAGGATAGTAAAAGTACTGTATATTTCAGGTTATAACCAAGGCCATCTTTAATAGGCAGTCTGCTGAAGAGGGACTTGATTGTAGACTGAAATTTGCAGTACTTTTTCTTTCTCTTGTTTTATTGTTTCCATGTGGGTTTGTTTGTTCCATTTACCAGTGTTTGTTATACTTTTGCATTTGGATATACTGTGCAATATATATGAACTCCATTACTTTTACTCTTCATCAGTAATATGCATCTTAAGCATGTCACATTACCGGTATGAAAGCTACAAATATTTGTACATTCTCTATGATCAGAGGCACCACAGCTGATAGAGGCTCCCAAGGAAGTAGTGGCAGTTTCTGGAGAGGTTGTTAGCCTTGTGTGTTCTTTTGATGGTCACCCACAGCCTAAGGTATTCACATTCAGTTGATCATTCCCTCTTGACATTTTGCAACATGTCTGAACAAATATAAGCAAAAAAACTTGTTTAGCACTTGTGATGTATCACGGTTGTCGAATTAAATTTTATATTTTTATGGGATAGATCAGTTGGTACTTTGAAGGAGCACCAGCAGCCATAGCTGAGAATCTTCTGCCATCAGGAGCTCTGCAGCATTTTCCAGTGCGTCCAGAACATGCTGGCAACTACACTTGTATTGCAGACAATGAAGCAGGCAGAGCCAACCACAGCCTCACACTCACTATCCTTAGTAAGACCTATTGTATTGTATTATATAACATTATATTCATAATGTTTCTAGAAACAATATTTGAAAAGAATAAAAATAATACAGCCTCTCCTCACTTAGCGACGTACTCGTTTACCGACGACTCGGACTTACGATGGACTCTGACCAGTATACATACCTCAATAATGTATATTAGAGCTGATTTCCTCTGTTCTGTTTATTACACTATACAGTACACTACTGTATAAACATTTAAAAATAGTATACCAGAAATGTTATAAATGGTGCAAAGGTGACATTAAAGCAATATCAAAGATGGTTAACACAAACCCACTGCCATTATAGTATGCTCCTCACTTAGTAATGAATTCGTTTACCGACGTGGTCTTAGGAACAGAACTCATCAATAAGTGAGGAGAGACTGTGTTCATAAACTAATCTACAAATCCCAGAACATGTCGGGTTTAAACCCGTGATGAGAGAGTTCTAAAGCTCCAGGCCATGGGTTCAAATTCCACTTATTCCATGGTTTGTTTGCAATTGTGTTATTGTTTTTGTGAGTCTAATCTAGAAAGTTTATCACTAAATACTTACTGCAATAGCAACAAATTATATGCATACAGGCAACAGTATTTGTGTTCAAATGATGTTTATGATTCTCCAATGGTCTTGGTACAGCTCCTCCATCAGTAGAGGTGCAGAAGAAGAGGGTGGTGGTGGTGAGTGGTGAAGCAGCCACATTACATTGTTATGGAAAAGGAACACCACCTCCAATTCTTACATGGCTTAAAGGTCATCAGGTTATTAATGAAAGTCCAGGTGGGTGTAAGGGAAATCACCTTTATTTGTAATTGTCTTTTACTGCATTACTTGTAAATTTTATGTATCTCTGTCATTATTCTCTTACATAGTTACTCATTAAGATACTCAGAAAAAAAGATTAAATTATTTTGTTTTAATTTCTTCTGACATCTATAGTATCATCAACTCCTAAAGTAATTGCTACATTCTTCAAGATTGTTATAAATTATTTATGAATTTGAAGGGAATTAGAAAAGCAAAAAGAGATTATGAGGTTAAAGTTGCAAGAGAATCGAAGACTAACCCAAAAGGATTCTTTCAGGTATACAGAAGTAAGATCAGGGACAAGATAGGCCCACTCAAAAGTTCCTCGGGTCAGCTCACTGACAGTGATAAGGAAATGTGTAGAATTTTTAACACATACTTCCTCTCAGTTTTTACACAGGAGGATACCAGCGATATTCCAGTAATGATAAATTATGTAGAACAGGACGATAATAAACTGTGCACTATTAGGGTCACAAGTGACATGGTCCTTAGGCAAATAGATAAATTAAAACCTAACAAATCCCCAGGCCCTGATGAACTGTATGCAAGGGTTCTAAAGGAATGTAAAGAGGAGCTTAGCACCCCTTTGGCTAATCTTTTCAACATATCACTACAAACTGGCATGGTGCCAGATAAGTGGAAAATGGCAAATGTGATACCTATTTTCAAAACAGGTGACAGGTCCTTAGCATCGAACTATAGACCAATAAGCCTAACCTCCATAGTGGGAAAAATTATGGAATCAATAATTGCCGAGGCAGTTCGTAGCCACCTTGAAAAACATAAATTAATCAACGAATCTCAGCATGGTTTTACAAAGGGGCGTTCCTGCCTTACGAATTTATTAACTTTTTTCACTAAGGTATTTGAGGAGGTAGATCATGGTAATGAATATGATATTGTGTATATGGACTTCAGTAAGGCTTTTGACAGGGTCCCACATCAGAGACTATTGAGGAAAATTAAAGCACATGGAATAGGAGGAGAAATTTTTTCCTGGATAGAGGCATGGTTGACAAATAGGCAGCAGAGAGTTTGCATAAATGGGGAGAAATCAGAGTGGGGAAGTGTCACGAGCGGTGTTCCACAGGGTCAGTGTTGGGCCCCCTGCTGTTCACAATCTACATAAACGACATAGATGAGGGCATAAAGAGCGACATCGGCAAGTTTGCCGATGACACCAAAATAGGCCGTCGAATTCATTCTGACGAGGACATTCGAGCACTCCAGGAAGATTTGAATAGACTGATGCAGTGGTCGGAGAAGTGGCAGATGCAGTTTAATATAGACAAATGCAAAGTTCTAAATGTTGGACAGGACAATAACCATGCCACATATAAACTAAATAATGTAGATCTTAATATTACGGATTGCGAAAAAGATTTAGGAGTTCTGGTTAGCAGTAATCTGAAACCAAGACAACAGTGCATAAGTGTTCGCAATAAAGCTAATAGAATCCTTGGCTTCATATCAAGAAGCATAAATAATAGGAGTCCTCAGGTTGTTCTTCAACTCTATACATCCTTGGTTAGGCCTCATTTAGATTATGCTGCACAGTTTTGGTCACCGTATTACAGAATGGATATAAATTCTCTGGAAAATGTACAAAGGAGGATGACAAAGTTGATCCCATGTATCAGAAACCTTCCCTATGAGGATAGACTAAGGGCCCTGAAACTGCACTCTCTAGAAAGACGTAGAATTAGGGGGATATGATTGAGGTGTATAAATGGAAGACAGGAATAAATAAAGGGGATGTAAATAGTGTGCTGAAAATATCTAGCCTAGACAGGACTCGCAGCAATGGTTTTAAGTTGGAAAAATTCAGATTCAGGAAGGATATAGGAAAGTACTGGTTTGGTAATAGAGTTGTGGATGAGTGGAACAAACTCCCAAGTACCGTTATAGAGGCCAGAACGTTGTGTAGCTTTAAAAATAGGTTGGATAAATACATGAGTGGATGTGGGTGGGTGTGAGTTAGACCTGATAGCTTGTGCTACCAGGTCGGTTGCCGTGTTCCTCCCTTAAGTCAATGTGACCTGACCTGACTAGGTTGGGTGCATTGGCTTAAGCCGGTAGGAGACTTGGACCTGCCTCGCATGGGCCAGTAGGCCTTCTGCAGTGTTCCTTCGTTCTTATGTTCTTATGTTCTTAAGTTATGGTACTATGCCGACAGTATGAGAGCAGTAGATCATATTCCTTCACTAATGCATAATTAAACACCTAACTTATGCTGTCATTGCATTTTGCCCATTAACCCTTTCACTGCCATGACTCATCAAACTGAAAGTCCCATCAGTGTCGCAGTTCAATCCCCCCCTTCCCTAAAACAAAAAGATAATTTTATCTTTTAAAATGGTAGAGAATCTTTTTTTTCTGAAGGTAGTGACATCAGAAATGCAAAATTTGATGGAAAACTTTCAGAATTAAGCATCTATGAAGTTGGGAATCAGGGAGCACATTACACAACTGTGACTTTGCCCAATTTGGGGAATATTTTAGTCCAGTTCCATTGCTCAAACCAACACTGTTTCTGACTATTTTGTTATAGAATCTTCTGTTTTATCAGTTGTATATAAGAAACTGCCTATTTAACTATTAGAACTACCCTGTATAATGCCCAAAAGTTAGTAATTCAGTCAGTTTTACACAATGTTTCCTCTGTTCATTAATCACATCCCCACTCCTCTGTTTATTGTACCTTCTGATTATACAAAGAAATTTATAACCTTTTCCTGGTCATTTTTTTTTTTTGTTAGTTAAGCAAAAGTTTTACACATTTGTAGTTAAGTATAATATTGTAAATATGTTGTACCCAATTCTTTCTTCATGGAACAGAATTTCAAGTGGGAAAGAATGGATCACTTTACCTACCCAAGGTCACACCGTCACTTGCAGGCACATACATCTGTAATGCCCGCAGCCCTGCTGGCTCTGCTCATGACCGAGCTGACCTTATTGTTCAGGGTAAGTGGAAGAAATGTTTATTTCTGTACTGCCTGCAGCCTAGCTGGCTCTGCTGAGCCTGCCTTAATGTCTACCTGCAGCAGGTGCAGGCAAATACATCTGTACTGCCTGCAGCCTGGCTGGCTCTACTGAGCCTGCCTTAATGTCTACCTGCAGCAGGTGCAGGCAAATACATCTGTACTGCCTGCAGCCTGGCTGGCTCTGCTGAGCCTGCCTTACTGTCTACCTGCAGCAGGTGCAGGCAAATACATCTGTACTGCCTGCAGTCTGGCTGGCTCTGCTGAGCCTGCCGTACTGTCTACCTGCAGCAGGTGCAGGCAAATACATCTGTACTGCCTGCAGCCTGGCTGGCTCTGCTGAGCCTGCCTTACTGTCTACCTGCAGCAGGCGCAGGCAAATACATCTGTACTGCCTGCAGTCTGGCTGGCTCTGCTGAGCCTGCCTTACTGTCTACCTGCAGCAGGTGTATAATGATTTTGTTTCTTTACTTCATTCGTTCAAGCAGTATGAAAAATCATTGTATAATCACTTGCAAAATAATTATTATAGTTTCATTATCATGCCTCAAGATTTCCTGTGTTGAGCTTTGTAGTTCTGTGGAAGCTACTTATGTAGCACAAATATACACTCATTTTATAAAGACTGAAAAAGGGCCTAACTCTATCAAGAATCATTGTAACAGAATGGTTTGGTTATGTGTTCTTAACCATTGTAAAAAAAACTGTACCAGTGTTTATGCTAAAATTAGAATTAGAGTGTATCACTGTACATGAAATTATAATTACAGACATGGTTAGACAATTTTGCTACCTTCTTAACAATAAGGAATGGCAAAAACAGTATTGTGAAGGACTCCTATCTTCATAACCTGATAGTAGATGTTAATGCACTTGGTTAATTTCTCCTCTAAAGATGACCCACATTGCCATAAGTACAGTAGTAGTTCAATTAAATGAGAACCAAAAAAGGCCTTCTTTCATCAAGACACATGTGGCACCATGAATTCTGGGATAACCCATCAAACATATGATTCCATGATATACGTATGTATATGATTCCATGAAAGGATTAAGATTAAGATTCTTTATGTCAGCATGATACAGTGTTTGTACAGAAGTGAATGACATTTAGGTGTGCAAGCAGAAAGCCCCTTAATATGCAGTGTTTTGGGCAAATTTAAGACTATCTTGAGGTTAATAAGGCAATGTCTGATTGAGTATACCTGGAGAGTGTTTCAGGGATCAATGCCCCTGTAGCCCAGTCTGTGACCAGGTCTCCTGGTGGATCAGGGCCTGATCAACCAGGCTGTTACTGTTGGCCGCACGCAATCCGACATACAAACCACAGCCCAGCTGGTCAGGTACTGACTCTAGGTGCCTGTCCGGTGCCTTCTTGAAGACAGCCAGGGGTCTGTTGATAATCCCCTTTATGTATGTTGGGAGGCAGTTAAACAGTCACGGGCCCCTGACACTTATTGTGTTGTCTCTTTGCATACTCTAGATACACTAGAAGACAAAAAGAATGCAGATGTAATATATACAGACTTTGCAAAAGCCTTTGACAAGTGTGACCATGGCGTAATAGCACACAAAATGCGTGCTAAAGGAATAACAGGAAAAGTTGGTAGATGGATCTATAATTTCCTCACAAACAGAACACAAAAAGTAGTAGTCAACAGAGTAAAGTCTGAGGCGGCTACGGTGAAAAGCTCTGTTCCACAAGGCACAGTACTCGCTCCCATCTTGTTTCTCATCCTCATATCTGACATAGACAAGGATGTCAGCCACAGCACCGTGTCTTCCTTTGTAGATGACACCCGAATCTGCATGACAGTGTCTTCCATTGCAGACACTGCAAGGCTCCAGGCGGACATCAACCAAATCTTTCAATGGGCTGCAGAAAACAATATGAAGTTCAACGATGAAAAATTTCAATTACTCCGATATGGTAGACACGAGGAAATCAAAATTTCATCAGAGTACAAAACAAATTCCGGCCACAAAATAGAGCGAAACACCAACGTCAAAGACCTGGGAGTGATCATGTCGGAGGATCTCACCTTCAAGGACCATAACATTATATCAATTGCAGCTGCTAGAAAAATGACAGAATGGATAATGAGAACCTTCAAAACCAGGGATGCCAAGCCCATGATGACACTCTTCAGGTCGCTTGTTCTATCTAGGCTGGAATATTGCTGCACACTAACAGCACCTTTCAAGGCAGGTGAAATTGCTGACCTAGAAAATGTACAGAGAACCTTCACAGCACGCATAACGGAGATAAAACACCTCAATTACTGGGAGCGCTTAAAGTTCCTGAACCTGTATTCCCTGGAATGCAGGTGGGAGAGATACATGATTATATACACCTGGAAAATCCTAGAGGGACTAGTACTGAACTTGCACACGAAAATCACTCACAACGAAAGCAAAAGACTTGGCAGACGATGCAACATCCCTCCAATGAAAAGCAGGGGTGTCACTAGCACGTTAAGAGACAATACAATAAGTGTCAGGGGCCCGAGACTGTTCAACTGCCTCCCAGCATACATAAGGGGGATTGCCAATAGACCCCTGGCAGTCTTCAAGCTCCCACTGGACAAGCACCTAAAGTCGGTACCTGACCAGCTGGGCTGTGGCTCGTACGTTGGATTGCGTACAGCCAGCAGTAACAGCCTGGTTAATCAGGCTCTGATCCACCAGGAGGCCTGGTCACAGACCGGGCCGCGGGGGCGTTGACCCCCGGAACTCTCTCCAGGTAAACTCCAGGTAAACGCATGACACCCCTTTTTTTCACTGGGGGAATGTTGCATCTCCTGCAACAGTCTCTTAGGATGACATGAATGATGTGAAATCTAAGTATGTACTGTGCACTATTTGAATACTACCTACATTGATAGTCTAGCAATAATTATTTACGTTGAATGCATACATATACTTAATAATTTATACTTTCTTGCAACAGAAGGTTTAACGTGCTTTGATACTTATCTATTTAAACAAGTAAATCTGTTTAGACCCCTTAGGGTTTTTTTATTATACAGATGCATGGAAAATTGTACTCTAATTTTCCACAAGTATCATCTACTGGCAAAGCTTATTTTGATAGCCTTCTTCCTTATAACTTTTCAAGTTCTTTGCTACCCTCGCTGTGCTATTATTATTTTCACAAGAGTCCTCGTCAATGTCAAGGAATCTCCCTTGAGTGGACATGAATGTACAAGAATGCAGTTTTCATTAAAATAGTACTATAGGTAAATTATTATTTTTATTTTTTTTTATTATCACACTGGCCGATTCCCACCAAGGCAGGGTGGCCCGAAAAAGAAAAACTTTCACCATCATTCACTCCATCACTGTCTTGCCAGAAGGGTGCTTTACACTACAGTTTTTAAACTGCAACATTAACACCCCTCCTTCAGAGTGCAGGCACTGTACTTCCCATCTCCAGGACTCAAGTCCGGCCTGCCGGTTTCCCTGAACCCCTTCATAAATGTTACTTTGCTCACACTCCAACAGCACGTCAAGTATTAAAAACCATTTGTCTCCATTCACTCCTATGAAACACGCTCACGCATGCCTGCTGGAAGATACACTCTTGAAGTCATTCTGTTTCGCTCCATTCTCTCTACATGTCCAAACCACCTCAACAACCCTTCCTCAGCCCTCTGGACAACAGTTTTGGTAATCCCGCACCTCCTCCTAACTTCCAAACTACGAATTCTCTGCATTATATTCACACCACACATTGCTCTCAGACATGACATCTCCACTGCCTCCAGCCTTCTCCTCACTGCAACATTCATCACCCATGCTTCACACCCATATAAGAGCGTTGGTAAAACTATACTCTCATACAATTCCCTCTTTGCTTCCAAGGACAAAGTTCTTTGTCTCCACAGACTCCTAAGTGCACCACTCACTCTTTTCCCCTCATCAATTCTATGATTCACCTCATCTTTCATAGACCCATCCGCTGACACGTCCACTCCCAAATATCTGAATACATTCACCTCCTCCATACTCTCTCCCTCCAATCTGATATCCAATCTTTCATCACCTAATCTTTTTGTTATCCTCATAACCTTATAGGTAAATTACTTCAATAATTTTCTGATGCCAAATTTCAACATGCGTTACACTAATGTTTCCCTGTGTCACCATTTCAGAACCTCCTTCAGTAGTTCCTTATGAGGATGAGGTGGTAGCAGTAGTTGGTCAAGAGGTTAAACTCACATGTGAAGTGACAGGTCAGCCCGTACCTACTATAACTTGGACACGACCTGACCTTGCTCACCAGGCCATCACACCAGAAGATCCACGTGTGCAGGCAAGATATTATCTATATTAACTACTTGTTATTCTTACTTGAGCAAGGTAAGCTAGTGACTTAAAGATTTTATTTACTGAAGGCCTCATTAAGTATGTTTATTGCTTAATGCGGCTGTTACATCTGTTTACCTTCATTTTTTTTTTTAAATGCTGACAGTCTCCCACTAAGGCAGGGTGATCCAAAAAAGAAACACTTTCACCATCCAATTTACACTTACACTCACCCAAATGACTGTAAACATATTATGACAGAACCACTGAGGCTTTGAAAGAAATCCAAATAGCAGAGGAGTTTTGTATGTATTTTTCAAAGGCATTTGACAAATGTGACCATGGAATGGTATCCCGTAAATTGAGGTCAATAGGTATGACAGAAAAGTAGGGAAATGGATGCAGTATTCAAATTTCTAACAAACAAAACGTGAAGAGTGGTGCAGTAGTAAACAAAACAAAATAAAGTCTCAGCCAAATTGAAAGATCATTACTCCTAGGCATGGTACTAGCATGTTTACTCTTCCTCATGGCAGGCATAGTTTAAAATAATGAGTCACAACTTTGTATCATGCTTTGCAGATGATACCAGAGTAAATATGAAAGTCACTTTAGAAAATACATAAAAATTACTATCAAATATATTAACAATGGCTTCCTATGAGCAAATGACAATATCATTATGTTCACTAAGATAGATGTGCAATGCCTATATTATACAGATGAAAGCCCCTGGTGGGCAAAAGTTTCTCCAATAAAAATGACCCATGTGTCTTATTCTTCAGCTTGTCAAAATTATATACCTTTAATCTAGTTAAGCATGATGTTCACTGGTGACAAATTTCAGTTTCTTAGACATGGGAAGAATGAAAAACTCAAAATAAGTACAGAATATAGCAGACCATCTCTCAGAATATAAGAAACAGGTAAAAAACTTAGGCATAATAATATCAGTTGATATGTAATTTAGATAGCATAATAACTCTGATGTCAGAGGCCTTCTGAAAGAACAGTGATTGAATGAGTAACAGTAAAAGTGTTTTCTTACACAAATAATCCTCACTTAAGAGTCTGAAACTTATGACTACATTTCCATCCTGCTTGGAACATTAACAAGTCAAAAGTCAGACCAAAACATCGTCATAAGTCTCAGTCTCCTAAGTGTGGGTTATTTGTGTAGTGTTCCCATTTGCTGGGTCACCCACCTCAGTTGAGATGGCCGGAGTGTTAAAAAACAAACCACATAGCAAAGGCCAAAGAAATGACAGGTTATATAATTAGAGGAAGCTTAGTCAAAGACCCCACTGGTAGGGTAGAAAGATCCTCAAAATTGATCACTGGTACCTAAATTATTTTTTTTCTAAGACTTTTAAACAGTTGCTCAAAATGCTGCACATACCATACTATGAGCCTCCCCAAAAATATACATACTATAGTATATCAGTGTCCTCTGTATCCATACTAAATATACAGTACTCAAGTACAGTACAGGTCCACATCCCTTTATCCAGAATTCTGAAATTCGAAAAGTTCCGTAAACCGAAGTTTTTTCATGGAGTCTCAGTCAGTTATCTCCGTGCTGGGCTATGCCACCACGTGGCGCCGTTGAGAATCATTCTGAAATCCAAAAAAGTCTGAAATTCAAAACAATATAGGGTTTTGGATAAAGGGTTGTGTACCTTTATTTCAGTTTGAATCAGTGTACTTTACTTAATATATCATTGGGAATACAGATATCTGGTGCAGATTTGGTAATCATGCCAGTGGCAGTTGAGGACATGGGACGCTATGAGTGCACTGCTCACAATCCAGCTGGTCGAACTATGGCTCAGCTTCTCCTTACCGTTCACTGTGAGTATCATTAATCTTATTTTTGTTACACAATCCATATTCATGTCTGCTTACATAATTATTCTGTAGAGGTACATCAGTCTACTGGATCTATGTGTATTTTAATATCTCTTTACATATCTTAAGAAGGAAAGCTCATATCAATCCTTCTCACAACCAAAGAACTTACCTGCTATTATCTGAAACGAGTTTCAGGGCCTCTTCTTCCTCCCCCAGTTTGTGGAGGAAGAAGACAAGAGCTTGTGCTCATTTAGGTTATCTGGTTAGTGAAAAGAACTTGTTGTTGAGCCTCTGTCATACTGTTTGGACCACATTTCCAATAAGCTTGCTACAGAAGCTGTCAGCCCTTCCTTTCTCTTTCCAAAGATTTACTTTTCTTTTTTTGACATCATTCTATTTTTTGATCATTTGACATCAGATTCTGATGGACTTGTTGTGTATACTGTGTACTCTGCAGGGACACAATGTGCTGTTGTCTTCCTTGATTATATTTTTCAGTCTGCCAGTATTTTCACGACAGAGTTGTAATTGCTGCCATCATCCATATTACTACTATGCATGCCTCGTATTTTATTGTCTTTTCTATTTTTTAAATTCATTAAACTTAAATCAGTTGTTCTTTACATTTGGTATTAGCTGTATTGTGTCTTTGGTAGATAAAGTTTATTTTTGCTGTGTTTCTAATCATTTCAAATATTAATCTTAAACTCCTTTGTATATTCAGCAGTCCAGACCCTTCCTATCTCCATAGTCAGTTACCCTTTTCAATTTACTGGTTTTCACTCAGTACATTCAAGATTGCTAGCAGCATTGTGGACCCATGATGATGACCAGCAGTCTGTTTTTTTTATTATCCAAACTTAGGCTTTTGGCCATCCTTGCTTCATTGTTGACACTGTTGGAGACAGTCATCTAATGACTGTGCATTGGATATACTAGACTCATCCACTAGTATCTTATGAATGGGCACTCTCCTCCACAGTGTGAGGTTTGCAGTGTAAAAGTGTATTGTCTTTATTTTACTTTTTTGCTCATGTTTTGCTGTTCCTCCTCTGTCATCCCTCTCTAAAAGTGTGAATTCTCTCTAAATTTTTATCAGAAAGCTTTATTTCATAGTCATTAATTATTCTATTCCTTTGCTATCTTGTCTCGTACTTTAACCCTTTGACTGTTTCAGGCCCCTCTCTGAAACTCATTCTATGTCGCTCAATTTTTGAAAAAAAAAAAATTATTTTTTCTTATGAAATGATAGAGAATCTTTTCCCGATGGTAATGACACCAAAAGTTCGAAATTTGGTCGAAAACTCATGGAATTATGCTCCCGCGAATTTAGCGGTCTCGGCGACATATGCGTGTCGGCGATTTCGCCGACTTTGAGCCCTATTTTCAGCCAATTCCATTGTTCCAGTTGACCAAACTCATAGCTATTTCTTTAGAACTCCATTTTATCTATCAGCTGAGTACAAGAAACCTCCCATTTACTAATTTGGACTATGCAATATGGTGGTCAGAAATTGGCAATTTGGCCAATTTCACGCAAACTAAAAAAGATGACAATTTCAAAATAGGGTCCAGAATAAACAAGGTAGACATTTGTGGCACTAAAATAACATATGCTCTGTTCATTAGTCACATCTCTAGGCCCCTCTTATATTATTATTGCTTTCTATTTTGATTTTTTATTCATACAAAAAAATACAAAATTTACTGTTATGCAGGCTACTGCATTATTGTAAAAATGATATAAATAATATCAGTGCACTAGTGAAAGAATATTAGACTCCCCAGTTGACGTGTATTGGACGTGTGGTGTGATTTATTTACTCCTGAACATTGGTAAAAATCGAACATTTCCGCTACTTTGAGCTCAGTTTCAAGGTCGTTTTCATCGTCAAAGTAATGAAAATCATCTCTATTTCTGTAATATGTTTTCCATTTTATCACCTAAGACCATGAAAACGCGAATACAACGATAAATACTATATGAAAATACACCTCAAAGTCGGCATTTTATTCCTAAAAAACGATCAGAGTTTTTTTTTTTTCTAATTACGCAATGTGTGCTGCAGGATTTTTTTTATGTGGTGCACACTGACCACACAGACCCATTCTCTCACATGTGGGCCTACCAGCTTTCTCCCGCTTGATTTGAAGCCGCTAGAATTATTGAGTATATATACGTCAGAAACACTGGCTCGTAAACGTATTTATACGTCGAAAACAGTCAAAGGGTTAAGTGTCTTTTATACTGTATCCCACATCTAAGTTTTTTTTCCTCTAATTGTTTGTTCTCTTCTGCTGTGCAGCATTGAATATCCCTTATGGGCCAAGTTTTTATTATTTTTTTTTATTACTAATATTAGTACAGTATTATTTTTCTCTTTTTCATCATGTGGCTACTAATATAGAATGTCACTTGTCAGTGATTATTTCCAGCAAAGCATGTCATGTGCTGAAGTACATATTGTGTAACATTGTAGAAGTGTAAAGTGTATATGTATACCTGGAGTTTACCTGGAGAGAGTTCCGGGGGTCAACGCCCCCGCGGCCCGGTCTGTGACTAGGCCTCCTTAGGTCAGTGTCCCAGGATGCGACCCATACCAGTCGACTAACACCCAGGTACCCATTTTACTGATGGGGAACATAGACAACAGGTGGAAAGAAACACGTCCAATGTTTCTACTCTGGCTGGGAATCGAACCCAGGCCCTCGCCGTGTGAAGCGAGAGTGTTAACCACCAGGCTTCTGTACAGATTATCAGATAAATATGTAGGTTTTCAAGCTGCTAGGAAAAACATGGTTAAATTGGTAACCACTTGGCTAACTCACTCAGCTCACACACTGAGGTCCAGAGTTCGAATCTTCTCCAGTATGGCTGGAAAACATTAGGGATGTGTTTCCATAAGACACCTGCTGTCCCTGTTCACCCATCAGTTTAAAATGGGTACCTGGATGTTAGTCGACTGGTGTGGGTCACATCCTGAGACAAAACTGACCTAATTTGTCTGAAATCTTCAGCATAATAAGTGGCTTTCTATGTAGTAGTATATATGTCATTTATTTATTTATTTTTTTTTTATTGATTTTATTTGGACATGATACATAGTTCTACATTGAATTATAGTAGTTGGGTGAACATGCCAAAAGCCCCTTGTATGCAGAGCATTGTGGGCAGGCTTAAAATTAACTTAAAATTAACAAGCAGTGAAAGGTTCAGTGTTAAAAATTACAGTAAATAATTTACAATATGAAGTACAATTGAGTATTTGAAACAATGAAATTTGAACATATCGATACTGAAGCATTATAGTTGTACAAATTTGTCACATTTCAGTGTATAACAAAAGATGATCAGTTTGCAATATTTTTTTTTTTTTTTTTTCAACAAGTCGGCCGTCTCCCACCGAGGTAGGGTGACCCAAAAAAAGAAAGAAAATCCCCAAAAAGAAAATACTTTCATCATCATTCAACACTTTCACCACACTCACACATAATCACTGTTTTTGCAGAGGTGCTCAGAATACAACAGTTTAGAAGCATATACGTATAAAGATACACAACATATCCCTCCAAACTGCCAATATCCCAAACCCCTCCTTTAAAGTGCAGGCATTGTACTTCCCATTTCCAGGACTCAAGTCCGACTATATGAAAATAACCGGTTTCCCTGAATCCCTTCACTAAATATTACCCTGCTCACACTCCAACAGATCGTCAGGTCCCAAGTACCATTCGTCTCCATTCACTCCTATCTAACACGCTCACGCACGCTTGCTGGAAGTCCAAGCCCCTTGCCCACAAAACCTCCTTTACCCCCTCTCTCCAACCCTTTTGAGGACGACCCCTAGTTTGCAATATGTTGTCTTGAATTTTTAAGATTTAAGTAATTGGGAGAATTATTGGTACTGTTAAATATTGAGTGTTGATTATTTAGTCCTGGGCGAGTAAGTGATTTTTTAGAAGAGTCTTAAATTGATTTTCAGGCCTGGTTACTTTAGTATGTTCTGGTAATGAATTCCAGATTTTGATGTCAACTAGGCCTGTATACCATGTACATGTACTTGTAGTAAATAAAGATATTATTATTATTATTATTATTATTATTATTATTATTATTATTATTATTATTATTATTATTATTATTATTTTACTCAGGACAATATGATGTACCAGTAGTTAAATTTGAATTTTTCCTGAAAAGTATTTTATTTTAGAGTGTCATTTAAAGTTATCACATTTACCCACTGATAATTTTTTCTATACATGGGCAGCTCCACCATCAGTACTGGAAGAACTGTCCGAGACAGTGTCTGTGATGCGTGGAGAAAACTTGATGCTTGGTTGTACCACCTCAGGCTACCCTCTACCCCGCACAACCTGGCTGAAGGAGGGACGCATCCTCTCTGAGACACCTAGAGTCACTTTTGCCATCAATGGGGAACTTGTCATAACTACACTGCAGGTAAATTATATTTATGGGGAATATAGTGGCTGGAAAGAGAGGGTAGCTTCACGTTTTTGGATCAAGGACCCTTTACCAGCATCAAGGCACCCCCTTGAAGGATAGAGTACAAATGAAGCAAGGCTTACTGCAGAACAAATATTACTGTGTAATTCATTATGCATCATTACTATAATCTGATTTTACACTGTATCTGCTTATTTTATTTTGTAGCTGCAGGAGAGGATCTAAGTCATTAGTGTCATTTATTATGTTAAGTTTGTCATACCATTTTTAAAGTTGTCATTAATCACAGGTGGCACTTCCTTCCTCCTCTTGGGTCCCTCACTACAAATAAGATTAAATCTTGCAGTGTCTTGGCACTGATTGTCTCATCTTACAATTGCAGTCCCTGTTTTCCTTTTTAAGGATTCTAAAAAATCTTTATTTATTTTCTAATATTCCTTTATGGTCATATTATGTATATGAATATCATATCATCCCTGTGCCTTCTATCATCGAAGTCTGGCATGTTTAACCCTTAAACGGTCCAAACAGATCGACGTTGAAATTCATAGTGCTACAAAAGTAGATCTACTTTTTCTTACATATTTTCAAATATAACAAAAAAAAATGTAGATAAAAGTTTTTTTTACACGTTTTCAAACATAAAACAAAAAAGAAGATCTACATTTTTTTACATGCTTTCAGATGTTGAAAAAACGTATATATACGTTCGGACTTTCTTTGTAACTCGTGTGTTTTTTAACTCTGAGAACCATTTTTTCTTATTTTATCCATTTTTTTATGCAGATGTTCGACTTCTGCTGCATACTATAATTTTGGTTGCTTCTTTTCAATTAGTTGACTTGTGTGATGCATCCCTATTCCTCTCCTCCTTCCTTCCTACATCTCATTCTGCATTCTCTTTGTCAGATCAGTATTACAAGTATTGTACTAGGTATATCAGTACCAACAGATTGTATGGTAATGATACCTGTGCAACACTTAGGACATTTTATTAATCTTTGTTTTTTTTTTGCTTTCTAAGGAGAAGTGTCCTAAGTCTTGCACATGTATCTTTATCCCTCAGGAAGATCTTTATCCAGGCAGATCTTTATCCATATAGACTTTTATTCAACTGCAAACAGTGCTTATTAGTAATTATGTCCTTGTATTATAATATTTGAATATACTGTACCTGCAGCCATCTGACTCCGGGTTATACACCTGCCTAGTGAGCAACGCCGCAGGTCGTGTCTACCGTGAAGTGGAAGTATTAGTAATAGTTCCACCTCGCATCACTGTTCTTCCTCGCACCAATCAGGTCACCAGAGGGGATAGGTAATTCTCAGCTTACTATTGTTTATTTTTATTGTTTACAATCTGTAAATTATTAAATGCTTTGTTTTGCACAGATATTGGTTTTACAAATAACCCTTTCAGGGTTTCAGCCGTACTAGTACGGCTTACACCCCAGGGTTTTTGACGTACTAGTACGCCTACATTCTAGCGCCCTCAAATCTAGTGAAAGAAAGCTGGTAGGCCTACATATGAAAGAATGGGTCTATGTGGTCAGTGTGCGTGGTATAAAAAAAATCCTGTAGCACACAGTGCATAATGAGAAAAAAAACTTTGACCGTGTTTTTGGATTAAAACAGCGACTTTGCACTGTATTTTCGTAGGGTATTTATTGTTGTATTCTAGTTTTCCTGGTCTCATTTTATAGAATGGAAGATATATTACAGAAATTGAGATGATTTTGATTGATTTTACAAAGAAAAGTACCTTGAAATTGAGCTCAAAGTAGCAGAAATGTTTGATTTTTACCAAAGTTCAAAAGTAAACAAATCATGCTATGTGTCCAATACACATCAACTGGTGAGTAATATTCTTTCACAAATGCGCTGATGTTATTTATACCATTTCTACACTAATGCAGTAGTCTGCATAACAGTAAATCTTCTATTTTTTGTGAGAATAAAAATTCAAAGTGGAAAGCAAAAGAATGTAAGAGGGGCATGGGGACATGACTAATGAACAGAGAAAATGTTATTTTAGTGCCAGAAATGTCTTTCTTGTTTATTCTGAGCCCTATTCGGAAATTGGCATCTTTTGAAATTTGTGTGAAATTGGCAAAATTGCTAAATTCTGACCACTGTATTGGATAGTTGAAATCGGTAAATGGGTGGTTTCTTGTACTCATTCGATAGAAAAAAATGGAGTTCTAGTGAAATAGTTATGATTTTTGTCGACAAGTACACTGGAATTGGCCGAAAATAGGGCTCAAATTGGGCAAAATCGCCGATGAGTAAACATCGTCGAGACCGCTAACTTCGCGAGAGCATAATTCCGTAAGTTTTCCATCAAATTTCATACTTTTGGTGTCATTATGATCAGGAAAAAATTCTCTATATTTTCATAAGAAAAAATATTTTTTTTTTTTTTTAAATATGTCGATCCTGAGAACAAGTCTGGGAGAGGGCCTGTCGACCCTGAAAGGGTTAAAGAGGTTACTCCTGTTTTGAATACTAGGAATATAAACCTGGCTTCTTCAGTCCACCAGCACCTCATACTCTGTGACAATAAATTATTATTTACACATGTACTTTTATCTATAATATTAACATGCCTTCCTAACCCTAAAATAACCCAAAAAACATATGTTATTTAGGTTTGGTTAGGTTAGGTTAATGACAATTACTTTAGCCAAATTTAACATGGCAGGACTGTTTTGAAGAGCAAAACTAAAAAAGGGTGAACCCATTGTCTACAATGAATAAACATTAAAGAAAAACTCACATTCGCATTCTCCTTATTAGCATAATTACTTTGCCAAGTCTTGAGCCAAAATATAAAAAAACAAGACTCATGAAATCATAATGACATGATTGCAAACAAACCATACCACGGAGGGGGATGGAACCCACGATCAGAGAGTCTCAAAACTCCAGACCGTCACGTTAGCCACTGGACCAGCTAGCCACAATAAGATTCATCCAACTAGGTATATTTCTACACCATAGGAAGGTTAGCATAGGCACCACTGTGACCACAAATGCAAGTTTTTACAGACGAATCCAGTGGCTAATGCGACGGTCTGGAGTTTTGAGACTCTCTGATCGGGGGTTCTATTCCTGTCCGTGGTATGGTTTGTTTGCAATCGTGTCATTACGATTTCGTGAGTCATGTTGACGGCTTTGAGGGGACTTGAGCTAGAGTTCGTCACGGCCACGCTAGCTGGAGATTCGTCTGTAAAAACTTGCATTTGTGGTCACAGTGGTGCCTATGCTAACCTTCCTATTGTGTAGAAATATACCTAGTTGGATGAATCTTATTGTGGCTAGCTGGTCCAGTGGCTAACATGATGGTCTGGAGTTTTGAGACTCTCTGATCGCGGGTTCCATCCCCGTCCATGGTATGGTTTATAAAAAAAACAATTTTATGTTAAGAAATTTGGTTGAAAGAAATTCACTTTCAAAAACGAGCGTGACTAACATAGGTAACTTATCACTCTAGAAGCTCAGTGCATCCTGAGCATTGCATATGTATACGTATTTACATACTTCCTGTCCATGGCTTATTTCCATTCTTCCCTTTATAATTGTCTTATCACAGACTTTACTAACTGCTCTGTCCTAATATTTGAATTACCTAATACATATATTATACTGCTACAGTCTTTCATTTTTTATATTTGATATGCATTGTACTGTAATCATTTAAGAACATTCTTTTGATTAATTACCATGGTTTTCCTTTTTGGTGCATTGGCAGGTTTGAGCTAGAATGTGAAGCTGCAGGTGTTCCCACACCTAGCATCAGATGGCTCCTAAATGGCACACAGGTGAGGTCCTACCATGAGTGGAGAACCATGGTGCTCTTGTGTACTTTGACCCCTGCAGCAGGTCACAGTACTTTGAGACTCAGTATATGACTGTAGGAAACACAAGCAATGTATGCTGAGGCTAAGTGTATAGCTGTAGGGAGCATAGGCAGTATATGAACACTGGGGGGGATAGGCAGTATATACTGAGGTCAAGTGTTTGTTTGTAGGCAGAATAGCCATTGTATAATGAGACTATGTGTATGAATGCAGGAAGCATAGGCAGTGTATGCTGAGGCTAGGTGTATGGTTTTAGGCAGAATAGGCACTGTCTACTGAGGCTAAGTGTATGATTGCAAGGAGCATAGGCAGTGTATTCTGTAAAAACTCTAAAATATTTAATGATTTGGAAAAGGTTTTCATGCTGGAATGTGTATAATGTAATGTATATTAATGCTGGGTTAGCTATAAACATATACATTATAGTTAGATGTAAATTAATTTCATACAGTACTGGTAATCATATATTTTTCTGTATTCTATAATAAAATGTATTGTATTCACCGTTAATATTCAAAAATATTTTATTATTATTCAAAAAAATTTCAGGTGCTCCTTGCTTTATACAATAGATGCGTTCCTTACCATGATGTATAAAGTAAGCCCAGTAAAATGCGTAAAAATAGGGATTCGTTCTGAGATTGCAAATTCCACATTTCCTGATTCATTTTTTTTTTATTAACACATTGGTCATTTCCCACCAAGGAAGGATGACCCCAAAAAAGAAGAAACACCTTCATCATCATTCACTCCATCTGTGTCTTGCCAGAGGTACACCTACACTACAGTTAAAAATAAAAAACTGCAAAATATCAACAGCCCTCCTTCAGAGTGCAGGCACTGTACTTCCCACCTCCAGGAAGTACAGTGTCTGATTAATGCGTGCAATAAAAAAAATAAGCTTATCACACATGCACCAATTGTCCATATACAAAAAAAAAATTAGTAAAAAAAACTACAAAATTCATTCATAATTCCAATACAGTACAATATAAAACTGGAAAAAAATCAACATTTCCTTACAGTACTTCATTTTACAAAACAAGTTATAAGTATACTAGGTAAACACTAAATGGCTTGATATTTAAAATAAATACAATTAATTAAGAAATATGTGACAAAAATTTAAATTAAAAAATTCAATTATAATCTTCCTGCCATTGAGCTTCCCTCCTGCACCAACCATACAGCCTATTTTTGTCTGGGCTGAAGTGCACACTTAATGAACCTCTAAATACATATCTCCCTGCTACTCTTTTTATCCTTCCCTCCATCCATAGTCCTGATTTTTTGGTTGGCATAACTCAGCTCTGTTGGCCAGGTGTCCATTTCTCTGTGACTTAACACAGGACACTTAAAATGAAAACTATCTGTAGAATTTCATTTGAAATGTTCTCTTTGAATTTAACATGCCCAAATATATTTTCTTTTGCTTGTTTCTGTCTTCTAAATGTCAATATTACCAGTTTAGAATGATATTTAAGTGTTGCTAGGCTTTAGTGATCATATAAGAGTAAATTTTTACCTCATACAGTATAGAAAATTATTGGTAGTAATGAGGTGGCCACGTGAAAGTGAATTCACCTACAGGAGGGAAAATATGAGTGTATATAAATACCAGGAGTTCTAGTGCATTTGGGTTTGTACCTGTATTTTCATCACTCAAACTTATTCAAATATTGTGGTGTTTGAGCTAATTGAATTCTGTAATGTGTATGATATTCTGTGATATTCATGGCCTAGGTTGTTTGTTAAAATATTTATTGGATATACTTTTAACCCCTTTAGGGGCCTAGTTCCTAGGTCTTTGCCCACATGTCCTTGTGCTACCATTCACAGGATGGATACGAAGTGTACAATAAACTAGCTGATTTGACTGTAAAATCTAAAATCTTAGCAAGAGTTAAACATATCCTGTATGAGAGAGGAAATCCTGCAGGAGACAAAAACAAGGAGTAATGGTAGTCTTCATATTTTGACCTTGAGTTGAGGTCCTTTCCAGCTGAAAAGAACATCATCCAGAGATCAAAATATTTAGACTATCAAAAGGCTATTTTTTCCTGTTTTTTTTTATCTCCTTTGGGATTTCCTCTCACTCATCAGCTTTCATTATACTTATGTATTGTATATATATATATACAGTGGACCCTCACCTAATGATATTAATCTGTTCCTGAGAGCTCAACGTTAGGCGAAATTATCGTTAGCCGAATTAATTTTCCCCATAAGAAATAATGGAAATCAAATTAATCCATTCCTGACACCCCAAAGTATGAAAAAAAAAATTTTTACCACATGAAATATTAATTTTAATACACACAAACTGAAGAAGACATGCACAGTTACATGACACTTACCTTTATTGAAGATCTGGTGATGATTGATGGGATGGGAGGAGGGGAGACTGTGGATGGTGTTAATGTTTAGAAGGACTTGAAGTGGCAAGTCCTTTTCCGGGGTTACTTCCCTTCTTCTTTTAATGCCACTAGGACCAGCTTGAGAGTCGCTGGACCTCTGTTGCACAACATATCTGTCCATAGAAGATTGTACCTCCCGTTCCTTTATGACATTCCTAAAGTGTTTCACAACATTGTCAGTGTAATAGTCACCAGCACGGCTTGCAATAGCTATGTGAGGGTGATTTTCATCAAAAAAGGTTTGCACTTTAAGCCACATTGCACACATTTCCTTAATCTTTGAAGTAGACAACTTCAATTTCTCTATCCCCTCCTCCGGAGCAGTTTCCTCAGGTCTGGCCTCTTGCTGTTGAAGATGATCCAGCAGCTCATCAGTGGTTAGTTCGTCATTGTCCTCCTCCACCAACTCTTCCACATCCTCCCCACTAACTTCCAACCCCAAGGACTTCCCCAATGCCACAATGGATTCCTCAACTGGCATAGGATTCCCAGGGTTAGCCTCAAACCCTTCAAAATCCCTTTTGTCTACACATTCTGGCCAATTTCTTCCAAGCAGAGTTCAAGGTCCTCTTAGTCACTTCCTCCCAAGCCTTACCTATAATGTTTACACAATTGAGGATGCTAAAGTGATCTCTCCAAAACTCTCTTAGAGTCAATTGAGTTTCTGAGGTCACTACAAAGCACCTTTCAAACAGCTTTTGTGTACAGTTTCTTGAAGTTGGAAATGACCTGCTGGTCCATGGGCTGCAGGAGAGGAGTGGTATTAGGAAGCAAAAACTTGACCTTAATGAAGCTCATTTCCGCAGAAAGTCTCTCTGCCACATCTGAAGGATGAACAGGAGCATTGTCTAATACCAGGAGGCACTTAAGGTCTAATTTCTTTTCAATTAGGTAATTTTTCACAGTGGGGGCAAATGCATGGTGTATCCAGTCATAGAATAAGTAAGTAAGTAAGTAAGTAAGTTTATTCAGGTATACACAAATACAGTTACATAGAATTATCATACATAGCAGCATATGTATAGAGAACATATGCTGCTATGTATTCCCTAGTGACCCATGCCTTACTGTTTGCCCTCCACAGCACACACAAATTAGCCTTGAGGACATTATTTTTCCTGAACACTCTGGGAGTTTCAGAGTGATACTCCAATAAAGGCTTCACTTTGCAATCACCACTAGCATTAACACACATCAACAGAGTAAGCCTGTCTTTCATAGGCTTATGTCCTGGGAGTGCCTTTTCCTCCTGAGTAATGTAGGTCCTGCTTGGCATTTTCTTCCAAAACAGGCCTGTTTTGTCACAATTAAACACTTGTTCAGGTTTCAGTCCTTCACTGTCTATGTACTCCTTGAATTCCTGCACATATTTTTCAGCCACTTTGTGGTCCGAACTGGCAGCCTCACCATGCCTTATCACACTATGTATGCCACTACGATTCTTAAATCTCTCAAACCAACCTTTGCTGGCCTTAAATTCACTCATCACCACTAGTTGCAGGCATTTTTCTAATTAAATCCTCATGCAACTTCCTAGCCTTTTCACATATGATCGCTTGAGAGATGCTATCTCCTGCTATCTGTTTTTTGTGTATCCACACCAATAACAGTCTCTCAACATCTTCTATCACTTGCGATCTCTGTTTCAAAAACAAAGTTGCACCTTTGGCAAGAACAGCTTCCTTGATTGCCGTTTTCTTGGCCACAATAGTAGCGATGGTTGATTGGGGTTTTGTGTACAACCTGGCCAGCTCGGAGACACGCACTCCACTTTCATACTTAGCAATGATCTCTTTCTTCATATCCATAGTAATTCTCACCCTTTTTCCTGTAGGGTTGGCACTAGAAGCTTTCTTGGGGCCCATGGTGACTTATTTTGCAGGTGCAATCACTAAAAAGGGTGTGATAATATGAAATGTTTCGATTGTATGCTTGGAAGCGACCGCGGTGGCTGGCTTGTAAACACTGGCACCCACGGAACAAGTGAGACGGGCTCAGGCCTCACGTGGATGCATCTCGAACGAATCGCGTTGAGCGAGTTTTTTAGCGCTAGCCGAGGCAAAATTTTTGCGTTAAACTGTATCGCTAGGCGGATTTAACGTTATGCGATGCTTTCGTTGGGCGAGGGTCCACTGTACTAAGCTTCAAATACTCTTACAAGTTTCGGTGCTGTTGTCTTCTAACACCTATCTACCTTTAGCACTGTCTTTCTCCATTTTAGAATATGTTTTATTTTAATTTTTGTTGTTTTTTCTGATAGGTATATGGTGTAGTTGCTTCCTCAAATGGGCGATCAGTTTTGGTAGTGGAACGTGCCTCTAAAACAGATGAAGGAACGTACACTTGTCTCGCAGAAAATGATGCCGGACACAGGAAGGCTATTGCTGGTATCAGGGTCAAGGGTCAGTATCAAGAGTGAAATTTTTATATGATATACAGTAGAAGAGCATGATATTCATATAATTTATTGTACATTTTTCACATTTTTACTCATTTTTTCAAAGATGAAAAGATGAATTACTAATTTTATTGAAAGATATATTTTTATATTAACAGTACCTCCAGTGATCATGTATGCTCCTGAGGAAATGACAGTGTTGGAACTGAATGCAGTAACACTAACATGTGTTGCTGAGGGTGACCCAGCTCCAGCCACCACCTGGATCAAAGAAGGACATTCTGTACATTCCTCAGACAGGGTTCACTTAATGGATAATGGCTCCTTGGTATGTTCCCCAAGCCAATATGCACACTAAGAGTTTTGCTTTAATATAGGCCACTTGTCAAATTTGTGGTTAAATTTATTTTACTGTATATTGATGATTCCTTCCTGCAGTTAAACTCATTTATACAGTAATACACACTCAATTCATTAACATTTGTCAATTCTACCTGGATTCTGTTGACATTGACAGAATGATGCATTGTTTCTAGCACACAGGAAAAAAAGAGAAGACTTGATAATCACATAAAAGTATATGAAAGATTAGAAAAGTAAGATTTTTAAATGCCATTTGGTGATGATTCCTGGAATCATTGTATCCTGTATGTGTTTATGGTTCCTGAATTCACTGTAACCTGTATGTGGTGATGGTTCCTGGGATCATGGCCACTATGACTGTATCTCACATCAGGTCTTTTAAATTTTAACCCTTAAACTGTCCAAACGTAGATCTACGTTTTTTTTACATTCATTCTTATGGAGAAAATCAAGGTTGAAGCGCTATGCGCACAAACATAGATCTACGTTTGGACAGTTTAAGGGTTAAAGGGAATATTACAAGGAAAAAACAGTTAGGAAGCACATATGAAAGGAAAGATAAATGTACTATGTCTTCTTTCTTTCTTTCAACACACCAGCCATATCCCACCGAGGCGGGGTGGCCCAAAAGGAAAAACAAAGGTTTCTCCTTTCACATTTAGTAATATATACAGGAGAAGGGGTTACTAGCCCCTTGCTCCTGGCATTTTAGTCGCCTCTTACAGCACGCATAGCTTACGGAGGAAGAATTCTGTTCCACTTCCCCATGGAGATAAGAGGAAATAAACAAGAACAAGAGCTAGTAAGAAAATAGAAGAAAACCCAGAGGGGTGTGTATACATATGCTTGTGTAGTGTGACCTAAGTGTAAGCAGAAGTAGCAAGATGTACCTGAAACCTTGCATGTTTATGAGACAGAAAAAACACCAGCAAACCTACCATCGTGTAAAACAATTACAGGCTTACGTTTTACACTCACTTGGCAGGACGGTAGTACCTCCCTGGGCGGTTGCTGTCTACCAACCTACTACCTAGAATGTACTATGTACTAAACATAAATAAAAATATTTAATATTTACCTGCCATCTTAGATGTTCATGATTATTACTATATTTATGGGATCGTGGTTAACCCTTGAGTCATACAGTGCCTGACGAATTGGAGGTAATTAGTTATGATCCAAAGAAGGAAAGAATAACTCCAATTCCTTGGATCAAGTATCCTTCATGAGCATCATTGCACCCCACTTAAAGGGACACAATACTGTATATTAGATTTATACATTCTTTAATCATTGATACATTTTTCTTCATTTACTAATGAGTTTTAGTCTGTGAAGTATTTCTGTGATAAATGACATTTGTTGTTCAGGTGATTGACTCATCTCAAGCCTCTGATGCTGGTGAGTACAAGTGTGTGGTGAGTAATGATGCTGGGGCAGCTGAAGCCACGGCTCACCTAGTGGTACACACACCTCCTGTCCTCACACGACCACCCATCACTGCAGGTAACATCTCACTCTTGTGCATCTCTCTATCACATAATTATTTATTTCCTTTTGATAACATAAGTTCCTTTTTATATGAATTTCTGATATATTTGTTTTATATTTTTTGCTTTCTATGAGGCATTGTACCTATTTGATCTCATATACGTATATTAGTATTGTTATTAATATATTAATAGGTTAATATTAAACAGTAGGGTTCATAGAGCACTACCATCTCATGCACAGTAGTATTAAGAATGGCATAAAATTAATTGAATAGAATAAAACAAAAAATGCAGGCACATATCATACTATCTCCCTTAGTGGTAGAGGTCGGTGGAACAGTGGTATTTGACTGTGAAGCTGAGGGTACTCCAGCACCCACCATTCAGTGGAGTGTCAGTCCTGGAGAGCTACACTCACGTTTCTTGCGGTTAACTAATGGTTCTTTGCAGGTAATAATTTTTTCCGTATTTATTATTAGATATTAGATTTAATGTATTCACAAAGCATAATGTGTTAAGCACATATCATTATATGCTATCTCTGATATTTAAAATTACTCTCTTAGAGCAGTCAAGACAAATTTTCTGCTGCTAGTGATTAACTATTATGCAGAACCCATGTATTATAGTGCCTTTGTGATTAAAATACCTTGGAGCCCCTAAGAAATTAAATATTGTACTGTAATTATGAAATAACAGTGTCCCTCTGAATGAGTGTTGTTTATGTTATGTAATGGTTTAGAAAATGAAGAATGAGACACTTGTGCAATATTTGGGAATCTGTACTGAAGAAACATTTTGCCAGCCAATGGCTCCCTCAGTCCAAATCAGAGAAGAGCAGTGGAAGATGAGGAAGAGAATGAGGTAATCAGTTCCTCGGCTTAGAGTTGATGTATTCAGTCCATCGATGGACTGAACTCATCGACTCCAGGCTGAAGGACTGATTTCCTCATTCTCCTCCTCATCTTTCATCCATCTTCTCTGTACTGGACTGAAGAAACCACTGGCTGATGAAACATTTCCTCAATAAAGATTCCCAAATGTTGCACAAGTGTCTCATTCTTCAACGAGTGTTGTTTATGTTGTCAGCTTATAGCAGCACAGATGGAGGACGAGGGTCACATCATATGTCAAGCTTATAATGAACTGGGTGAGGACTTAGCAAAGGCTGACCTCTTTATCAAAGGTATATAGCATTCATTTACTCTGCTTTCACAGACCTTGCACCAAAATATAACACATTCATTTAATATTGTGTTGTTTACATAATTGAATTTATAGGCTAAGAGATGTTACCTTACCTTAGCCATTTCAGGCCTGTGCTGTGTTGCGTATGTTAATAATACCAGAGCTACCTACAAACACTTCAGTATACGTATTTTTATTAAGCAGTTGAACTTTGCACTTTTGTATACAAATAACTTCAGTTTACACTTCTTCATTTTTATATCACTGTTGTGAGATGTGGCAAAAGATGTATAATGAGTAATTTTTAACTCATGTATGATATTTAGAATAAAAGCAGTCAATATATTAAGTACATTTATTCCAGTGCTGGTCACAAGTTTATAATCATTCTAAAGCAGAACACTCTTATTATATCCAGTAATTGCCTCATGTATTATCCATGGCAGTGTCAGGCATGTGGAGTTCCTGGGGCCCCTGGGCACCATGCAGTGTATCATGTGGTACTGGACAGCAGGAAAGGAGAAGGGTGTGCAACTCTCCAGCACCACGCCATGGAGGCTCTTCTTGTCAAGGTGACGAAGCTCACACCCGGCCTTGCCGTCCCCATCCTTGCCCTGTGGATGGTAACTGGTCTCCATGGGAGCCCTGGAGTGAGTGTAGGTTAGTCATCCTCCTCTTTCTAGAACTATAAACAATCATACATTTTATATATTTTTAAATGATTTTACTGGCAAATAGAGCATACTATTGACATTGCATAATTGTTTGTGTGTCGGACTCAGCATAACCTGTGGCAGTGGAGTGCGACTGAGGTCCAGATACTGCACAGCTCCTGCCCCCTTGTATGGTGGCCAACCATGTGAGGGTGCTGCTGTTGAAGAGGAAGATTGCAGACTAAGAGACTGCCCAGGTAAATGCATTTATAGCATTGTTAAAATTGAACATCCATCAAGATGACATAGTAAATTAAAATAATGAAAAAATTTTATTTAAAAAATAATATTTTTCCATCTTTAGTGTCAGGTGAATGGGGTCTTTGGACATCATGGTCTGACTGTAGTACTACTTGTGGTCAAGGACTTCGTCAGCGCACCCGTCTGTGTGACTCCCCTCCTCCTGCAGCTGGGGGAGCAGAATGCACTGATGATGGGTTAGAGGTCATGCCCTGTTCAAACCCACACTGTCTGGTGAGACATATGCAACTTTTTACTCGTGTAATGCTGCCTTCATGCTAGTGACCCATATGTCAACATTTGAGAAACAGATTCACATGTAGTCAGCTTACTCTAAATTAGTAAAATTTTATTTTAGTTACTATTATGGCTAATTTAGTAATACTATATGTAAAATTGATTTAGAATTTTTTTTTATTGGCAGCTTGATGGCAACTGGGGGTCATGGGAGTCTTGGAGTGTGTGCAGTGTTTCATGTGGAGGAGGAATGAGACGACGACAGCGTCAGTGTAACGACCCACCGCCTTCCAATGGTGGTCGGTTTTGTCCTGGCTCTGACACCCTGGAAGACTATTGCAATCTTGACATGTGTCCTATTAATGGTATAAAGAGCACCTCTCTTATATATTCAAGTCTTGTACTTTAGCTAGTATTTCATGGGTTGGGTAAAACAATTATGTAACTTATGAATATTTAAGACTATAAATATAACATTTTTTCTCCCTCTGTTTTGCATTGAGAAATTATTAAACAACATTGCACAACTGGAAATGTGAATGTTACCTTATATATACAGTAGTCTCATAGTGTTCAACCTCAAGAGGCAGGAGAAATTGTTACAATACGTGGTACATAATATTCTTAAGAGATATTTATTTAATTATATCAGTTCATCTGTGCCCCAGAGTACCTATTTCTCACCTCTCATACAGCCTGTCTCTGTCTACCCTATCAATTCCTCTGAGTATTTTGTATTACCTTATCTCCCCTGGTTCTTCTGTCCTCCGATATCATTAATTCTGTTCCCTTAGCCTCTTCTCATAGTTCATATCTCTCACTCAGGAGCAAGTCTTACTGCATATTTCCATACTTTCTCCAGGCTTTTTAATATGCTTTTTTCAGATATGGGTTCCATATTGGTTCTGTATACTTTAAAATGAGCCTGACATGTGTTGTATTAAGGACCCAGAATGACTCTGTTGGGATTCCTGAAGGTTACTCTTAGATTTGCCAGACGAGCATCGATTACAGAGGTTATTCAGCTGATACGAGATTTTTGTGAGCAGCATACTCCCCTCTAGTTCTTCTTTGAGTATGATCTGGAACCTCTGTCCCTCGAGTCTGTGTACCATATCCAATTGTCGTGTCCCTTCTCCAGTCTTCATAACCTTGCAGATAAGTGGTTGCATAAGCAATCGCTTGTCTTACCAATCTTTTTTGTGTGTGCAGTTTGGAGGGACATCTAAACTGTCATATCTGAGTGCCTCTGCAAATACAGTGATTATGTATGAGTGATTGTGAAAGTGTTGAATGATGATGAAAGTTTTTTTCTTTTCTTTTGGGGTTTTTCTTTCTTTTTGGGTCACCCTGCCTCAGTGGAAAATGGCCAACGTGTAAAAAAAAAAGTGTACGTGTGCGTGTGCATGTGTGTGTGTACTCACCTGTAACCACAAATAGGCAAGTAAAAATGGGTGAACACACACACTTACACTCACACATGCATGTACACATGCAGTCATGCACACATGCACGCATGCACACACACACACACACACACACACACACACACACACACACACACACACACACACACACACACACACACACACACACACACACACACACACACATACACACACACACACACACACACACACACACACACACACATACACACATGAATCACAGGGATGTTAGGAAGTATTTCTTCAGCCACAGAGTAGTCAGGAAGTGGAATAGTTTGGGAAGCGATGTAGTGGAGGCAGGATCCATACATAGCTTTAAGCAGAGGTATGATAAAGCTCATGGTTCAGGGAGAGTGACCTAGTAGCGATCAGTGAAGAGGCGGGGCCAGGAGCTTGGAATCGACCCCTGCAACCTCAACTAGGTGAGTACACACGCACACACACACACACACACACATACACACATACATGTACATACATATGTAAGTGTACACACATGTGCATGCATACAAGGCTGCTCCCACCAAGGTAGGGTGGCACAGTAAAGGAAATACAGTCATTGGCATTCATTCAATGGTTGTCTTGCAGCAAGTGTGCAGACATCACTGGTCAAATAACCCTCCAAACTGCAAAATCCCCACCTCTCCTTCAGAGTGCAGGCACCATGTTTCTCACCTCCATATTATAGTCAAAAATGTATTCTTGAACAATTACGTTCCATATCTAATTTTATATTGTTACCTGAGAATATTTACATAATATTTTATATACAGCACTGTACATACTGTTGCCTTTCAGTTACAGTGTATAGTTAATGTGTACATTTTTTTTTGTCAACAAGTCGGCTGTCGCCCACCAAGGCAGGGTGACCCAAAAAAAAAGAAAATCCCCCTCCAAAAAAATACTTTCATCATCATTCAACACTCTCACCTCACTCATACATAATCACTGTCTTTGCAGAGGTGCCCAGATACAACAGTTTAGAAGCATATATAAAGATATATAACATACCCCTCCAAACTCTAAGCTGTTGTGTTCTGAGGACCTCTGCAAAAACAGTGATTATGTGTGAGTGAGGTGAAAGTGTTGAATGATGATGAAAGTATTTTCTTTTTGGGGATTTTCTTTCTTTTTTGGGTCACCCTGCCTCGGTGGGAGACGACCGACTTTTAAAAAAAAAAAAATGTATTATTAGCCAGACTTGAGTCCTGGAGGTAGGAAGTACAGTGCCTGCACTCTAAAGGAAGGGTAGGATTATTTACTGTTATGAGGGACATCTGAACTGTCATATCTGCACACCTCTGGCAAAACAGTAATAGTGTGAATGATGGTAAAAATGTTTCTTTTTTTTTAGGTTACCCTACCTTGGTGGGAGATGGCCAGTGTGCTAAAAAAATTTTTTTTTTTTTCAACAAGTCGGCCATCTCCCACCGAGGCAGGGTGACCCAAAAAAGAAAGAAAATCTCCAAAAAGAAAATGCTTTCATCATCATTCAACACTTTCACCACACTCACACATAATCACTGTTTTTGCAGAGGTGCTCAGAATACAACAGTTTAGAAGCATATACGTATAAAGATACACAACATATCCCTCCAAACTGCCAATATCCCAAACCCCTCCTTTAAAGTGCAGGCATTGTACTTCCCATTTCCAGGACTCAAGTCCGACTATATGAAAATAACCGGTTTCCCTGAATCCCTTCACTAAATATTACCCTGCTCACACTCCAACAGATCGTCATGTCCCAAGTACCATTCGTCTCCATTCACTCCTATCTAACACGCTCACGCACGCTTGCTGGAAGTCCAAGCCCCTTGCCCACAAAACCTCCTTTACCCCCTCTCTCCAACCCTTTCGAGGATGACCCCTACCTCACCTTCCTTCCCCTATAGATTTATATGCTTTCCATGTCATTCTACTTTGATTCATTCTCTCTAAATGACCAAACCACCTCAACAACCCCTCTTCTGCCCTCTGACTAATACTTTTATTAACTCCACACCTTTTCCTAATTTCCACACTCCGAATTTTCTGCATAATATTTACACCACACATTGCCCTTAAACAGGACATCTCCACTGCCTCCAATCGTCTCCTTGCTGCTGCATTTACCACCCAAGCTTCACACCCATATAAGAGTGTTGGTACTACTATACTTTCATACTTTCCCTTCTTTGCCTCCATAGATAACATTTTTTGACTCCACATATACCTCAATGCACCACTCACCTTTTTTCCCTCATCAATTCTATGATTAACCTCATCCTTCATAAATCCATCTGCCGACACGTCAACTCCCAAGTATCTGAAAACATTCACTTCTTCCATACTCCTCCTCCCCAATTTGATATCCAATTTTTCTTTATCTAAATCATTTGATACCATCATCACCTTACTCTTTTCTATGTTCACTTTCAACTTTCTACCTTTACACACATTCCCAAACTCATCCACTAACCTTTGCAATTTTTCTTTAGAATCTCCCATAAGCACAGTATCATCAGCAAAAAGTAACTGTGTTAATTCCCATTTTGAATTTGATTCCCCATAATTTAATCCCACCCCTCTCCCGAACACCCCTAGCATTTACTTCTTTTACAACCCCATCTATAAATATATTAAACAACCATGGTGACATTACACATCCCTGTCTAAGACCTACTTTTACTGGGAAGTAGCCCTCCTCTCTTCTACAACACCCTAACCTGAGCCTCACTATCCTCATAAAAAACTCTTTACGCATTTAGTAACTTACCACCTATTCCATATACTTGCAACATCTGCCACATTGCTCCCCTATGCACTCTATCATATGCCTTTTCTAAATCCATAAATGCAATAAAAACTTCCCTACCTTTATCTAAATACTGTTCACATATATGCTTCAATGTAAACACATGATCTACACATCCCCTACCCACTCTGAAACCTCCTTGCTCATCCGCAATACTACATTCTGTCTTACCTCTAATTCTTTCAATTATAACCCTACCGTACACTTTTCCTGGTACGTATACTCAATAAACTTATTCCTCTATAATTTTTACAATCTCTTTTGTCCCCTTTCCCTTTATATAAAGGGACTATACATGCTCTCCGCCAATCCCTAGGTACCTTCCCCTCTTTCATACATTTATTAAACAAAAGTACCAACCACTCCAACACTATATCCCCCCCTGCTTTTAACATTTCTGTCATGATCCCATCAGTTCCAGCTGCTTTACCCCCTTTCATTCTATGTAATGCCTCACGTACCTCCACCACACTTACATTCTGCTCTTCTTCACTCCTAAAAGATGGTATACCTCCCTGGCCAGTGCATGAAATTACCCCCTCCCTTTCTTCCTCAACATTTAAAAAATTCCTCAAAATATTCTCGCCATCTACCTAATACCTCCCTCTCCCCATCTACTAACTCCCCTACTCTGTTTTTAACTGACAAATCCATACTTTCCCTAGGCTTTCTTAACTTGTTTAACTCACTCCAAATTTTTTTCTTATTTTCATTAAAATTTCTTGACAGTGCCTCTCCCACTCTATCATCTGCTCTCCTTTTGCACTCTCTCACCACTCTCTTCACCTTTCTTTTACTCTCCATATACTCTGCTCTTCTTATAACACTTCTGCTTTGTAAAAACCTCTCATAAGCTAACTTTTTCTCTTTTATCACACCCTTTACTTCATCATTCCACCAATCACTCCTCTTTCCACCTGCCCCCACCCTCCTATAACCACAAACTTCTGCCCCACATTCCAATACTGCATTTTTAAAACTATTCCAACCCTCTTCAACCCCCCACTACTCATCTTTGCACTAGCCCACCTTTCTGCCAACAGTCGCTTATATCTCCCCCGAACTTCCTCCTCCCTTAGTTTATACACTTTCACCTCCCTCTTACTTGCTGTTGCCACCTTCCTCTTTTCCCATCTACCTCTTACTCTAACTGTAGCTACAACTAAATAATGATCCGATATATCAGTTGCCCCTCTATAAACATGTACATCCTGGAGCCTACCCATCAACCTTTTATCCACCAATACATAATCTAACAAACTACTTTCATTATGTGCTACATCATACATTGTATATTTATTTATCCTCTTTTTCATAAAATATGTATTACTTATTACCAAATCTCTTTCTACACATAGCTCAATTAAAGGCTCCCCATTTACATTTACCCCTGGCACCCCAAATTTACCTACTACTCCCTCCATAACATTTTTACCCACTTCAGCATTGAAATCCCCAACCACCATTACTCTCACACTTGATTCAAAACTCCCCACGCATTCACTCAACATTTCCCAAAATCTCTCTCTCTCCTCTACACTTCTTTCTTCTCCAGGTGCATACATGCTTACTATAACCCACTTTTCACATCCAATCTTTATTTTACTCCACACAATCCTTGAATTAATACATTTATAGTCCCTCTTTTCCTGCCATAGCTTATCCTTCAACATTATTGCTTACTTACACATATTAGAGCTACAATACAATATTTACAGTGAATATTGATACTTATAGCTGCTGTCTTATTTACGGGTGATGATGTTTCGTTCTCAAGAGCAGTCGCATTATTTGGAAGGAGTTTGTATTTATAACTAATTTTTTTTCCAAAGTTCCAGTATCATAAATACAGATCATTTGCAAGTAAGGGGCCCCTACTATATATTATATTATGTTCACCTTGTGTCTAATGGTAACTGAGAAATCATTTATTGTGCAGGTGGGTGGTCATCGTGGTCAGTGTGGGGCTCGTGCACAGCGACATGTGGAGGAGGACAACGAAGACGGTTGCGCACATGTGACAATCCTTCCCCATCTCAGGATGGTCGAGCTTGCACCGGCCCTGACACTGACACAGAGGCTTGTAATGTACACAAATGCCCAGGTAATACAGTAATGTAAATTTATTTAAATTATTATTGTATGTAATTGGGTATTGCTGAACCTTACAGATCAGTAGCTCATGGTGAATGGAATCTAGTCAGGTGCTATCATCATCAACTCACCTCCCTTGAGGGATTTTTTTTATTTAAAATTTAAAGAATGAGAGAAAATAAACCTATTTCAATAAATACAGTATGTTTTATCATATCAGTAAAGATTTTATCTTAAATGCAGTAGCTGAATGCAGTCAGTTTCTGTTTATGGAATTACTGTACCTGTATTGTATTTTTGGAGAATTGTGATATACTAAAATGAAGAGCATCTCTACATTCAGTACTATGTCTATATACAGTGGAACCTTGTTTTTCGGCCATAATCCATTCAGAAGGTCGGCCTAAATTTGAAGCAATATTTCCCATAAGAATTAATGTAAATACAATTAATCTGTTCCAGATACCCAAAAATATTCACAAAAAATACATTTTTTAAAGATTAATTATAGTTTTACATACACAAAACAATGAGAACTAAATAAATAAATAAACATTTAAATCACTATTACATACCTTTATTGAAGATGCTTATGGCTTATGGAGAGAGGGAGGACTGATTATTGTTTGGAAGGGGAATCCCCCTCCATAAGGACTTCAGGTATCAAAGTACTCTCTGGGGTTACTTCCCTCCCTGCCTGCTAAACTCCCTACATGCCTGCTACACTCCCTGCCAGCCTGCTACACTCCCTACCTCCCTTCCACACTCCTTGTTTCCCTGCTAAACTCCCTGCTATACTCCCTGCCTGTCTGCTACACTCCCTGCCCATGGTGGCTTATCTCACAGTCACACTTAATAAACAAGCCACATCAGCTTCCTTGATTTGTTCTTTCTTTGCCAGGATAGAAGTGATTGTTGATTTGTTTTTGCCATACATCCCATGGTGACTTATTTCACAGTTGCACTTAATAAAAAATCACCAAAAACAATGGATTTTAAGGAAATGTTTGGATGAATGCACGGAGTATATGCTAACTCGCCAACAGACAAAGGGAGACTGAATCACCTATGCATGGCGTCCCGGGCTGACACGTCTAATATGTACAGTCAGTATACAGTAGACCCCTGCATAACGATATTAATCCATTCCTGAGAGCTCATTGTTATGCGAAATTATTGTTATGCGAAATTATCATTATGCGAATGAATTTTCCCCATAAGAAATAATGGAAATCAAATTAATCCGTGCAAGACACCCCAAAGTATGAAAAAAAAAATTTTACCACATGAAATATTAATTTTAATACACACAAACTGAAAAAGACATGCACAGTTACATGACACTTACCTTTATTGAAGATCTGGTGATGATTGATGGGATGGGAGGAGGAGAGAGTCTTAGTGTTTAGAAGGGGAATCCCCTTCCATTAAGACTTGAGGTGTCAAGTCCTTTTCCGGGGTTACTTCCCTTCTTCTTTTAATGCCACTAGGACCAGCTTCAGAGTCACTGGACTTCTGTCGCACAACATATCTGTCCATAGAGGCCTGTACCTCCCATTCCTTTATGACTTTCCTAAAGTGGTTCACAACATTGTCAGTGTAATAGTCACCACCACGGCTTGCAGTAGCTGTGTTAGGGTGATTGTCATCAAGAAAGGTTTGCACTTTAAGCTACATTCCACACATTTCCTTAATCTTTGAAGTAGGCAACTTCTTCAATTTCTCTCTCCCCTCCTCCAAAGCAGTTTCCTCAGGTCTGGCCTCATGCTGATGAAGATGATCTAGCAGCTCATCAGTGGTTAGTTCTTCATTGTCCTCCTCCACCAACTCTTCCACATCATCCCCACTAACCTTCAACCCCAAGGACTTTCCCAATGCCACAATGGATTCCTCAACTGGCATAGGATTCCCAGGGTTAGCCTCAAACCTTTCAAAATCCCTTTGGTCTACACATTCTGGCCACAGTTTCTTCCAAGCAGAGTTCAAGGTCTTCTTAGTCACTCCCTCCCAAGCCTTACCTATAAGGTTTATACAAATGAGGATATTAAAGTACTCTCTCCAAAACTCTTAGAGTCAATTGAGTTTCTGAGGTCACTACAAAGCACCTTTCAAACATAGCTTTTGTGTACAGTTTTTTGAAGTTTGCAATAACCTGCTGGTCCATGGGCTGCAGGAGAGGAGTGGTATTAGGTGGCAAAAACTTCACCTTAATGAAGCTCATGTCCCCAAAAAGTCGCTCTGCCACGTCTGTAGGATGACCAGGGGCATTGTCTAACACCAGGAGGCACTTAAGGTCTAATTTCTTTTAAGTTAGGTAATTTTTCACATTGGGGGCAAATACATGGTATAACCAGTCATAGAAAAAGTCCCTAGTGACCCATGCCTTACTGTTTGCCCTCCACAGCACACACAAATTAGTCTTGAGGATATTCTTTTGCCTGAATGCTCTGGGAGTGTCTGAGTGATACACTAATAAAGGCTTCACTTTGCAATCACCACTAGCATTGGAACACATCAACAAAGTAAGCCTGTCTTTCATAGGCTTATGTCCTGGAAGTGCCTTTTCCTCCTGAGTAATGTAGGTCCTGCTTGGCATTTTCTTCCAAAACAGGCCTGTTTCATCACAATTAAACACTTGTTCAGGTTTCAGTCCTTCACTGTCTATGTACTCCTTGAATTCCTGCACATATTTTTCAGCTGCTTTGTGGTCCGAACTGGCAGCCTCACCATGCCTTATCACACTATGTATGCCACTATGCTTCTTAAATCTCTCAAACCAACCTTTGCTGGCCTTAAATTCACTCACATCATCACTAGTTGCAGGCATTTTTTTAATTAAATCCTCATGCAACTTCCTAGCCTTTTCACTTATGATCACTTGAGAGATGCTATCTCCTGCTATCTGTTTTTCATTTATCCACACCAATAAGAGTCTCTCAACATCTTCCATCACTTGTGATCTCTGTTTCGAACACACAGTTGAACCTTTGGCAAGAACAGCTTCCTTGATTGCCGTTTTCTTGGACACAATTGTAGCGATGGTTGATTGGGGTTTACTATACAACCTGGCCAGCTCGGAGACACACACTCCACTTTCATACTTAGCAATGATCTCTTTCTTCATCTCTATAGTAATTCTCACCCTTATTCCTGTAGGGTTGGCACTAGAAGCTTTCTTGGGGCTCATGGTCACTTATTTTGCAGATAAAATCACCAAAAACACTGTAATAATACGAAATGTTCCGATTGTATGCTTGGATGTTACCGCAGAGGCTGGCTGGTAAACAATGCCACCGGCGGAACATGTGAGGCTGGCTCAGGCCGCACATTAGACGCGTCTCGGACGAATAGCGTTGAGCGGGTTTTTTAGTGGTATGCGAGGCAAAATCTTAGCGATAAAATGTATCAGTATGCGGATTTAACGTTATGTGATGCCAACGGTATGCTGGGGTCCACTGTACAAGGCAACGGCCGAAATATGGAGCAAAGTTTCTGCTGAAAAACCGGCCTAAATACAAATCGGCCAATAAACACAGCGGCCGAGAAACGAGGTTTCACTGTATATATTTTATTGAAGATACTATTTCTATTTAATTATGTCCTATAGAAATGATAGAATAACAGTCTAGGGCATATAGTGTAAAATATTAATTATAATCAGTGATTTGCTACTAATGTTGAGACTTTCTGTTTAAATGCTCTTATTCAGTATGATGATGTGTGTACTGTTCTTGTTCTTATAGTGAATGGAGCATGGGGATCATGGAGCGAGTGGACAGGATGTAGCATGACGTGTGGTGTTGGAGTTAAAGTGAGGAGCAGAAGATGCAGTGCTCCTTATCCAAGGTTTGGTGGTGCTCCCTGTCTGGGGGAAGAGCGTGAGGTCTGTATTAAATAACCCTTCTGTGTTTATCTGTTTTCCAATGTCGTCATATTTCTCATAATGGCTTTCATATGTATTATCATATTTATTATATAGCATTGTAATTTCCTTAGAAAATGAGCTTTTTCTGATACATTTGACCACAAGACTGCTACCTGTGAGGGAGATGCTTGCGAGGTGTTGCCTGTGGTGGCTCGTGGAACACTGATGGGAGAGCTCAACGGAGAAGATCTTGGCATTGTTGCTCTCACTGCTAATGTCACCACACTTGGCATGCAGAGAACTGTCACTGCTAACATTAGTCCTCTTGCACCAAAGCATGTACGACTCACTAAGTCTTACACAGATAACCCGAATATAGGAGAGAGAAGCTTATGACAATGTTTCGGTCCAACTTGGATTTATAAGTCATAGTGTGACTTGTAAATGGTTCAAGTTAGACTGAAACATCATCATAAGCTTCTCTCCCCTATATGCAGGTTTTTTATGTATTGTTCCAGTCATGGTATTGTGCCTTTTTGTTCTTCACTAAGTCTTAATCTGTGCATACTGTATACTAATTTTAAATATACAGATGTACCATTTGTGAATTGTTCAGGAAAAAACTTGTCTATTTATATTAGTGAAAGATATATTCACTTGATGAGAAGAGAAATACAGTAATCAGATTCCTATAATGTAATTTTTACAATATTTTCCATTAATATCATATACCCTTTTGTGTTTTATATTTTATGCAATATGTAGGGTATGTGGCTCACTCCTCTTCTGTCAGTGGTATCTCCTGTATATTGGACTTCAGCCTATGAGGTAAATGGAGCAGCCAATGGGCACACTCTAACCAAGGGATTCTTTCGGCGGGAAGCCCACGTTGCATTTGCTACTGGTAAGTAGAAGGGTTGCAAAAGTTAAACATTCTTGAAAATTATAATAAATTGAAATGTTATTTTGTAAGGATATAGATAACCCACATTATTGTATGACAGTGAATACTTTGTGGATTAAAGAGTCAGTAAAATGCACATCACTTACATGGAAGTAACATGCACAGTTTGAATGAGAGTGGAGGGAATATGAAAAGTAATAAAATATTTATAGTGCACCAGCCATCTCCCACCGAGGTAGGGTAATGATATATTCAATAATAAAAATGCTTTGCCATGAGAAGTGGTGGATAAATGTATGTTTAAGTGAAAGCATGAGGTCTAGCATTGCATCTACATTCTGAAAACCATCAGAATGTGGATGAAGAGAATGATGTATATAGCCCATTGTGAGAATGAATGACTCAGGTGGGATTTAGCTCCTTATGTAATGCATATTACAGTAATAATAATAACAGAAGGTATATTACATGTTAGTAACTTCAGCAAATTTATACACAGTTAAAACCCAAAATATGCACAGCGCTTCAAAGAGTAGTAGGAATAATTATACTAATACTGTATATATTTCTAACACATTGGCCATCTCCTACTGAGGTAGGATAACCAAGAAACTCATTCATCATCACTCATTCAACCACAGTCTTGCCAGAGGTGTGAAGATGTCACAGTTCAGATGACCTCTCGGAGCTGCAACATCTTTACCCATCCTTCAGAGTGCAAGCACTGTGCTTCCCACCTCCAGAACTCAAGTCTGACTAACTGCATAAGTGTTATCCTGCTTACACTCTATGAGCATATCATCACTAAAACCATTTGTCTCCACTCTGATTTATCGTGTTCACACAACTCTGCTGAATGCTGAAGACCTTAGTACTCTAAACCTCCTTTACCCCTTTTCTCAAGCCTTTGATGGTAAAATCCCTACCCCCCTCCTTCCTTTTTATTTTCTCAGTGTGAATTGGTTAGTATTACTTGTTTTATTAAAACTTATCTCTCTTATAGGTGAGACTGTCGACATGACGCATGTGGTGCGGGGTGTTGACTCAAATGGAGTTTTACTGGTGGATGTGGTAGTAACTGGCAATGTTCCCTATCTACCTCCAGATTCACTGATTACACTTCAACCTTACAATGGTTAGTATTATACAGTTATTTCACTGATGCATCCATAACATAAGCTATGACTTACCATTTTACTACATTACTACCTATAACTTTCTTGTATGAAAGTCATTGAGAGAACTTCATTGTATCTTAGTAGACAAAAATCTATTTCTGCAAATGTTGTTATAAGTAAATAATTTAGCATATTATGTAATTACCTGATTGGTAATCAGTGCTAAAATTTGACCCAAAAAACACTTAGAGAAATTTCTTGTACATGTATCTCATTCTATGAAGGCTAGTGAAATAATTAATTTTTCATTTTCATTTTTTACCCTACAGAGAACTATGTACAGATAGGTGGTGGTTCACTTTTTGCCACTTCCACTCGTACCTTTTCTATAGGAGAATACCACCTGCCTTATGCCTGGAACCAAACTATATCTTATGATGCTGAACTTGGCAATATGCCTTACCTTGTAGAGACTTTACATTCAAATGGATTGGGATCATTTTACAGGTAGGAAGTTTCCATATATATTTTCCTTCCATAATGTTATATTTAATACTGTATTATTATTATTATTATTATTACAATCAAAACTAAGCACTAAGCCCACAAGGTTCATAGAGTATTGATAAAAAGTCATAATTATTTTAGAGCGGTGTATATTCTTATATTCCTAGCATTAATGGTATAAATTAAAATCAAAAGACGTGATTATGGTGAAAAAGAAATTAAACATTGCATTTTCATAGCAGTAATTAATTATTTACACATCTTGATAACTTAAGTTTTTACATAGCCAGTGCTTTACCATAATAAAGGTCTTCCTGAAATTATTGCAGCAATAATCAAGCAGAGCTCAGCCTCATCGTTTCATCATCTATAGCACCAGGATTGCCTAGCGACTCCTGTCCCTCAGGGTTTACACTGGACCAATCAGGACCATACTGCAGAGATAACGATGAGTGTTTGACTTCTACCAGCAGGTGTTCTCATGGTTGCTCTAACACCATCGGCAGTTATGCATGTACTTGCATCCCTGGATACACGCTAGGCCCTGATGGCTATACATGTCAAGGTAAATTTTTTAGCATCACACTAAGTGTCATCAGCAAAAAAAACATTCTCATATCATTTTATGGTCAAATATAGCTCTTGCTCTAGTTTAATCACTTGCCTCACTTTACAAGGTCAATCTTCTCGCCTTTTTTTCTAGGTTTAATGTTGTCATTCTTTCAGATTCTTTTCTTTTTATACCCTATGAAGGGTGATCTCCACATCAATGTTGATCTCACATTTCTTTTATGTCAGTTGCCTTATCTGATCTAGACCAGGTCACAAGGCCCTCACATTAAATGTATAGTCCCAAATTAACTCACAGAATACATTCCTGATGATTTCACAGAAATAACACTCACTGGGCTGCAAAATACGTGGAAAAAATAAGGTTATGTTTCTTGATTATTATTATTATTATAATCATGGGGGAGCACTGAACCCATTGGATTATACAGTGCCTGGAGGGGGATGAAACATATTTAGGCTCAATTCAGGGAACCAGAGCACAAATCCAATTCCCTAGACCAAATATAACAATGGTTATAAATGACCATAATTTTTAAAGGGGTGGACCGGTAAGCCAGCGGAAGGCCTCGGTCAGATGACCAAAAGCTCCAAAGGCGGGTCATCATCTGACTAAGACCCGCGTCAGGAAACATTTGTCCTGTTTCCTGACGAACCTTACCTAACCTAACCCTAGACCAAGTGCCCCTCACCAGCATCAAGGAACCTCTCTTGAGGGGTATGCTTCTTGAACCTCCAGAGAAGCCAAATTTTGTTTGGCTCTTTGGGATGCCTGAAGTCAAAGAAAACAATATTATCTTACCATAGATTCTGGTTATTGTTGCTTGATGATAGATAGGTGTGTGTAGAGAGGATTGAATTTACATCTTCGAAATTCTGGAGGGATTGGTCCCATGGTAGCACACCGAAATTACGCCCTCCAAGAGCAAGAGGCTTGGCAGACAGTACAGAATACCTCCAGTAAAAAGCAAGAATGCAATGAGTATAATAAGAGATAGCTCAAGTATAAAGAGCTCAAAACTATATAATACCTTTCCCTCATACACAGGGAAAATTAATAACAGGTTCCTAGCTTTCTTCAAGAAAGACCTGGATAAGTTCTTTAAGTTAGTCTCTGATCAGCTGGAATGTGGTGCTTACACTGGACTGTGTGTGGCTACCACCAGCAGCCTGGTTGATCTGACTATTAACTAGGAGGCATGGTCTGAGTCCATGCTGTAGGGGGCAGTGACTCTTGAAATCATCTTCAGGTATCAATTTACAATTTTTTTTTTTTTAACAAGTCGGCCATCTCCCACTGAAGCAGGGTGACCCAAAAAGAAAGAAAATCCCCAGAAAGAAAATACAGTTATCATAAGTAATTTACTGCCATTAAGTACTATAGAAATCATAACAAAGCAAGCAACAGATTTCAGTGTCAATTATCCATAGAGTACTAACCATAATCCATACTCATTCTACTCCACTCTCTGGAAATTGCAGTAAATTTATGCTGAAAGAGTTGGTAGACACCAGGCATTCTTCTTGATCCCTGATTATGTATGGTATGTAGCAGGAACAGGTGTTATGCCATATATTAGTTATAGCATCACCCTGTGCTGTATGCATATAGATAGCTACAAGTATCTAGATGTTGCATATATCTGAAGTAAATTACAGTAGTTTTATCTATATTGGTTGTGCTGGGTACTCTTCCCCATATAGTGGGTCTTTCTCTGTAAGCATCAGGTTTGTGTCATCTTTTGTTACCCTAGCCTGAATCTTGCACTGATTGATTTGATAATCATAGCTTGTCACTTGGGTTTCATTACCTCCATTTTAATTACCTCACAGGATGCCCACATGTTGCATATTCGAGGTTTGCAGTACACATATAAAGTTTACACATATAAAGTTTAAACTTAAGATTTAATTTAAGTCTGCCCGAAATGCCTAGCCATGCTAGGTGTTCTAGTGGTACACTCTGTAATTATTTTACTACAGGTAAACCACACAATAACCAAATTCTGTAAACTCAGCATTGTAATCCTTATAGAGAATAAACTTTGAATATTTTATCAAGTTTTTTCAGAATGTTTCTAAGCTCAAGACTGAAAAATCATTGAGTTTTATTTCAGTTAGATTTTTATATTAATCTTTTATGCTTTTACAATATTTACTGTCTATTGCATCACTACATAATAATATTTTCTGACTCTGTATTACAGATGTAGATGAATGTTCCATGTCAGGAGTGTGTGGTCCACGAGAACAGTGTGATAACACCCCAGGTTCCTACACTTGTACATACACATGTGGCCACGGCCTCAGAAGAACACATTCTGGCACAGCATGTGAAGGTCAGTTGTCTCTTGTGTCAATTTTATTACAGTACTTCCATCTCCAACCTAAGTTCTTAAATTAATACAGTACCACTGAAAAACTTTACATGATAGCAATGGTTATGCATTAAGATTAAAGTGATAAATATATACAGTATTCTAAGATATACTGTACTGTATGTACATAGTTAAAAGTATGAGATACAGTAAACATGACTACAGTAAGGGCATTTTATTTTATTGCATAAATCTATATATTCTGTCACTGTTCCCACTTTTTAACAGACATCAATGAGTGTCAGGAGCAGCCACATGCTTGTGACCAAACATGTCTCAATCTTATTGGTGGTTTCCGCTGTGATTGCCGCCGAGGCTTCAGACTTGTTGGCCAGAGTCGCTGTGTAGGTTAGTCTATTATTCTGTGTCCTTTTGAGATTTAATGCACCAGTTCCACTGAAAGTAGTCATTAACTGAGGAAGTTTAATTCAATACAGATGTCTTTGTGTTGGAAAACCTTATCAAACAGTGAGTCACAGGAAATTGTGACTCATTGTTTGAAAACATTTTTCCCAGTGAATTTTAAAGCCAAGTACAGTACACTATAATACTGTTACTGCTACAGTACAATACAGTACTGTTACTGATTTAGTACTGTTACTGATTTTTCTGTTGTCTGCTCTGCTTTGTGGTTTATTAATGCCATGTTGAGATACAGGTCAGATGGGTAATACAGGTCACATGGGTGATACAGGTCACATGGGTGAGACAGGTCACACGAGTGAGGAACACAGTAAATAACAAGCTTCAGCAGACTTGTAGGTAAACCAAGGATAAAAACTTTGAATTTATGATCATTTTGATGAATTTAAAGAGTTTTTACATATATATGTGGCCAGCCAGAAATTGTGAACCATTAATGGTTGAAACCTACACTGTAAAGAAATTATTCTTATTCACTTATATACATATTTGATGCTAGGTTCCTCAATTGATTTGGACCAGTAAACCTACTTACTGTATTTTTTTTTAACACGGCCATTTCTAACAGATACAGTTCACTGTATTTCTAGGGGCAGTTGAAAAATTTTGTAGACAGTGTGGTAACTTAAATGTTTCACCTCTTGCAGATATTGATGAATGCTCACAGTTCCATTCACCCTGTAGCCATGGGTGTGAAAATACAGTGGGCTCCTTCAGATGTACATGTCCTGAAGGACACACCCTTCTGCCTAATGGTCGCTGCAAGGGTAAGTTGTCATATTTGAAGAGCACTTTGACCCAGGCCCCTCTGAAGAGGACCAGTGGTCTCGATGGAAATGAATCATGCCTCTTGGCTTGCTTGGGTAATTCAGGGTAATGGATCTCTGGGGTTAATAATTTGAAAAAAAAAAATCTTTTAATACCACCACCCACACTGACCAAAGCTTTGTTGACAGCCCAAAATTAATCATACAAGTTTTGAACTGCACTCTGAAATAGATTATGTTGTTAATATGCCTATACATCTCAGGTTAGTAATCTACACCTGTTGAGCATACTGGTTACTTTTATAAGCATGATACCCATGTAAATAGTGTGAAAGAACACTTAGCTCATATATTAATTGTGGACAATATCAGACCTTCATGTGAATCAGTGAAAAAGACAAGGAATTTACTGAGAAAAATAGAATTTAAAGAAATTGGTGTAGAGCATTTCTCTGCTCATCCTAGATATGATTTTATTTAGTGTATAGATACTGACATGATTTTACTTAAAACAAGGATATCAGTAAATTAAATATGATTTACTTTATGCACGTTTTGTGTTTTTTCAGACATCAATGAATGTGCCTCATATCTACACGACTGCCTTGAAGAACAGGAGTGTCGCAACACTGAGGGCTCCTACACCTGCATCACTCACTGCCCTGCTGGTCTACTTCAGGCCAGCAACGGCACTTGCACAGGTCACTAAATTGTTTTCTTATTAACTTTTTTCATTGTTGTGATATCCAAAATTAAAAAATTAAAAGAGCTGACAGTATCATGATTTTTCAAAAAACAAAAAAATAAATAATTTTAGTTTCTGAAATGGCAAAGAATCTTTTTCTGAAGGTAATAACACCAAAAACACAAAATTGGATGGAAAACTTATGAAATTACACAAATGCGAAGTTAGCGGTCTGGGCAATTTTGCCAACTTTGAGTCCTATTTTTCAGCCAGTTCCATTCCTTATTCGACCCAATTTCTACCTGTTTTGCTTGTATGCCTTCTAATCTATTGATTGAAGCAAGAAACTGCTTAATCAGCTGTCACAACTAACCTATAATGTGCACAAAAGTTGGCAATTTGGACAGTTTTACAAAAAATTAAAAAATTACTAAATTTACACTGTAGATACATGTATTTGAGTCACTAAGCAGCCTTTTCTTTATTTATTACTCAGCCCCAGGCCTCTCATATATTATACTTGCCTTCCATTTTGAATTCATCATCACACAAGAAATCAGAGTTTTACCCTATTAATCAGATAATAAAATGTAACCAAGAATGGTTGGTCATGGGTTATGGTATCCCAATAATTGAAGCAGACCCGACAAAAATCCATCTGACCAATGGGTACCCGGGGGGGCCTTGCCTCTTCTCAGGAAAATCGTCAAAAATCTAATATTTACTCAACTCTGAGCCCCATTTCAAGCTACTTCCAGTTTGAAATTGACCAAAATCATCTCTGCTTCAGTGTATGTCTTCCAGTCTATCAACTGTTACCAAGAAATAGTCAATAAAAGCATAAAAACCATCCAGGAAATACCTGACAGCTGTTATTTTCAACTAAACACAAATTCAGAGGTTTGCCATTCCCACCATGAACCTTGTAGAACAGGATTTTTTTATACTATGCACACTCACTGCACTTATTCTCTCATGTCTAAGCCAAACTTTACTGTATACAGTTTATTTGAAGGAACTGAGCTGAAGGCAGATCCCCATGAGTGACACTGGCATCAATACTGTAGCTCTACATGAGAAACAGTGAAATGGTTAAATCTGTAGTACTACATGTGATATTCTGGATAAATGAAAATAAATGTGGATACTTATTTAAAAAAAATACTAATTACCATTTTTCTTTATGTAGACCTACAGTGATACTGCATAATTGAAACAATATTATTGGTGTGAATATCATGCAGAAAATTTGGAGCATAGAAATTAAAATGAAGTGTTAGGTGACCAGGATATAATTCAGAGAGCTTGAGGAGGGGTTGTTGAGGCAGTTTGGGTATGTAGGGAGAATGGACAGATAGAGTGATGAAGGTGGTGTATAAACCTGAGGTGGAAGGTAGAAGGGGAACAAGGGATCATCCCAGGAATGGTTGGAAGGAGGGGGTACAAGAAGCTTTGAGTTTTAGAGGCTTGAGCATCAAGCAGGCTTGTGTGAGTGTTTCATAGGAGTGAATAGAGCCAAGGGGTTTTCATAGACATGTTGGAGTATGAGCAGGGTAACTGTTATGAAAGGATTCAGGGAAACTGATTAGCCAAACTTAGAGTCCTGGATGTGTGAAGGGCAGTGCTTGCACTCTGAAGGAGAAGTGGGGATTCTGCAGTCGGAAGGATAATCTGAGTGTGATGTCATCACACTTCTGGAAAAATGGCAAATGAGTGAATGTTGGTGAATATGTTTTCTTCTTTGCATCACCCTGGCTTGTAAGGAGATGGCTGTTGTGTTAAAAAATACTGATGCAGTCACTTCTAGGAAAATGTATTGTCTTGTCCGTTGAATTTAATATTAAATCATTCTATTTCTTTAAATTTTCAGACATTGATGAGTGCTCTGAAGAAATAGCAACATGCCATTTCACTCAGATCTGCACAAACACATGGGGATCATATCGGTGCTCATGCAGTCGAGGATTCAGTTCATCAGGGCCTGGACAACCGTGTCTTGGTATGTGCAGTATGTCAGTTTTTTTCTAAATCCAAAATTTTGTAACACTACTCAGGGCATTTTTCTAATATAAATACCTTAATTTTATGTGTTATAATTATTTACCCAGTAAATTCCTTCTGTGGTATGTATACATTACAGAAGCCTTTGACATACAGTATACAGTGGACCCCCGGTTAACGATATTTTTTCACTCCAGAAGTATGTTCAGGTGCCAGTACTGACCGAATTTGTTCCCATAAGAAATATTGTGAAGTAGATTAGTCCATTTCAGACCCCCAAACATACACGTACAAACGCACTTACATAAATACACTTACATAATTGGTCACATTCGGAGGTAATCGTTATGCGGGGGTCCACTGTACTGCACTGTACCTGGGATACTTTTATAAAGATCTCAATAAACATAAAAAATCACAAATACCACAATATTAACTGTTATACAGTAAAGGTCAAATAATAATAATAACAGTAGGTAAGTGTTGTGCAATTGTATACCTTTGCTGAGAGTATGACAACAATGGTGTTAAAGAATCTTGAGAATCATCCTGGAAGGACTCCTCAGATATCAGCCTTCATTGAAAATATTGTGATGGGCATCTGCTGAGAACATTTTTAGAGTTCTTTGTGTGGTACAAATGCACCTTCCTCCCCTTCAGTGGGTCTACCAGATTACATTTATTTATATAAGCCTCTAACTCTACAAGATTTTCATATTCATTCTACTACCATTTGCGACACCATCCACATTTCTGCTATCTTCATCCTCCTCATTAGACTTTAACATCTTAATGTTCTCAGTTATTAACTCATAATTGTGTGGTATGATCAGTTCTGAACCTCTGCTTTCTAAATATCCTTCAAGCTGCTGTGCCATTCTCATTTCCTCATCAGCACTGCCTCTTTCCACAACAACATTTATGGGAAACTCTTTCACCTCAACAGTTGACTCTGATGCACTTATGCAGCATATGGGAATCTTTATTCAGGAAACGTTTCGCCACACAGTGGCTTCATCAGTCCAATACAAAGAGGAAGGCGTAAGGAGAGGAGGAGTATGAGGTAATCAGTCCCTCAGCCTGGAGTCGATGTGTTCAGTCCATCAATCTTGTAGAATGTACAGCATAGGGCCATAGACGTGGCTTATATACTGTAGTGAGGTGAGGTGAAGCAGGCGGAGGCAGGGTCATAGTGGTACCATCCACTAGTCGAAGTAGGTCTTCGTCCAAAGGTTGAACAAGTGTTGAAGAATTCTTTGTAACAAGATTGATGGACTGAACACATTGACTCCAGGCTGAGGGACTGATTACCTCATACTCCCGCTTCACACACGGAGGGCCTGGGTTCGATTCCCGGCGGGTGGAAACATTCGACATGTTTCCTTACACCTGTTGTCCTGTTCACCTAGCAGCAAATAGGTACCTGGGTGTTAGTCGACTGGTGTGGGTCGCATCCTGGGGGACAAGATTAAGGACCCCAATGGAAATAAGTTAGACAGTCCTCGATGACGCACTGACTTTCTTGGGTTATCCTGGGTGGCTAACCCTCCGGGGTTAAAAATCCGAACGAAATCTTATCTTATCTTATCTTTCCTCTTTGTATTGGACTGATGAAGCCACTGTGTGGCGAAACGTTTCCTGAATAAAGATTCCCATATGCTGCATAAGTGTCTCAATCTTCAACTTGTCGGTTTTTCAAACCATTCATCACACACAGTTGACTCTGATATTGATATACTCCACAAAAATGTAGTCCTCCAGTAATCATAAAACCATGTCTTGCTCTAGGGGCTGTACTCAGGAAGTAGAGCTCAGAGGAAGGTACTCTTCTTTGGTATTAGGATGCTTTTGAGCGAGGTCATCTGGGTGGTTACCGAGTGTTGCCTATGAATAGAATATTAAATGAAGCTTTTTTGGATTTAAGATCTATTTGCTGCAAGGAAAAAACACTTGTGAAACCAATCTCTGAAGATAGCTTTAGTGAATCTAGACTGTATTATTTGCCTTCGAAAACATAGATATTGTTTTCTACTTTACCTTTAAATGCATTTGGATTAAGGGAATGGTGAAGTAGCATCAGCTTCATCACACTGTCCCTTGAGGTACTTGCACAAAGGAGGATCAGTCTCATAAGACAAGAATAAGATTGCCTTAAGGAACCTTAAAAAAGAGAATTTGAGATTGTACACGATTTATGTGAGGCCACTCATACAGTATGCACCACTATAATTCATCCCACACTCCGCAGCCTGCCAGCTAGTTACAGGATTAAAACAAGTAATCCAGAAAAATGTTACCTATGTATATCATCAGATACTTATAACTTAAAGTCACAGTACATTTGACATTTACATCATACATTTATCAAGGACATAACCATACATTTAGCACTTACATCTCATTTCATTTAAAATGTATATCACTATGCATTTAAAATATCCTTGAACCTTCCTCCATCCTTTTGATAACCTTTTGCTAGTCTTCACAAACTCTAGGAAAGTGATCATATCAGAAATGCTTCAATTTTTTTTTTTTTCCGAGTTATGTTACTGTGTAGTGTTTTGAATGCCTGCCATTTATACTGTGTAGTGTTTTGAATGCCTGCCATTTATCACATATGTAAAACGACCCCCAAGCTACCTGCAGTAAGATCAAACAAGCCACTGGAAGACACTATTTTATATTTTCCATCAAAGCAGATTTTATTAATTTAATCAGAAATATTACCGATGAAGTTACAAGTCACACACTCATTTCGAACTTGTCAGTTTTCTTTTTTTTTTTAATGTACTGTAGTATTCTAAATTTGATGATTGATGTGGCACTTCTGTGGTGTTAGATGTGGACGAGTGTCTGGCTACTCCATCACCTTGTAACTACCAGTGTCATAACCTGCGTGGGACGTACCAGTGTATCTGCGCACCTGGACAACAAAGGCTGCCTGATGGAAAATCCTGTGTTGGTGCGCGTTTATCCCATTTTGTTTAATGCAATATGTAACTTATAATCGTCTCTAAAGCCAATATGTTGCGTACCTAAGCAAAGTGCTTAGTTCCTCCAGATACTGAAACCCATGCTTTCACTAAGACTATATTGCTAAAAAATATGTAAAAGCTTCATACTGTATACTCATTCGAACACAGTAACTTCAGCTGCTCACTTATTTGGTTGATACTGAAGGATACCTATGAACCCCTGACTGTACACAACACCCAGTCAGAAATGCTAATGCACCTTGCAATAGTAGCTGAATAGATTGAAATTACATTAATAGCAAGAAATATTATTAGCAGGAGGGTGTTGTGTCTTACAGGGCTACAGTACGTAGAGGAGCCTCGCGCCCGGTACCCTCTCTCTCCACGTCGTCCTAGACCTGCCTTGGCTGGCTACCCAACCACAGAATTCCAGGAGAAACTCCTTCATAAGTTCTACGTCCAGTCTAGCTGCCCACAAGGCTTTGACTATGAGGCTGGAGAGTGCAAAGGTAAAAGAAACCCTAAACCAAACCGCTAGCCAGTACTTTTTAATGAATTGGTAATGACAACATGGATCTGGCCATTTTATGATATATCTACATCATGCAATTAACTTGCATAAAAGTGGAAAACCTATAAGTTTTTAATTTATCTGGAGGTAGTTGAAGACACCATAAATTCACAATATATTTTTCAGTTGCCATGTTCGAAGGAATAATATGAAGAAAAGAAAAGATGCATTTGAAAGTGTAGTTAATAGTTTGATTCCTAAAGCATAAAAGTCTTGCATATCACAGTTTAAATCCACAGAAAAAGTCATTATTCTGTATATGCTGTGTATGGGAGGCAGATGTGTGTGTGTGTAGTATTTATCTAAAAATTCACTTGTATAGATCATATACTCCACCCTGGAAAATATATACCTGTATATATTGTGCGTAATGCATACAGGTGGGCCCCACTTTACAGTGCTTCACTTTACAGCATTTCATTAATGCAGCAGTTTTCATTTATACCCATTCTTCATTTATTCAGACTTCCTACAATAAATATTTTCACCACTCACTATAAGCAAAAGACAAAAATATTTTAAAGTAAGTAATGTTTGTATTGTATATGCACTTTTTAGGCTTAGCTCACTTAATATATGATAGTGTAAACATGTTATCAGGCTTTTATACACATTTGAAAGTGAAAAAGTCTATGTTTCACTTTAGAGCAGTAGCCTGGAACCCAACTTGGTGTATAAGTGGGGCTCTCCTTTATAGCACATGTACAGTATATGTCAGTTTGGCATATTTTGCAAGCATCATTTTGACAGACATGCAGTGTACTGTAAATTCATTGTTGCATTAACTCTACAAAAATAAATATGAACATCATAACATTTAGTTAGTATTATTCCATTGTTATTGAATAATACTAACTAAATTTAAGCTGACCTTATACTGTATAGCCTGTTAATTATTGTACTGTAACATGGTTGGGTTAGGATGTTAAACAGTACAAAATAAAAAACTTATAAGCCATATTGATTCACATGAGTAAATCTATCCATGCATGAATTAAAATTTTGTTTTAGGCAGTTTGGCTTGTTTGACCAACTTTATGTATTAGGCATAACATAATACGTATATTACACGGTACATTCAAACACCATTATTACATTGTCTTATATGTTGGCTGTTTGGATATTCTGATGTGGCTTCCACAAATAAATTTAGAAGTTATTCTTTATTCCTGTATTCAAAAAACTTTCTATAAAATTTTATTTTATTCTGTATGTCCCCTGATGCTCCAGCACCACATTTGATCTGATCATCAGCAAGAGATGAGGCATTATTGGCGTAAAGTAATATAAGAACATAAGAAAGGAGGAACACTGCAGCAGGCCTGTTGGCCCATACTAGGCAGGTCCTTTACAATTCATCCCACTAACAAAACATTTGACCAACCCAATTTTCAATGCTACCCAAGAAATGAGCTCTGAGAAATAAAAAGTTATTTTTCATGTATACTGTATTACCTCATATACAGATTTCATCATCCATGGGAAAGATTAAACATACCTTAAAATAGTTTATAGAGCAGTTAAATTGTGTGAATGTTCATTAACCCGTAAACGGTCCAAACGCATATATATGTTTTTTCAACATTTAAAAGTGTGTAAAAAAAGTAGATCTTCTTTTTTTTTTTTACATTTGAAAATGTGTAAAAAAAACTTTGATCTACTTTTTTTTTTGTTATATTTTAAAATATGTAAAAAAACGTAGATCTACTTTTGGAGCACTACACATGTGAACGTAGATCTGCTTGGACCATTTATGGGTTAAATACATTGATCATGATAATTAATAACTCTTGATTGTTCCAGTTGCTATGTCAGAAAAAAGGTTCAGTAAATAGTACATTATATGAGTGAAGGAAAATAATAGAGAGTTTAGTTTAATATGTTTATTATGCACCCCATACCCATCCAGTGGGCGGTAGTCAAAAGATTACAGAGGTACATAATGGGTCCAGGGACTGGGCCTCAAAGTTTTGATAGCTGAGCAAGTTACAGAGGTAATGAATTCACAATTTACAAAGGTAATGAACTCACAATTTACATAGGTAATGAACTCCAGGTAGGTCTAGTCACAATCATGACAAGTTACAAAGGTATTTACAGATTACAGAGGTACACAATGGGTCCAGGGACCGGGCTCCAAAGTTTTGATGGCTGAACTAGGTACAAGGTAATGAACTCACAAGTTACAAAGGTAATGAACTCACAAGTTACAAAGGTAATGAATACTGTAAGAATGGTTACTTATGTGTATACATGGCTGCAATCGTGAACAAATTTTAGAGTAATGAGCAATTCACACTTCCACACCCGGTCACAACTGTAGTGAGTTATTGGTGCAAATGTTGATTGCTGAGTCTCTCTCTCTCACACACACACACATACAAATTCATACACACACACACATAATCACACACACACACACACACACACACACACACACACACACACACACACACACACACACACACACACACACACACACACACACACACACACACACATACACACACATACACAAACTCATACACACACACGCACACACACTCATACACACACACACTCATACACACACACACACTCATACTCACACACACACACACACACACACACACACTCAGATAAGATAAGAAGTGTATGATAAGAAGTGTATGAGGATGAAGACTGGATGAATACTTGATAAGCAGGTTGCAACATACGTGTACATGTATATATATGTTTGTGATATATTATTACCATGAATCACATTAAGCCAAGTTGGTGCTCTTAAATAATTAAATTATAGTTTTGAAGCAAATGGGAAACTTTTGGAATCTTTTAGTTGAGAGTGACATATTTTGAGTATTTTTGTGCAAAGTTAGGTTTTACTTTGGTTGAGTTGAACAAGGGGAAACATCACAATGATACAATGATCACTCTTTGATATTCCTCGTGTCCATCTCACACTGCAAAAACTCATTGCACGTAAAAGGCCCAAAAATCTGGAATTCATTACCTGTGAATATAAAAGAAACACTGTCTGTTTATAAATTCAAGTCTCTTCTTAAGAATCACTTACTCACCCACAACTAAATAAATACTGAATATTTGTATCTCATAAATGTTTAACCTGTGACCCAATCAAACTTTGTTATTTTTAATTACATTACCTAACAGAATACTCCATTCTACTGAATGCACAGCATCACAGTAAATGACCATATGACCTGTCTTTGAAATACTCATTTGTGCTTAATTGTTAACTGTTTACAACAATGTTTACCACTGAATATATCATTGCTTAGTTAATCTTAAGTTAATTTTAAGCCTGCCCATAATGCTTTGCCTACAAGGGGCTTTGGCATGTTACACTTAACCAGTGTATTTCCTTGTACTTCTATATATCATGTTCAAATAAATAAATAAATGGTTGAGTCGATCAAGGGGACAACATCAGAAGGGTGGAGTGGTTGAGATGAACAGAGAGGAATGTCAGAAAGGTACAGTGGTTGAGTCAAACACAGGGAGACATCAAAGAGGTACAGTACATGTTTCTTGTATTATGCCTATGAGTTTTGTTGCAGTTCTCTTGAAGGAGTTTCAGAGCTGGGTTTATATTTGTATTGATTGTCCTATATATATAGTATGTACAGTAGTAAGAGGGAATGTTTTGTGTTTTGAATATGTTTTTAAACTTATTCAACAGTGAGGGGCATGTGTTGTACTACACCAGCTTGAATGATCATTTGAATAGCAGTTTTTTGTTGAGTTACTGTTGGCTTGAGGTGATTTGCTGTTGTAGAACCCCAGGCACATATACCATAAGTGAGGTAGGGATAGAGTAGTACAGAACAAGTAATGATGTTTCAGGCACATAGTAATGAATCTTAGAAAAGATTCCTACTCTTTCGGAGACCTTCTTGGATGTGCGTTGAATACTAAATTATGTACTGTCAAGGTGTAAAGCTAAGAATTTTTCCCTTGTCTTATAAAAAGTGTCTTATTTATGTGGGAGAGTTTCAATGGAGAGGAATAAATGGGATTAGGTGTGGGGTTTCAAATAGAGTTAGAGCTAAAGAAGGAGTAGCAATAATGTTGAAGGATAAGCTATGGCAGGAAAAGAGGGACTACAAATGTATTAATTCAAGGATTATGTGGAGTAAAATAAAGATTGGATGTGAAAAGTGGGTTATAGTAAGCGTGTATGCACCTGGAGAAGAGAGAAGTGTAGAGGAGAGAGAGAGATTTTGGGAAATGTTGAGTGAATGCGTGGGGAGTTTTGAATCAAGTGGGTAAAAATGTTGTGGAGGGAGTAGTAGGTAAATTTGGGGTGCCAGGGGTAAATGTAAATAGGGAGCCTTTAATTGAGCTATGTGTAGAAAGAGATTTGGTAATAAGTAATACATATTTTATGAAAAAGAGGATAAATAAATATACAAGGTATGATGTAGCACATAATGAAAGTAGTTTGTTAGATTATGTATTGGTGGATAAAAGGTTGATGGGTAGGCTCCAGGATGTACATGTTTATAGAGGGGCAACTGATATATCGGATCATTATTTAGTTGTAGCTACAGTTAGAGTAAGAGGTAGATGGGAAAAGAGGAAGGTGGCAACAACAAGTAAGAGGGAGGTGAAAGTGTATTAACTAAGGGAGGAGGAAGTTCGGGGGAGATATAAGCGACTATTGGCAGAAAGGTGGGCTAGTGCAAAGATGAGTAGTGGGGGGGTTGAAGAGGGTTGGAATAGTTTTAAAAATGCAGTATTAGAATGTGGGGCAGAAGTTTGTGGTTATAGGAGGGTGGGGGCAGGAGGAAAGAGGAGTGATTGGTGGAATGATGAAGTAAAGGGTGTGATAAAAGAGAAAAAGGTAGCTTATGAGAGGTTTTTGCAAAGCAGAAGTGTTATAAGAAGAGCAGAGTATATGGAGAGTAAAAGAAAGGTGAAGAGAGTGGTGAGAGAGTGCAAAAGGAGAGCAGATGATAAGAGTGGGAGAGGCACTGTCAAGAAATTTTAATGAAAATAAGAAAAAATTTGGAGTGAGTTAAACAAGTTAAGAAAGCCTAGGGAAAGTATGGATTTGTCTGTTAAAAACAGAGTAGGGGAGTTAGTAGATGGGGAGAGGGAGGTATTAGGTAGATGGCGAGAATATTTTGAGGAACTTTTAAATGTTGAGGAAGAAAGGGAGGCGGTAATTTCATGCACTGGCCAGGGAGGTATACCATCTTTTAGGAGTGAAGAAGAGCAGAATGTAAGTGTGGGGGAGGTACATGAGGCATTACGTAGAATGAAAGGGGGTAAAGCAGCTGGAACTGATGTGATCATGACAGAAATGTTAAAAGCAGGGGGGGATATAGTGTTGGAGTGGTTGGTACTTTTGTTTAATAAATGTATGAAAGAGGGGAAGGTACCTAGGGATTGGCGGAGAGCATGTATAGTCCCTTTATATAAAGGGAAAGGGGACAAAAGAGATTGTAAAAATTATAGAGGAATAAGTTTACTGAGTATAACAGGAAAAGTATACGGTAGGGTTATAATTGAAAGAATTAGAGGTAAGACAGAATGTAGGATTGCGGATGAGCAGGGAGGTTTCAGAGTGGGTAGGGGATGTGTAGATCAAGTGTTTACATTGAAGCATATATGTGAACAGAATTTAGATAAAGGTAGGGAAGTTTTTATTGCATTTATGGATTTAGAAAAGGCAAATGATAGAGGGGATAGAGGAGCAATGTGGCAGATGTTGCAAGTATATGGAATAGGTGGTAAGTTACTAAATGCTGTAAAGAGTTTTTATGAGGATAGTGAGGCTCAGGTTAGGGTGTGTAGAAGAGAGGGAGAATACTTCCCGGTAAAAGTAAGTCTTAGACAGGGATGTGTAATGTCACCATGGTTGTTTAATATACAGTGGACCCCCGCTTAACGATCACCTCCCAATGCGACCAATTATGTAAGTGTATTTATGTAAGTGTGTTTGTACGTGTATGTTTGGGGGTCTGAAATGGACTAATCTACTTCACAATATTCCTTATGGGAACAAATTCGGTCAGTACTGGCACCTGAACATACTTCTGGAATGAAAAAATATCGTTAACCAGGGGTCCACTGTATTTATAGATGGGGTTGTAAAAGAAGTAAATGCTAGGGTGTTCGGGAGAGGAGTGGGATTAAATTATGGGGAATCAAATTCAAAATGGGAATTGACACAGTTATTTTTTCCTGATGATAGTGTGCTTATGGGAGATTCTAAAGAAAAATTGCAAAGGTTAGTGGATGAGTTTGGGAATGTGTGTAAAGGTAGAAAGTTGAAAGTGAACATAGAAAAGAGTAAGGTGATGAGGGTATCAAATTATTTAGATAAAGAAAAATTGGATATCAAATTGGGAAGGAGGAATATGGAAGAAGTGAATGTTTTCAGATACTTGGGAGTTGACGTGTCGGTGGATGGATTTATGAAGGATGAGGTTAATCATAGAATTGATGAGGGAAAAAAGGTGAGTGGTGCGTTGAGGTATATGTGGAGTCAAAAAACGTTATCTATGGAGGCAAAGAAGGGAATGTATGAAAGTATAGTAGTACCAACACTCTTATATGGATGTGAAGCTTGGGTGGTAAATGCAGCAGCGAGGAGACGGTTGGAGGCAGTGGAGATGTCCTGTCTAAGGGCAATGTGTGGTGTAAATATTATGCAGAAAATTCGGAGTGTGGAAATTAGGAAAAAGTGTGGAGTTAATAAAAGCATTCGTCAGAGGGCAGAAGAGGGGTTGTTGAGGTGGTTTGGTCATTTAGAGAGAATGGATCAAAGTAGTATGACATGGAAAGCATATAAATCTATAGGGGAAGGAAGGAGGGGTAGGGGTCATCCTCAAAAGGGTTGGAGAGAGGGGGTAAAGGAGGTTTTGTGGGCGAGGGGCTTGGACTTCCAGCAAGTGTGCGTGAGCGTGTTAGATAGGAGTGAATGGAGACGAATGGTACTTGGGACCTGACGATCTGTTGGAGTGTGAGCAGGGTAATATTTAGTGAAGGGATTCAGGGAAACCGGTTATTTTCATATAGTCGGACTTGAGTCCTGGAAATGGGAAGTACAATGCCTGCACTTTAACCGTTTGAGGGTCGACAGGCCCTCTCCGAAACCCGTTCTCAGGGTCGGCCAAATTTAAAAAAAAAAAAAAATTATTTTCTCTTATGAAAAGATAGAGAATCTTTTCCCGATCATAAAGACACCAAAAGTTTGAAATTTGATAGAAAACTTACGGAATTATGCTCTCGCAAAGTTAGCGGTCTCGGCGATTTTGCCCACTTTGAGCCCCATTTTCGGCCAATTTCACTGTACTAGTCGACAAAAAACATGAATATTTCGATAGAACTCCATTTTTTCTATCGAATGGGTGCAAGAAACCACTCATTTATGAAATTCTACTATCCAGTACAGTGGTCAGAATTTAGCAATTTTGCCAATTTCACACAAATTTCAAAAGATGCCAATTTCCGAATAGGGTCCAGAATAAACAAGAAAGACATTCCTGGCACTAAAATGACATTTCCTCTAGTCATTAGTCATGTCTCAAGGCCCCTCTTATATTCTTTTGCTTTCCACTTTGAATTTTTATTTTCACAAAAAATATAAGATTTACTGTTATGCAGACTACTGCATTAGTGTAAAAAATGGTATAAATATTATTGGTGCACTTGTGAAAGAATATTAGACTCGCCAGTTGACGTGTATTGCACGCTTGGCACGATTTGTTTACTTTTGAAGTTTGGTAAAAATCGAACATTTCTGCTACTTTGAGCTCAATTTCAAGGCACCTTTCTTTGTAAAACCAGTCAAAATCATCTCAATTTCTGTAGTATGTCTTCCATTCTATAAAATGAGACCAAGAAAACTAGAATACAACAATAAATACCATACGAAAATACACTGCAAAGTCGCTGATTTATTCAAAAAAAATGGTCAAAGTTTTTTTTTTCTCATTATGCACTGTGTGCTGCAGGATTTTTTTTAGACTGTGCACACTGACCACATAGACCCATTCTTTCATATGAAGGCCTACCAGCTTTCTCCCACTAGATTTGAGGCCGCTAGAATTTATGAGTACTAGTACGTCAAAAACCCCTACGCGTAAGACGTACTAGTACGACGAAAACCCTCAAAGGGTTAAAGGAGGGGTTTGGGATATTGGCAGTTTGGAGGGATATGTTGTGTATCTTTATACGTATATGCTTCTAAACTGTTGTATTCTGAGCACCTCTGCAAAAACAGTGATAATGTGTGAGTGAGGTGAAAGTGTTGAATGATGATGAAAGTATTTTCTTTTTGGGTACTTTCTTTCTTTTTTGGGTCACCCTGCCTCGGTGGGAGACGGCCGACTTGTTGAAAAAAAAAAAAATTATAAATTGTATATTTTTAGCCCTGGTCCCGGACATAATGTACATAATGAGAGGGAGTCTAGTGGTTAACATCAAAATAGATATTTTTACAGGCTCATCATTTTCATTGTTGTTGAGGAAAACTAGATCTGGATAGGATGTGACAAAAGTTGTATTATCTAAAAAGGAGGGAAGGCAGTGCAAGCATTTCTCGTTTTTTCAAGTGCTGATGCTAAGAAAACTACCATTGCCTCTTACTGACCTAATTTGTTTACACACATATCTTTCAAGCTTGTAACTTTTTAAGATTTAATTAAGTTTCACGTCATTTTAAAATTAATACACCTTCATGTCTTCCCAAGATGTTAAATTAATTCCTGTATGTTTTATTGGTGTCACTGGTGCATTTGATTGAATGTGTTAAAGTCAAGAAAAATACCATTAGCCCAGACAGCAATGATGGAAGTGCCGGCAGCACTCCTGAAGCATCCCCAAAGCATCCCAAGAATTATTAAAACAAGTGGAAATCACTTACAATTAAGGAAGAATTACTAAAGAAATTGAATAAAGAAGAGAGGGTACCTATTCTTATGATAAAATATTGTGCTGTAAGCTCAAAAGCATGATTTAAAGGCCCTGAAAGACAGTCTTTTAAAATGCTATTTCAGTGCACAAAGTATTAACCATGAGAATGAGGACACATTTTATGTCCTACCTCACTGCCCTGTTGTGTACAGCTGATGTGATGCTCACCTCTGCCCTCCCCTCAGTTGTGTAATCAGACTACTTATATGAAAATAAAAAGAAAATAGTATAAACAAAAAGCATTCGTATTTATAATGCCTTGCATGATTAAGCATACAGAAAATTATTGTAATCCATCTGCCATGTGGGTCTGGAATTACTACCCCAGGACTTGGTGAAGTAGAATGTAAGTTTAAAGTTGACTTTTCAGTCAAGAACTTAACCTAGTGTCACTGTTCTGGTGCTTCATCTCTGGAAGTGCTGCATAAACATTCTGAGAATGATAAACCATATTACTGTTCATCTGCATTGTTCTTACATAGATATTTTTTTTAATTTATAGCTGTATGTGTAATATTTCCAGATGTGGATGAGTGTGCCTTGACAGATAGATGCCAACACCACTGTCACAACACCGTTGGTAGTTATGTGTGCCTCTGTCCACCTGGCTATCGTCTCAATACAAACCAGCGAACATGTGATGGTAACTATTTGAATATACAGTATATGCCTTTCTTATATTTATTAGCCTGAAAAATGTAAGTCATAGTACTACACTGTGGCTAGAACAATTCACAAATAACCCACACTTAGGAGAGGAAGCTGTAAATATTATTTCAGTTTGCCCTGGTCTGTCAACTTAACTTAAATACATTCCCCTCAACTCTTCTGAATACTATTAAATATATCATTGTTTATTATAGTACATACAAGGATGTAGCAAAATTAATTAGCAGAACTGTAGCTTACACTTTACATTTATCACTGGTATGAGCACACTTTAATGAATCTAATCAGCTTATGATATGTACTGAAAAAAATGTCAATAGCATGAGTAATAGATCAGGAGTTTCTTAGCATTATGTCTTTCATTTAAAATTTTTGGCTTATTAGTGCACTAACTAATATGTTTGGCATTATACATGCAGTACTGTACTTGAATTACAGTATGCAGTATAAAACAAAATAGACAGAACCTAATAAAAATGAATTAGGCAGTGATCGTGGCAGTTTTAAAGGTAATTAATATACAGTCTTGAAAAGGAAGGAGTGCTAATCTAGATCATAATACTGATATCATTTGCTTTCAGATATTGACGAGTGTCTTGACCATGATGTGGAATGTGGGGAAGATGAACTGTGCTTTAATTTACGTGGTTCATACAAATGTGTTCCTACCCCTTGTCCTCCTGAGTATGAACGAGATATTACCACTGGGTAATTATTTACTAGGTTCTGTTTATACATTGAATGCTTAACAGGGCTATGACCATATACTGCTGTACATATATTCTCTCTTGGCAGGGTTGACACATGATGTACTCTGGTACAGTCTATACTACTGTTCCTCTTTATGTAAAAAGAGTTCAGAGTTCACCATTATTGACTTTATACATCTTAGCTTTGATTTAACATTCTGAATTTTGCTTGCAGGTCATGTATTCTAGATTGTCGGCAAGGTCATTCTAGCTGCCCACCTGGGGTTAACTATGCTCACATCCTTGCCTTTAAGACTGCCTCTCTTCCTGCTGGTATACAGGCTAACCAGGACCTTGTTAGACTTATGGCATATGACCAGGCAGGAAACTTAGTGCGCCACACACTCTTCAACATAATAGAGAATGAAACAGGTACAGTATATTCATATTACTGTAATTCATTTACAGGTCAAGCATCACTAATCCGGCATCACTGGGACCTGCATTGTACCGGATTATTGAGTTTTACCTGATTACAGAGTGGTTAGGCTAGAATACACTTATATTTTGGCCTTTCTTTGATTAATTTATTCTGCTGTGTGTATACATTCATTATTTCTTGTTCACTTATAAAACTGCATTGCTCTAGACCTTTTAGCCTATCAAAAGAGACTCTTTCTGCTATATCTTTCTCATTTTCACAACTGCTTTCTCCTCCTCTGGCTTGCTGCTGTAGATTTATAACCATATGCACAATTTCTGAGTCAGTATAATGATGAAATTTGAAATTATGCTAGTTGAAATTAGTGCCGGATTACTGATGTAACCGGATAACTGATTGCCGGATTAGTGATGGCTGACCTGTACTTTTAAAATCCACATGTACATATAATACATAGTCACCATGGTTCTACCTAAATTCTCAAAACTACTTTCCAGTGTCAAGAATGAAAATTGGTGTATGAGTTTTTCCCAAGATTTCTAGAAAACCCACACTTCAACCATCTGTTGCCATATGTTGTAATGATTAAACGTTTGTCCTGCAGCCAGTGTCTTAACTTTCTGCACAGACTGTAAGCCATGTATTGTATTAATTATAAGTGCTCACTAATTATATATAATATACCTTGGTGGGAGACAGTTGGTGTGGTAAAAGAAATATATTACAAAGTCTTATCAGATACCAAATGAAAACGTTCCAGTAAGCAATAAGGCCATTATTATCTTTTGTTACTCTCAAAACAAAGAAAGAAAAATTGTGTAAATAAAATCCAATATTTTCTGCAGGTATTCCCTTCAGAATCCGCCTGAAGAATGGGAAAGGCATCTTGAGAACCCTCCAGGCGCTTACTGCTGGACGCGAGTACAGGTTAGTTGATTAATCATTGTACTTTGCTTGTAAAATAATCATTCAGTTACATAGATTGATATTTATGCTGAGTATAATTTATTATTGCATTTGATGATTAGCAGATGAAGGATAGAGCCTCCAGTTCTTCTTGAGCTGAATGAACCATATAGGGTCTACATTTGACAAAGTAAAAATGTACATTGCATGAATACTTACACAGTGCAACACTTTTATGTACTATCACCCCTTAGTATATTCATAGTCTCTCAATGAGAGTCTAGGCTCACATACCTCAGCTAGCTCAGTCTGTCACTGAAGTGTGGTATATTCCACCCAATGTTAGGTAACACCCCATCTAAGGGAAGTAAAAACAGATAAGTTAGCTTTGTGTCTGCTGTCCATGCCAGGGCTCAGGCTCTATTCAGTCAGTAAGTAGTGTTACTGAGTGCTTGATCACATGTCTAATAAGATATCACTGTGTGACTTAGTCTTAATAGATTCTTTAACTTGCATACATATATAGTTCAAAGTGATTTGTATTGTGTAAATACTGGTATTATATGTTGCAGGATGGTGGTAGAAGCAGTGTCCTATGATGAGATACAACACTTTATCAAGTACTCCACCCGATTTATCATTTTCTTGCACATCTCTGAATACCCATACTAAATCAGCAGTAGAGTTGATGGGTTAAAACCTCAGTACCCAAGCAAAGAGTACATTACTGAATCCATAAGGAACTGTAGATTTTAGCAATATATAACAAGTATATTATTTATTTAGTATATTTCTGAATGTAGTCTTCTTTTTTCCTATTTAAGATAGAAAACCAGCACCTTCTGGGTAGAGCACAGCTTGAGTAGACTAAACCATTTTGTATTCAAAGCCCATCAGGCCTGATGCCTTGCCTGATTCACCTACTATGCTGTTTCAGTAGTGACTTCAACACCACCATTAACTTTTATACTATACAGTGCATATTTTTTTTCTAGTTCGCTCACCCAAAAATTGTGGTGTAATACATCTAACAGGGCTTGACACTGTACATTAGATAGAGTACAGTAAAGTATTGCAGTACAATATTACATTATGGTCACTGTTGTCATAAATCCCGTCCAGCTAATATCTTCACTTTAATGACACTAATAATTCTTCAGCAAGTTCTATAGGTAGAAATGCAGTACACACATTAAAATGAGTAATGAGTAGAAATTTCCTAGTATTAAATATAAGAGAACTGATTATTGATTACACAAAGTAATTTATAACCTTAACAAGTTAATATCATGTACAAATGATGCTTTTGTAGAGCATCAAGCCATTTTGCTAAGCATTTTGTATATTAATTTAAAAAGAAGTTAAATATTAATATTGTACTTGTGCTTAATTTAATAAAATTTTGTTTCCTTGTATTTGTATTTTATCATCAGTTTTACTGTTACCTTTGATATACTTTTGATGAGTTTCAAGAGTTTTTCTACTCCCAGAGCATAGTCATGGGCCAGGCTCGTCTGGTGCTTGCCTGGTCAACCAGACTGTTGCTGTTGGTGGCCTGCAGCCCCACATATCCATCACAGCCTGGTTGATCTGGCACCTGGTGAAGATACTTGTCCAGTTTCCTCTTGAAGACTTCTACACTTGTTCCAACAGTGTTTCTGATATCTAATAGTATGATGTTGAATAACATGGGGCCATAGATGCTGATAGTGTTTTCTTATTATGCCCACCGCACCCCTGCTTTTCACTGAGTTTATTTTCCACTTCCTCCCATATCTCTCACTCCAGTATATTGTTATGGCAGTGTGTAGATTTGGAACCAGGCCTTCGAGTACTTTCCATTTATATATTACATATCTGGTGTCTCTTTCGCTCTCTCTCCTCCACTTCATTAACCCCTAAACGGTCCAAACATATATATATGTTCTCTCGCCCAGTGCCCCGAATATTTTGAAAAATAAAAAAAATCTTTTTTTTTTTTTTCATTGAAATAAAGAGAATTTTTTTCTAAGTGTTATAGGATTATAATAAAAAAAATAGGGTCAGTACTTACTGAGATATGAGGCTGCAAAGTTGGCACTTAATGCTCACCTGACGGCAACATCGAGTCCTGCCGCTTGCAGAAGTGGTTTGGTCATTTAGAGAGAATGGATGAAAGTAGAACGACATGGAGAGCATATAAATCTGTAGAAGAAAGGCGGGGTAGGGGTCGTCCTCGAAAAGGTTGGAGGGAGGGGCTTGAACTTCCAGCAAGCGTGTATGAGTGTGTTAGATAGGAGTGAATGGAGACGAATGGTATTTGAGACCTGACAAGCTGTTGGAGTGTGAGCAGGGTAATATTTAGTAAAGGGATTCAGGGAAACCAGTTATTTTTATATAGCCAGCCTTGAGTCCTGGAAATGGGAAGTACAGTGCATGCACTTTAATGTATAGTATTTAAATATTCATAAGGAAAGCTTTTCTTTAGTTTTTAACCTTGAAGTGGCCATGATTGTTTACAGATTATCAATTGATAGTTAACATTCCAGGGTGCACATCCAATGTACAACATATAAACACCTTGCAATGACACACTTATTTACTTTTCTTTGCCTGTCTGGGACAGATCTGAGTAAATTAGCATTTTTGAGCTAACTTGTTTATTTGGTGAGATATGCTATTGATATTGCTATTAGTGGATGAGTTTGAGAATGTGTGTAAAGGTAGAAAGTTGAAAGTGAACATAGAAAAGAGTAAGGTGATGAGGGTATCAAATGATTTAGATAAAGAAAAACTGGATATCAAATTGGGGAGGAGGAGTATGGAAGAAGTGAATGTTTTCAGATACTTGGGAGTTGACGTGTCGGCGGATGGATTTATGAAGGATGAGGTTAATCATAGAATTGATGAGGGAAAAAAGGTGAGTGGTGCGTTGAGGTATATGTGGAGTCAAAAAACGTTATCTATGGAGGCAAAGAAGGGAATGTATGAAAGTATAGTAGTACCAACACTCTTATATGGATGTGAAGCTTGGGTGGTAAATGCAGCAGCGAGGAGACGGTTGGAGGCAGTGGAGATGTCCTGTTTAAGGGCAATGTGTGGTGTAAATATTATGCAGAAAATTCGGAGTGTGGAAATTAGGAGAAGGTGTGGAGTTAATAAAAGCATTAGTCAGAGGGCAGAAGAGGGGTTGTTGAGGTGGTTTGGTCATTTAGAGAGAATGGATCAAAGTAGAATGACATGGAAAGCATATAAATCTATAGGGGAAGGAAGGCGGGGTAGGGGTCGTCCTCGAAAGGGTTGGAGAGAGGGGGTAAAGGAGGTTTTGTGGGTAAGGGGCTTGGACTTCCAGCAAGCGTGCGTGAGCGTGTTAGATAGGAGTGAATGGAGACGAATGGTACTTGGGACCTGACGATCTGTTGGAGTGTGAGCAGGGTAATATTTAGTGAAGGGATTCAGGGAAACCGGTTATTTTCATATAGTCGGACTTGAGTCCTGGAAATGGGAAGTACAATGCCTGCACTTTAAAGGAGGGGTTTGGGATATTGGCAGTTTGGAGGGATATGTTGTGTATCTTTATGTGTGTATGCTTCTAGACTGTTGTATTCTGAGCACCTCTGCAAAAACAGTGATAATGTGCGAGTGTGGTGAAAGTGTTGAATGATGATGAAAGTATTTTCTTTTTGGGGATTTTCTTTCTTTTTTGGGTCACCCTGCCTCGGTGGGAGACGGCCGACTTGTTGAAAAAAAAAAAAAAAAAAAAATCAGGGAAACCGGTTATTTTCATATAGTCAGACTTGAGTCCTGGAAATGGGAAGTACAATGCCTGCATTTTAAAGGAGGGGTTTGGGATATTGGCAGTTTGGAGGGATATGTTGTGTATCTCTATACGTATATGCTTCTAAACTGTTATATTCTGAGCACCTCTGCAAAAGCAGTGATAATGTGAGAGTGTGGTGAAAGTGTTGAATGATGATGAAAGTATTTTCTTTTTGGGGATTTTCTTTCTTTTTTTGGGTCACCCTGCCTCGGTGGGAGACGACCGACTTGTTGAAAAAAAAAAAAAAATGCTATTGTGATTACCTGTTATATGTTCCTTTTTTATTAAAGCATATTTTATGAACAGTTTGTAAAATGAATGGTGCCAGAATGATACCAGTGAGCAGAGCCAAATTAAAATTTTGTAGGACCCTCGGCTACAGGTGCTGTGAGGCTCCCAGTGATATTTTGAAAAAGAAAAAAAGTTACAGAAATATTAAATTTATTTTTACAAGGCTTACCACAAAATTCAAACATTTGTTTTTTTTTTTTTGTAATTTCTTGGAAACAAATTTCTCCAAAATATCAGTAAATTGTAAGTTGTTGAGAACATCATTTTCAATTGCCATGAGAGCTAGTCTGTTTAGTTGTTCTTGTGCCATTGTCGATCTGTGTACATTCTTTAAATGTTTCATCTTAGAGAAATTCCTCTCTCCAGTTTCATTAGTTATCATTAAACACAAGTAAATCTGTAGTGCTATTTCAGCATTAGGGAATGAAGAAGTTAATCTATTGTTTACTACAAGGGCATAGATATCAGAAGCTTGCAGTTTACCTGGAGTTTACCTCGAAAGAATTCCAGGGGTCAATGCCTCCACAGCTCGGTCTGTGACCAGGCCTCATGGTGGATCAGGGCCTGATCAACCAGGCTGTTACTGCTGGCTGCATGCAATCCATTGTATGAACCACAGCCCGGCTGGTCAGGTACTGACTTTAAGTGCTTGTACAGTGCCTGCTTGAAGACAGCCAGGGGTCTATTGGTAATCCCCCTTATGTATGCTGGGAGGCAGTTGAACAGTCTTGGGCCCCTGACACTTATTGTGTTGTCTCTTAACATGCTAGTGACACCCCTGCTTTTCACTGGGGGGATGTTGCATCGTCTGCCGAGTCTTTTGCTTTTCTAGGGAATGATTTTCGTGTGCAAGTTTGGTACTAGTCCCTCTAGGATTTTCCAGGTGTATATAATCATGTATCTTTCCCACCTGTGTTCCAGGTAGTACAGGTTCAGGAACTTCAAGCGCTCCCAGTAATTGAGGTGTTTTATCTCAGTTATGCGCGCCATGACGGTTCTCTGTACATTTTCTAAGTCAGCAATTTCACCTGCCTTGAAAGATGCTGTTAGTGTTTCACACTTGTACCTGAATTCATCCAGTTGCCCAACAAAGTTTTTAAAGTGAAGAATTTCTGGGACAAATCCATGCTTGATGTCATCTGAGTACAGCTGCTGCTGTAGAAATTTCTTCATCATTCATTGTTGGAAATTCGACCAGGAAACCAAACACCGAATGAACATTTTTGTATGCTTCAGTGCGACGAGAAAGAGCTGAGCATAACTTCTCTATGACTGATAGATATGTTTCCACCTTAAACTTCTGTCTTCCTGGCAAAGCAACATCTTCAACATTACCATCATTGATTTGTTTTCTTTTCCAATGCTCTGGTTTTTATTTGTCACAGTATTCCATATTTTCTACTTTGTTTTTTGCTTTATTTTCAAGCACTTCAAACTGATCCCGCTGTGATATCAAAAAATCCAGTAGAGATTTAAGAAGTTTAATAGCTGATTGAAGCTCCAGTGTTTCATGTTGAAGATGATTGCTGACTTGATTGAACCTTTCTAGTATGATAGTCCAGAAGTCTGCCAAGAGAACTGTTTCCAATTCTGATAGCTGCTTGAGGGGGAAAATTGCGTTCGCGCCGGAACTTCTTTATTTTTCGTTCGATTTCTTTCATTTTTTTTGTACATAAAGAAGCACCTTTCAATAGTAATGTGAGCAAGTTTCAATAAGATAGCTCAAAAAACAACAGAGAAAAAATTATTTACTAATAATCATACATATTGAACTGTATTTTCTTAATGGGACTTGGAGAAGCTGTTTTGACATTATCTACGCATAAAACAATGCTAAACTGTATTTCTGATGGTTAACCGTACTGTAATTTATCCTTTCTTCATTCTTAAAAAAAATAAAGTTTGTATGGTTTTGACATTCAGCCAAATATCTGACTTTTGCCCTCACAAAAATCAAAAACAAATTATGATATCTCAAAATACTAACCACCAGCTTGTAAAACAATCTTTCCTTTATGTTCTCTGTGAATTGCATTGCATTCCTGCTATTATTAACGAAAATACAGTCATATATATGTGAATAACCTACTTCCGAGATAATCCGCGAAACAACCGGACCACCGATTTTTTTTTTTTTTTTTTCGAGAAAATAGCATTTTTCTCAGCATTACGAGTGTATATCATAGTTACCCATGTCCGTTTTCTTTAATATAAGGACCCTGGAAGTGAAAGAAGGAGAATGGAAGCCATCCCTGACTATGGGAATCTTATATTCCCGAGGGAACGCTCTAGGAATATGCCATATATTATTTATTTTGGAGTATT